TAGTCAAGCCGCTGAGGGGCTGATTAGTAGTTGGGTCGGTGACGACCAGCGAATACCGGCTGTTGTATGTTTTTTGCTCTTTTTTGTACGGAGGTACGTGGTACGTATACCAGGACCTAGATAGGTAAGTAGCGAATTCGCCAAGAAATGGAGATTAGAGTTTGGGTTGAGTGGGTGGGTCACCGGATCACTTGCCGAACCTAGGTAAAGCTAATGTAACGTCATTTCATTGGCTGAAGCTCCAGCCTACCCCGCCAGCATCAAAACCTAGGTAAAGCTAATGTAACGTCATTTCATTGGCTGAAGCTCCAGCCTACCCCGCCAGCATCAAAACCACGGTCTCAATCTGATTTACAGCTCAGCCATAGAGCAGTTCAGCCTGGTGGTCAATTTTGGTAGTGTGGTGGTCGCACCCCGTTGCCTCTTGAGGATGACAACAACACTACAATCACGAAAGGCCAGCTTCACCGCGACAGTTCCAAGACCGGTTTTCATTTATGGGACTTTATGTGCCAAACCCCTTCTTGCCTGGGCTTTAACAGGTAGTGCCGCTCATGTCGACCAAATTACGGCCCTCATCTCCCCAGCTAAGGCGTCAAATGTCGCCCGCTACTCAGTACACGGCTGTGACTACCCAGCTGCGATCAAAAAGCAAGGTTCATGACTGTCAGATAGAGCAGTCGGTCTTGGCCAATGGTTACGGAGACCAAGTCGAAGGATCCCGATATTCTTTGGGGGTCTGAATTAAGCACCGTTTGCTGCCGTCTAAAATAGACCATCACATAAGTATGTGGCACGGTGGAGCCAGCTACTGGACTAATGTATCAGAAAGATGCTTCAGTCCATATAGCAATGCCTGTGAGAAGTGCGCGTGTAAGCGGTGACGATTGAAATTGTGGGTGGCAGCAATACAAGACAGGGGTAAAGTAAAATACTAGCCTGTCTTTAGGGCGATTCATAGGCTAGATCGTCGCTCGTGTTCTCCTCTTTGGAAGGACTATTTACTTGCCCCATCCCGTCACGCGTGCCTAGGAAATTCCCCCTCATAGGTTAAGCAATGGCGAAGATAACCCCAAAAGCAAGACAAATGGGTCGGATCTAGAGAGTAGAGGGCATAATTAGAACTCCGTACTCTATTGCAAGCGATCGTTCGTGTACTTCCAGGCGGCACGCATCTCGCGTTGGAGTTACGCAGCACTCGTGGGGCCCGACCCGGCAAGCCAACTCATGGGGTAAGGAACCCGTTGCACAGGTTGGGCCTCAACGGGAAGGGAACGAAGGACCAGTATAATAGGCTAACGATAGCTGACAAGGCTCTGACGATTACCTTCTTGAAGGAGCCCATTCGTCTCTCGACTCGCTATCGTCGGTGTCGCTGAAGGTCGCCTCCCCCTCGTCACTATGATCGTCATCATTGAACGGCTGAATAGTAAGCAGCAGCTCTTTAGCAAATGCGGCTGCTGCCAGAGCTGCATAGCGCTGCCAGCCCTTTTGCTTGGGAGGGTCTGCGTAGTCGGAGATGCCGCGTATGACGAGACACGAAGACTCGGTGGCGAGCCCTGTCCCCTCCATTTCGAAGCAAAGTACATCTCCGTGGTCCTCGAGATGATCTAGAATTCGCCGCCGGCTCCCGTTGCTCATAATTACACTGTTGCCCGAGGCGATAGGCCTGTAGTGGATCGTTGGGATGTCTGGCTTGGCACGGGGCCCACGTCGAACCGCATACCGTGACATGCGGTTCCTGCAATCACATCCATGGGAGAAATGCGGTACATTTGGTAGGAGAAGAACGTCGGTCGAGGCGGGAAGTCTGTCATATTCTCTCCCGTCTTCGTCGTCTCCATCGAGCACGGCGCGAATGTGCTCCGATAATCGGGTTGGCATCTCGCGGTCGGTCTGCAATCCGATGATGGCGCTAAGCAGGAATTCGGGAGACGGTGCCAGGAATCCCTTGAGCTGGAATCCGTCATCAACATCGCGGCCTAGGTCGTACTGCACAAGACCATGATGTCCGTTGCCCGGCATCGCGACGACAACGTCGCCCAGGCGCATGTCACGCCGCTGAAGCGTCGCTTCGTTCTCTCCGGCGACGCCTCCTCCCACCCCGACGAGGAGTCGAAGCTGTATTTGCGTAAAGGAGCGAGACAAATTCAAAGCTACTCGTGCAGCGGCAATCGTGCCCTGCGTGCCCGGAAGAAACGCAAGTATGATGTTGTGACCGTTGATGTCGCCTGCCACATACGAGTTGGGGGCCTCCCCTCTGTCGCTTGGGGGGGGGGGGGGTTCCCCCTCAAGCATGGGCCTGAAGGCTCCCAGCTCGAGGCCCTTGGCGAAGATCACCGCCTCAGCGTACTCGTCCCGGGACTTTTGCATTTTTTTCGCGACCCATGATGGAATGTCGGATCGTGTTGCCACGGTCATAACTCGTAAGAACATGAAGAGTGATGATCGTGGGTATGGGGTGTGAAGAGAGTGAGCTGACGTCGAGCGCTCGAACTGGAAGAAAGCACTCTTTGTTGGCGACGGTGGCTGCAGCTTCTTTCGAGCGGGTTCAACGAGCATCTCATCACGGGGACGCCCTGTGCAGATGGATGAGGCTCTGCGATTGGTGTAGCATTTGACCATCTCGAAAGTGCGCAATGGCAGAGGGGTGAGGTCTACGGTCGGCGTCGTCATTCGGATTGTCCGTCATCGATGTTCCATTTGGCGTCAGGTACAAAATCCAGCAATACATCAAAAAGAACTGCTCGCTTTTGACCTCCCGAGGAATGATTGCCATTGTGTTGTCTCGGTCTTGTTGGCCTACACATGGGTACTATACGCGCCTCGCCCTGCTGTGGCCGTCAATGTCACTGTCCGTGTCCATGCCAATCGCGTCCAAGATCATTCTGCCCTCCAGTTAATTACTCAAGTAGCATTGAAGATTAGCCGCCAGAGTGTCCAGACCCTTGGACACTGCACATTGTAGCCTTGTAGGTCTGAAGGGGGTCACGCCTAACTTAGGCCCGCGATATCGAGACGTAGGTCATGTGCTACGTCACGTGCGGGCGCTCAGACCGCCCCTTTGCCTCCTTCCTCCTTCAGTCAGTTGTCTTTAACAACCATCCATTCTCGCTCGAACGAGTCCTGCCTCTGGGTCTACTCCGTCATCCCGCGTTTCCTCCAGCACGGTCAACTCGAGCCATATTCTCATCGTGATCTAGCCTCATCTCCTCCGCCACCCGTCATCGCCATGAGCACTGGCAACGGCTCGAGAGCGGGCTCAGGGCGCGATGACCCGCCCGGCAACGCTGTCCGTCAAACGGTGTCGCATTGGCTACGTCGCACACTTCGAAAGCGGAACCGAACGCCCTCACCACCGCGGCCCCTACCGTCGCCACGCCCACGGCCTATCACACCCTCGGCGTCGTCACCTTCGGCCAGTCGCAGCGCCCCTCAGCGCCAGAGTCCTTTCTTTCGCCTCCCAGCTGAGATCCGCCATGAGATTCTCATGGAGACCTTTGGCAACCGCACCGTGCACATGGACCTAACGCTAGATCATCCAATGACGGCGCCGCGGCAGAGAGCGCACGCCGACAGATCTTGGGACCGGCAAATCAGAATGCCGCGTGTGTGGGAGTGGGGCAGCAGCGACTGCCATCGAAACGCGCCCTTCCAGAGGTATTATCCTAAGGCTGTTTTCTGGCTTACAAGTACGCCTCTAGACATAGATTGGTGCATGAAGGGACAAGCTTACAACTGCGGTGCTTGGCTCGGTGAGATACCTTCTAAGTGTTGGATCGGTGCTATGGGCTGGCTCCTTTCATGTCGTCAGGCGTAAGTTGATAGCGCATACCTGCCCTTTCTAACACCGGCAACAAACAAACTCTTACTGACTGGTGCGGTGTAGGTACGAAGAAGGCATAGATATACTCTACGGCACAAATAAGTTCTCTTTATCAAGCGAGTTTCTCCTGGCCCATCTTGCCGACTATATTCTACCACGAAGGCTAGCCCGAATGACATCCTTCGAGGTTATTCTAGATCTACCCCTCTACAAGGCCGATCAGAGTCTAGTCCGACCATCGAGTGCAGCTTTGGAATCCTCCCTTCGAGGTCTTTCAAAAAGTGGCATGCGACAGCTATACCTATGTCTCCACGATCATAGGCTATGGGGGAGTCTTGTCGAAATAGACCCCGTGCACATTCTCAATACCATAGACGCGTTTATTCTCTCGTCAAGAATGGAATCAGTCGTTCTGCAGATACAGCCACACGCATTGAAGCGCCTTGAGGCGGAGGCAGTCTCACTACCGGAGGAGACCTTGCGGAACGCACGAAAAGGCACCTATCCACGGCTATGGCGATGCTTAGATGACGACCAGGGGCTTGCAAAGACACACAGGCGCGAGTGTCTCTATCCGCTGGTGCCTGCACCCCCACGAGACCCAGCCGCACCTGAGAAGGGACCGAGTCGCGGTTACTGGATCATGAGCACTACAAATCACAACCCCAGGCCAATAATGTGTAATATGCCCTAGTTCAGGAGAGCAAACAGTGGTTAGGGCGGGAGTTGGACCTCACGAGGCTTCCGCCGGGCTTGCGCGGATGGAAGTATGAAAACCTGGCTCAACTGCATTTCATAGCTATGGCATTCACAAGGTTGGTACCGCAACGCTTCGTCGGTCCATGGTTGCCGCCGATCCCGACACTCCTACGCAGTAATAGTACCCTGGCCACATATTAGCGCAGTCGTCGCCGACCGCGGGATTCCACGCGTAAAAGTCACTAATCATTACGTGTTAGCGCATCCCCTCTCGACACGGCCTCTTGGTTCTTCTCGCCATGCCACGGAAACGACTTACTCGAGAGACACGCCGTTCTTGACGGCCATGTCGTAGCAGAACTCGCCTTCCTGCTGCATATAAAACTGACGACAGCTGTCAGTCATGCCTTCACGGACGGGCTGCGGCACCTTCACTGCCTCGTCGTCGGCCGCAGACGTCGTTGAGGCCACCTCGGTGCTAGCGGGTGGCGAATCATCACTCGTGGTCGTAATGGGGTCCGTGTCCGACTCTCCATCGACACCGACGCAGATATACTTGTCAACCTCCAGGCCTTGGCAGTCGTCGTCGATGGCCGTGTTCCAGGTCGTCAGGTTCGTTGGACTGATGCCCGTTTCGTCGCAGATCTGTTCGCAATCATCATCCAGCCCAACCAGCCACCAGTCAGTGCAGTCATCTGCCACTCCTGACTGCGTAGGGCGAGTCGCGGGCGCCGTGGATACCGAGGGCGTGTTGGTGCGGGTGGTGGGTGTGTCCTCTTTAGCCACACAGTACCAGACGTGGTCCTGGATGCCCGAGCAGTCGTCCAACACGCTAGGGTTCCAGTCGATGAAGTCCTCCGCCGCAAAGGTGCCAAACATGTCAGCAACAAGCGCGCAGCCGTCTCCGCCCGTGGTCTCATACCATGCGACGCAGTCGCTAGGACTGCCCGACGGGAGTGTCGCTGGTTTCTCTGTGGCGTGCGATGGCAGCGGCAGACCTTTTTCAAAGTTGGCCACGCAATAAAAGTTGTTAGCCCAGAGCCCATTGCAGTTGCCTCTCAGCGCAGGGTTCCACGCCAAAAACTGCTCCTTGGTGATGAAGCCGTACTGGGCGATGACATTTTCACAGTTTTGGCCGCTCTCCACGCGGTGGAAGCCGCTGCACGAGATCGGCATGGGCCCATGCGATGGCGAGGGCACGAAAGTCCCGTCCGCCGACGGAAAGGTGGTACGTGTGTGGTCCGTCGGCTTTCCAGGGAGCGTGAAGTCTGGCGGCTCTGTCGACCACTCGAACTGTGCGGGTGCGCCTTGGGGCCGAACCCCGACACACACCCACCAGTTTACAAAGAGGCCGCTGCAATCTTGGTCGAGGACAGGATTCCACTGCAGGCTGACCCGAATGTGTCAGTTCATTCTAGGCTGGTAATATGGGCGAGGACGCCGCGCGCACCAGAGGACGACTTACAGCTCGTCTAGGCTGATCTGGTGTCGAACCTGGAGTGTGGAGCATGTTTCTCCCGCCTGGACAAGATGCCAGTTATTACAGTCGTCGGGCTGACCTTCCTTGGTTTTTTCCGGTGGCCAAGCCCTGTCAATGGTGGTAGACGTGATGTTGAAGGTGATGGACGGATGGCGGGTAGAGTACTCTTCTTGGATAGTCGACGATGCCAAGCTGGACGTCTCGACGTCGCTGGACGGCGCGGAAGGTACAGAAGAGGTAGAAGAAGACAGTGGCTCACTTGCTGTCGGCTGTGCGCTGCTCGCTCGCTCACCGGTGCTCACGCAGTACGCCTGGCCGAGCCAAAAGTTAGTCAAGCAGTCGCTGGAGACGGCTGGGTTCCATTCGAGAAATTGGTCAAAGGTGATGCCATAGTCCCTCGGTACGGACTGGCAGTCGTCGCCGCTCACGACCTTATGCCAGCCATTGCAGTCTTCCGGCTGACCTGGGTGCACTGGCGCTCCAGGACTGCTGTCCTGGGCGTACGCGACGCCGGCCACGCACGCGAGCAGGCGTAAAAATAAGGGCCTCATGGTGATCTCTGTGTTATCTCTACGCTGCTACCGTTGTGACTGACCAGAATGATTTTTGGCAAGCAGCGGTAAGTAGCAGAGAGAGAAAAGTGGGAGCAGACTTGGACGGACAGTCGCTGTCCATGAGAAAGGATAGTGCACACGGACGAGGCCGTGGGAAAAGGACGGACTCGACGGCTTTGTCGCCGTGGGTGATAACCAGAGTGCGCATGCCTCATCGGCAAGCGACCCCTGTGCTAATGTCCCCATGCAACGAGGAGGCACAGCGAGCGCCAACCGTCGGCGGTAACGAGTGCGGTGCTGCGGTCGAATTCACGCACCTGAAGCTCTCAAGACCCTGCTCGGCCTGAATTAGCACGCCTGGCTCTAATCCTAGACGGCGCGTTTCAAGCGGCAGCCGCCAAGACGCAAGAGTCATGGGGCCGTGTCGACAGGGGACATGAGATCCACTTCTATCCTTGATGTCCAGGTACCGGTACATATGTCACATACTTTGTTGCGAGAGGCAGCCGAGAATTCCTCGGCGCCCGAACGGTCTCCCCCCCACCCCTTCAATGCGTGGTCTGGTTTGTGCCGTTTAACGCAAAGAGAGAGGTCGAGAGATGGTAAAATGCCGGATGCAGGGGCAGTCGGTCTGCGAGCTTCAAAGGGCAAAGCCTAGCCGTGGGGACCTTGACTTACAGGCGAGGCATGCATCGCAAGTCATGCGGTGCGGGAAGAGCGAGAGCGGCCGACATATACCAAGGCCAAGTGCCTCCTGTTCAGCCGCTCCAGCGGACCAGCTCATCATCACATGTGTCTCTAGAACTCCATCGTCTCCCCCTGGCACTCAGCAGCGGACCTAGAGCAATTGGCGAGTTGTTGGCGGTTGTTCCATCCTGCCTCCTCCATCTTCGCTGGCGAGCACCCATTCAGCACGAGACACAAGCACTCGCCATGATCGCGTCCACCATCCTCGCGTGCCTGACCCTACTTGCCGTGCCAGTCTACGCTGGCAGTCGGCAGTGGGAGGCCAGTGTGCCCTTGGCGGCCGCCCGGAACTCGAGCAGCAGTATCGAGAAGCGCGCCATCTCCTTCAAGCCCTCGGCTGGCAAGAAGGGCCACCACACCTGGCCGGATAAGGAGATCAAGTTTTGTTTCGCGGATGCCGAGGCCAGGGACAGGCTACGCGGCCCTATGGAGCACGCCATGCAGACTACCTGGGGCGCCCTGCGCGACCTGGGCTTCTCGTACGAAGAAGTGTCGCTGCCCGAGTGCGACAGAGACCGCATCAACCACCTCAAGGTTCATTACAACGATCGCGGCAAGCTAACAACGACCATCGCCAAGCCAGTTGTCGATGCCGACTGGAACCGTGAGAACCCGGACAGACAGCTCGACGGCCCCGCAATGCACCTGTCCACTCCTGAGAGCATCGGCATGCTCGATCTCAACGCCAACGTGGCCCATGAGCTCGGCCATGCCTGGGGCCTCTACCACGAGCACCAGAACCCCAACTTCTGGGTCACTTCGGTCACTGACGCGTTTCCTGAAGACCCCGAGGAAGGTCCTTGGTTTAATTTAAATGGACAATATCCGATTTTCACGCCGCAGCAGTTCAACTGCCGCGCCCTATCCGACTACGGTGCCGCCCTCGAGCGCGCGAAGGAGCTTGAAGCCACAGGCAACGCAGCATACGAGGGCATCACGGCACCATGTGCACCACGCGGACGGTGGCGGCATTTGTCTCTTTCTCCGCCGCAGAATGGCTGCCTTTGTATTCAGTCCCCCACATCGCCGACACCCAGTTCGACCCGGACAGCATCATGTTGTACCCTAGCGGTGCTGGCGCAGTGAGACCCGGCAACTCGCCCGACGGCCGCCAAGACGTCCTCACGCTCGCCGATGGCAAAAGGATGAAGCCAAATGTCGTCCCCAGTGCCATGGACATTGAGCGCTTGCGCGTTCTATACTCTGTCAACATCGCCGACATCAAGGAGCTGCACATCCGCGGCGCCAAGAAGAGCACCTTTGAGAAAATCAAGAGTAAACTCTCTAGGCATGGGAGTGCCAGAGATCTGTCTTGCTTGTGACTGACTAAAACGGCGGTGTGGGCAAGTTGAAGCTAGACTAGACTATCAGGCCTAGAGAGGCGTCAATATCAGAGTTTATTGTTATCGTTCGGCAAGGAGTTAATGTTTGCTGACTTGATGTGTCCAACTTGTTTATACTGCCATGTGACCTCGAGATCGCTGCAGCAGGGTGGACATGTTTATTGGGGTGCCTGGATGGCCAACAAGGCACCTTTAACCGCCCTTGCATGCTTTACGTATCTACATGTATCCAGGCACCAGGCTCTTCGCGGCTTCACCAGTCTCCCTTGAAGCATTCAACCCACGGCCTCGGCGTGATGATTTGCTTCTTGGCCCGCCCAGACGCCTTGCCCAGGGAGCTAATCAACGTCCCATCGTCCAAGTCAATCGCCCATACCATGGTCCTATTTCGCACGAGGCGTGTCAGCACATCTGTCTTGTCTCTCCGCCGCTGGCCGTTCATCAGGGGAGAACGAGCATACATACCCTCCCAGGCATCTCTGATGCGCATACTCGAGCTTCATCTTGAGCGTCTCTTCGTCGTCCCAGCTCACCCACTGGTCCGAGTCCCACGTGACAATCTTGACGGCGGCTGTCTCGTCCAGCGTCACGTCGGCGCCGGCATCTATGATCTTGGAGATCTCGGCAGCGGACAGCACGCCCGCCGTTCCGGTACACTCACCCTCCCCGGCGCCCTCGAGAAACTCGCAGCCCGCCGCCATGCAGCTGGGGTCCTTCATGGTGAACGAGCGCCCATAGAAACCCAAGCCCGTGACGACGCGCTCCGGGTTGATGTTATTGCGCCAGAGAAGATTCAGGCCCTGGTTGATCTCGGTCAGATTAGTGTGCGCAGCCGCGTACGGGCCCAGGGACTCAATTTTGGCGTCCCAGACACCGTGAATGTCATAGGTCATGACGTTGAATCAGTCGAGGTATGGCTCCATTTTGACAATGTCGAAGCCACGAAGGTACCAGTACGATGCGGGCTGCTCTCTGGTCAGTGACTGTGGCAGAAACAAACAGCCCCGTCGGGAGGAGGAGGGGGGTGGGTGGCTCACCAAGGTCAGGGTGACACCGTATGGGCGACCTTCTTGGTTCAGACGCTCACGGAGGCGCCTGAGAAGGTTGACGTAGGACGCAAAGTCCTCCTCAATGCCACCGCGATCCTCGGCAACGGGACTGCGGCACCAAGTCAGTTTCGCCGTTGTCAACGAGGGAGGGGGCCTCACTATTCCCAGTCCAGATCGACGCCATCAAAGCCGTAATTCTGCATCATAGATATAAGCGAGTCGAACCACTTGTCCTGGTTGGCCTCGCCCTTGGCCATATCTGAGAAGACAGTGCGGTAGGGGCCAGGGTCATTCATGGCCCAGCCCCAGACGGCGATCCAGACCTCGAGCTCCGGATCCTTCTCCTTGAGCGCCGTGACCCTGCCGTACCGACTGGCGGTCCCCTCATCCATGACGTCCATGCGGAACGTGTCCGGGTCCATGAGGGCAAACGAGAAGAAGATGTGCGTGTAGTAGCCCAGGGGAATGTCCTCTGGCTCCATGTTGCCGCAAGGACGCTGATGGTTCCAACCCTCATAGTAGCCGATGAGCTTCTTACTCGCGGACTTTGCCGAGACAGGACACTCGGGGTTGGGCACGGTCTTGCCGCCACAGAAGCCTTGCGTGGTGCCGCAGAAGCCAAATTCACTGCAGCAAACATTGAGTAGACAGGTCGTCGTGTTCGACCACTCTGATCCCCAACCGGGATCGCACTCGCTCTTCCAATGGCATCCGGAGGTGCAACCGTCGCCGCAAAAGTCCGGTCCCATGCCGCAGACTCCTGCTCCGGTGTCATCTCTGCAAACGCGCGCTGATCAGACGACTGGAGACACAATGAGGGACGTGGAAGGTGGTATATCTGGCAGCTTACAGTGGCCCGCAGCATCCCAGCTTGCATGGCTTGCTCTCTGAGCAGGTGTAGTCCTCCTCCTCATCTTGGTGGGCCTGCACCACCATTTTGCGCTGCTGTACCTCGGGCTGGTCGACGATAGCCTCCAAGAGCAGCTTGGCCTCGGCCTGACCTGCAAAAGTGTCGAGCTTCAACGCGTGGGCCATGCAGACCAGCATCATGCCGAGGCAAAGGCCATGACATGCTATTGCGGGCGCCATACTGGATGCTCCTTTCGAGGCAATGTGTGCCACTACTGATGTCAGTGGAGAGGTTGATGATGGGAGCAAAGTCGTAAACACCAAGACGCGTATTGGATGTGCACACCAAATGGGAGGGACACACTTGCACTCGAGTAGCCAGCAGAGGGCCCAAGAATATCCAGCGCCAAGTTCAGCAGCACACTCTTTGCCATTGCGAAGCCTTGGCAGCTGGCACTGGGCAACCTGTACCCTGTAACCTGTTACTGTTGGGCGCAATTTGGCCTGCAGCAAGTGGAGACTGGACTTGGAAACATGTCTTTTGCCATTCGTGTCCATCGTTTACCGAGGTCAGAACATGAAACGATTTTACCTGTTGGTTTTGCCCATATGCACCTCGCGCGAATGCAATAGTAACGGGCCTAGGACCCCGGCTATGGTTGCATCTGAAGAGGCTCGGATCTCTTCGGCCTGCATTAGCGGCACCTTGGCTCTGCAACCAGGGCCTGATGCGCCGTCGGGATCGACAAGGCTCGGACGGGGCCGGGGGAGGTATCGGTACTTGACAGGGATCATGCGGTTCGGCTCATCTGGGGATGCCGCGTCTTGGCATTTGATGTTTCTTTGACCACCCTGCTTCATGCATGCCCCCATACTTCGGACCAGACTACAACCAAACGCTGAAAAATACTTTACCTCGTGTTGGTCCAGCCCCCTGCGTTCAAGATTAAATATTGGGGGCCGAGATGGTCATTTGACTTCCCCCTGCGTTACAAGCGCCTTGCAACGCGGTACTCTGGACTCTGAAGGACCTACTGGTGACGTCTGCTTGTTGCAGGGGACGACGACATTCACGTCTGTCTCTCCGGAAAGTTCAACTCCTGGCCTTCTCCGTGGTTCCCAGGGAAGGAGTTTCGGGCGTTCCTCACATTATTCCCACACGCTCTCTCGTTGCCTTTTCTCTTCGTTTCCGTCTCCAGTCTCTACGTTTCTCGGTCGAGCCCCTTCTCTAGAGGCTCTCTTAATCGTTCCTCTGGCCTGGTTTGGGGTATCCACAAGCCACCTCTTTCTGCTCATCTTGTGCTTCTCCGAAATGCTCAAGCAGACCATTGTTGGCCTCCTTGGCCTCTCGCACGTCGCTGCTGCCTGGGCCGTCCCTTCGCCGCACGCGGGTCTGCACCGAGAAGCGACCGTGACGGCACAGGGGATCAGGAAGCGGGACAGCGATGTGAGCGAATTCTCTTGGGTCAAGCGGTGGGCGGCCATTGGCGACAGCTACACGGCGGGCATTGGTGCTGGCGCGCCCCTTGGGCGCATCTGGGACGATGAGCTCGAGATTACTCTCCCTGACGGGACCATCAGCGGTCATGGCGACTGGTACTGCTCGCGCTACAACCGCGCCTACCCCAAGGTCATTGAGAAGCAGTTTGGCTCCCACATCGAGGACTTTCAGTTCCTCGCCTGCAGCGGCGATCGCTCCGAGCAGATCTTCCAGCAGGTCGAGCATCTCGAGGGCGATCTGGACTTTGTGACCCTGACGGCCGGGGGCAACGACCTCTGCCTCGCCAAGATGATCAAAGACTGCATCATGCTGCCCTACCTGAAAGACGACGCGTGCGATACCGTCATTGAGAAGGCACAGGAGAACATTGACACAATTCTCAAAGACAATGTGCGCCAGATCCTCACCGAGCTGAACGGCAAGATGAGTAAGGATGGCATCGTCGTCATCAACGGTTACGCCCAATTCTTCAATGTGGAGACGGACGACTGCGCCGATCAATCTTGGGACGCATTCTGGATGATCCCGCTCCGCAAGCTGTCATTCGAATCCCTCACAAAGTCCCGCCGCGAGCGCTTCAACAAGCTCGTCATTGGCATCAACGAGGCCATTGGCGAGGTCGTGGACGAGGTTGCCGAGGACAAAGACATTGGGTACAAGATTGGATTCGCCCAGTGGGACCTGTGGGCAAAGGAGGGTGTCGATGGACAGATGTGCTCCCCCAGCAGCAACGGCAACTATCCAGACCAAGCGCAGCCCGACATGCAGTTCATCAAGCCAGACACACATCCCTGGAGACTGTGGACCGACGACGTCAAGGACGAACTGCGGAGGCGCGACGCAAAGACCCTCGACGACCTGACGCCCGAGGAGAGGCGTACTTTTCTGCGCTGGGAGGCCGATGTGAGGAGACGTGCCGCCGTCTTCGAGGACAGCATATACGAGTCTGTCCTGTACAAGTCCTCAGCGCCAGGCGCCGAGGTCGTCCATCAACTCGACAAGCGGGCCCCCGCTCCCCCAGGGTGTCCCGGCGACGACGGTACCGACGTGACTTTCGGACTTGGTATGCCTGACTCTGTGGGGCGCAATGTGAGTCGACTCCCTGAACCTTGGCCCTCTGATGGAGCGCCACTTGCGGCCATTGCGACTAACGGGCAGTCCCCTAGTTCCATCCCAATGTCAACGGCCACGTCAGCATAGCCTCCTTTGTCCTCTCCGAGGCCATGGACCTGCGGGCGGTCGTACTCGGCGAGGAGCCCTACTGCGCCGTCAAGTCCAAACGCACGTGCTGGTCCTCCAAGAAAGACTTTCGCGGCTACGTCCAGGCGGACCGGCTCGACATCAGCTACGAGGACTTTTGCAGGAAGCACGTGCCCAAGGAGCACCCAGACCACACCACAAACTGGGAGGTCAAGAAGACGTACGACAAGGGGACTCCAGATGAGCACCAGCTCATCATTACGCTGGGCAATGGGCTGGCCGACTTTGACGAGGATAAGTGCCTCGAATCATTCGAGAGCCTCATCCACGACTGCGACACGGACAATGCCATGAACTGGAAGCGTGGAGGCGAGTACGTCGTGGACGGCGGTGACTACACCTTTGAGATCTACCCCAAGAGAGACAACCGGCCGTGGCCACCCCCCTCCAAGCCCGTAGGTCGATGCGAGGGCTGGTGGAAGGTGCTCTTCTCGCATTACGAGATCGAGGGGGGCGGTTTCTCCACGCATGATCATGGCCAAAAGACCATGCTCCCCAACATGGATACCTGCTACGGGCTCGGCACCTCCCTGTGGAAGTTCAAGTACTATGACGAGCCCACCGACGAGGGCTACGAGTGGAAGGCGACTTGTGAGTGGCAGAATGTCCCATTGGGAGGGCATGAGTGCAGCCATGCTAACGGATGGCAGTCAACACGCCCGTGTTCGTCATGAACCGATGCTTCCGGAACAACAAGATCGTCAAGGCCGCCGGCGGGTGGACTGATGGCTGCAGAGGGAACGATGGGTAGCCGCGCGGCTCGGAATTTTCTTTCCAATGTCTCACGAACAAAAGCAAGCGAAATTGACGCCAACGTCCCTCTGCGGAGAGACAGACTCTTGCCCCGACCCATTCTGCCGGCAGCAGCTCTACAAGTCATTCGTGAGTAGGACTCCCGCAAGGGGGTTGTCCGCATTTGGATCACAGCGCTTCGGTGACATGGTGATGGGAGCCAGGGTTTTTCTCTGCGGAGACCTAGTGTAGACTGTAAGCCGTGAAGCTTCCGCGGCTGGCGTCAGCAGCCCCCCGGACTTTGGACTTTGGAGGACTGTGGTCCCGACCTCTGCAGGCACAGACCAAACACGTGTCCGCCTAAGCACGGATAACATGCTCACCTCCGGTTGTCAGAGTGTGTACAAAGCCTGGTTGTTCTGTTCCGACTACCTTTGCTATTGGTGGTTTCTTCAAGGGCGACATCTTATCCCGCTAGGCTCGTTGATCTACTGGATAGTGTAGTAATGATAGGGACACAGTAGTGACACAGCGGGCCTCGGTCTGTTTCTGACTTCCAGTGCTCTCCAACTGCGTAGAATCGCCGGCGTTGTTCTGACCCCCGGGAGACTAAACAAAATGGGCAAGATGTGCAATGGCACATGTTTCGAGGGTATGATTCGAATCGCCAGCTGAAAGGCGCCACGACCTCATTTCTGTTGTCGCGAAGGCTAGGTGTGTTGCTGATTGCTTTCGCTCATCCTGGAGAGGGTCTTCTCGAACCCATAGGCCTCGTCTTCAACCCAGATCAAACCGTAGTTCTCTCAGGCGGCAAAGGGAGAAACACGAGTCCATGACGCCCCCTCTTCATCGGCGCGAAATTCGACGCCCTCGCCAAAATATCCAGCATCCTGCCAGGCCTTCATGGCACTGCCATCAAAAGGGCCCTGTGTCGCCCCGTCATCGCGCCCGTCAACCCATCTAAACAGCCACTTTCGATTTGGGTCGGCAGCAGTCTCAGCAGTATCCGCCGCTCGAGGCTCGACCCAGTCTTCTCCAGTTTCCCGACTCCATTCTCGCACAAGAACCTCACGCTCTTGATCGTAAATTTCCTCGTGGTCGCGACTTAAGAGCTTGTCTGATGCGTCTGTGATCATACGTATTGACTCCTTGATCTTGGCCTGCTCAGAGTCCTCGGCCTCCTGATCAACGTCCATGGTATCTTTCTTCATCTTCTTGAGTTTCCAGCTGGGAATCTTCTTCTTCGGCTTTTGACTCTTCCCTAGGCGTGCAAGGGCCTCCAACGGAGTCTCTGCCTTGTCGAGCTGCAATATCAGGCTTTTCAGCAGATCAGACACGGAGACATTGTCCTCGTCCAGCCGTTGCTGCCGTGCCTCGGCCTCCCGTTTCTGGTGGGCTTCAGCAGCTTTGCGGATGGCCTTCTTGCTTGTTCCTTCCAGCCAGTTGTCATGAACGGCATCGGGGTCGCCGGCTTGGCGAACGTAATTTCCCTGTTCATCAAATTTACCCTCCTCCAACTCATCCCGTAGATTGAAGCCTTCGAGCTTCGGCGCGTTGCGTTTCAGCCCTCCTGCGCCAACTTCCTCGTCAATGCCCTCCTCCTGGACGGCGAGCGCAACATCTTCCTCGTCGTCGCTGCTATCTTGATGATCGAGGTGTGCCGAGCTCACTTGGCCCTCGATCTTGTCGGCATCGAGAAACTTGACGTGCTTTGGCTTGATGCCGGCGGCATCAACGTCTGCTGGACCAACATCATCCGTGTCGGCACCAGCAGCTGCGTCGTCGTCGGGCGCAAACATGTCGTCGTCCTCCTCGTTGGCTGCCGTGTCCCTTTGTCCTTCTGGCCCTGTGCCAGCCGCATCGTAGTTCCCAAAGGCATTGCCGATGTTGACGTCGCCTTTTTTCCTCTTTTGCGCCTTATCGTTGAAGGTGTCATTGTCCGAGTCGCTGTCGTACCCATCCACGTTCACCGCACCGCGCTTCGTCGCTCTGCCGCCGCCAATCACGTCGGCTTCCAGTATCGCGTCATCCTCGCGAGCTTGCGGCGCGAGATTGGACGGGTTGCGCACATCGAACTGTAGATTCGTCGAGTCGGTATTCGAATCGTTGTGCTGTGCACGGGCGTAGACCTCGCCCTCTCGACTAGGCCGCGCAGCCGAAAATCTTGATGCCATATCGTGATGAACCAGCGAACTGCGCGAGCTGGCTTTGAAGCATAGATAGCATGGTTGTTCAAAGGAAGTGTGAATCACAATGTCGCAATAGAAAACGACCCGAGTTTGTGTAGCTTTGACGCCACACTTCAAAAGATTACCTAGCCACAGTGTGGAGGGGACCATTGTGCGTCATGCAGCCAGCTGCCTCCGAGCTTCGCCCCACGTCACGACGTTCAGTTTCCACCTGTCAACGATCCCGAACCAGCTTCGCACTTCCACCTCTTGAATACCAGTTGCTGCAAGCAAGCCTTTGTCCCCTTTCAAGAACAGCTCATCATCCGGATACACCATCCGCCACAACCAAATAGCGAGCGAACCGACTTTGACAATTGGTTGAGCCCTACTTGTAGCTGTCTAGTCATGGTATGGTATCTTCCGGGGGGGGGTTGTATCTGTCGGCTCTGACCTAGCCATAGTACTCCAGCTTCGGAGGCGGTCCCGGCATGGACCCAGCAGACTTTCTAAACATGCGCGCCGGCCGCCGACCGATCGTCCAGCGGTTCGATGAATACTACCGCTGCTACCCCATCATCATGGCCCCCGGCAACGCTCGACCAGAACTGAACTACGGATCGAAGATCATCCTACCTCCCTCAGCCCTCGACAAAGTGTCCAAGCTTCATGTGCAGTGGCCACTATTGATGGAGCTTATCAACGGGGCCGGACCGAAACAGACGCATGGTGGCGTGCTGGAGTTCATCGCAGAGGAGGGCAGGGCATACATCCCACAATGGGTGGGTGGCCCCCGACACCATGAAAATCCCATACTGACCGAGACAGATGATGGAAACACTGGGCATGGACGTTGGTGACATGATCCAGATACGGACGACATCGCTGGAGCTTGCCAAGATGGTGAAGCTGCAACCCCAGTCTACTAACTTCCTCGATATCAGCGACCCAAGGGCAGTGCTGGAGCGAGCCTTTCGAAATTTTGCGACACTCACAAAAGGCGATGTCTTCAACTTTGAATACAACGACACAGTGTATGACGTTGCGGTGTTGGACGTCAAGCCCGAAACCGACAGGATGGGCGTATGCATGATCGAGACAGACGTATCAGTCGAGTTTGCACCCCCAGTGGGATATGTCGAGCCTGAGCGCCAGAGTGGGACGAGCACCCCTCGAAGCGGACGGCCAGGAGTTCCTGCTGGTGGCGTGCTTCACAGTCAAGGCACCATGGCACAGGCCATCAACTACAACGCTATCGCGCCCTCTGTGACGAGCACTCCGACCAACTTTCTCGGCGAAGGACAAAAGCTGGTCAAAAAGGGCAGTAAAACTGCCACTCCCAAGCCTGCAACGCCGGTCCCAGCTGATGCCGCCGTTCCGCCGACACGCCGCGACGGAGCTCCTGCCCCTCTTCGATTAGCACCAAACAAGCTATTCTTCGGATACGAGATTAAGCCGGTGAAGACTAAGGAAGAAAAAGAAGAAGAAGCGAAGAATACGAGCAAACCACACTTTGCTGGTCAGGGACAGTCACTACGTGGCGCTGTCAAGCGCAAGGGCGAGGGCGATGACAAGGGCAAAGCCCCTGAGAAGAAGGGATCCGGTGATGGAAGCCGCCTGGACCGCCGTCCGCGATAAGAGGTCTTGTTTAGTTTGGGTCGGCGTTTGGGGTCTAGGGACGCATAGAAATTGCTTTATCTGGGACACACTATTCGCCTATTTAGCGGGCAAAATCATACTCGACGGTGCACATTTTCACGCAATCCGACTCTACGGTATCGGCTCTCGCGGATCTGTTGATCATAGACGCTCAAGAAAAGTAGGGAATTGTCACTTTCAGGAAGTCAAGTCTGCGTGCATCAACGAAGCTTCTATTGCCGAAAATCACAAAGCAGCCCAAGCCGGGGCAATGCACATCCCAAGCTCATTTCTTACCCTAAACCTTCCTTCGACTGCTCGACAAACAAACGAAGCCAGGGCATAGTGTTCGACTATGGAGCCGAGCTTACTCCTAGGCACCACCACTAGGCTGTGAAACCATTGAGCCACTCCTTAAACTTGGCACCGTCCGTGCCCGATGCAAGCCTGCTTAGCTTCTTAGCTGAGCTCAATGTGGGCTTCAAAACGAGGCACCTACCTAAACAAGGCAGAGACTTACTCCTCCGCTTCATCAGTGTCTCCGGAGTCCTCGGTCTTGGGCTCCTCAACCTTGGCCTGTCGCTTGCGCTTCTTGCTAGGCGTCTCGTCACCCATTGCCTCCTCTTCGGCCCTGACCTTCTTCGTCTTCTTCGCAGAACCCTTGCCCGTGCTCTTCTGAGGAGTGGCTGGAGCGGTGTTTTTGACCGGGGTGAATTTTTTCGCGTCGGTGGGCATGCTGTGTCGCTCCTTGAAGGACTTTAAGACCCTCTTGGACCAGTGTTGGCTTTTTGGCATGGTCATTAGCATCGCGGAACGTCTGTGGATGACTGGTTGTACCTACTTCATGGCGTCCTTGGTGAAGCTATAGCCCCAGTCGCTCATGGACTCGTGGGCTTTGTTCCAGTCCGCCTTGATCTTGCCGTCATTCTGGCTCAGAATGATAGCCATGGCAAGGTCCTTCTCGGCGGAATCATCCCACTTCTTGTTGTCCTTGCCGTTGGCGGACATGGCTGTTAGGTCGTTCGGGACTAGACGTGATCAGTGAGTTGCAAAGACGAAGAACTCGTAAAATGACGAGGACACATACTTATCGACTGCTTATTCTTTGAGTTGTTAGGGTGCTGCCGGGCGCGAAGGGAGTACAGGCAATCGGGTAGTATACTCGCAAGCAAGTGAAGAAAGGTGGGAGGAAGGAGGAAAAGAGGAGATGAAAAGAAGACAAGACAGCAGATAAACCGTGGCCTGTACTTTCGGGGCATTCACTCTCTCTGAGTGTAAGACAACAACAAGCATGGCATGGGCGAACCAGCTGGCTCGTTTGCTGGGCAGATGAGACGAATATGAACGGGACGTGAGCCGCTCAATTGCAAGGCTGCAATTCACTCGCAGCTCTTTTTTTGGCCGCGGCATCGAGAGTTTACCTTGACAAGTAGGTGTTGTCTCAAGAACATGCCGCGCGTTGACATGTCGTATAGCCTGCGAGTGTAGACAGAAAGAGTGGCGTATTCGGTCATCTTTATCAGTGTGCGTCTAGGGATATAGTGAATACACTGCATGCGATTTGCGTCAGCGTCAACATGTGATAATCAAGGAAATGTCATTTTTCATGGTCAGCCAGTCGCCCAAAATGGCAATCTGAGCAACTAGGCAAACCGCAAGTGCAGGTAAACTATCAAAGCCGTTCGTGTTTGCCCCAATCCATACCATCATCAAAGTCAACAAACCGTAGCCCACCCTGTGCAAGTTGCCAACGAGGTCACTGCAAAAGCCCTTAAGACGCAATGTCTGCCATAATTCAGTCTTTCTGAGGCTCAGTATCTGTCTCCATCTCGGACCCTCGGTGCTGTGGAAGTAATTAGCAAGTTGTCGAACCCGGGGTTTTGATGGTGACTTACTCGACAAGCCTGGCCATGGTTTAAGCAATGGCTTCTTGTTTGATCTTTTTGAGGAGTTGATCACCGTCCATATCAGCCTCGGCCTTTACCTTGGCCATGTGGTCTTCGAAACTCTCTTCCTCATCACCATCACACTGCTCGTCTTCGACCACCTTGCCCTTGGCCTTCTTGATTGGCGCCTTGCGCTTTCGAGGCGTAGAAGCAGCACTCGCAGTCCTCTTGACGGGCGTGGTAGGCTTGCTGCTGGGATCTCCGTTTGCTCCCTCGTTGAGGCGGGACATGTCGCGGCTCTTGCGAAGCTTCTGAATGTGTTGGCTGTGGAAGAGCTTGTTAGCAACTGCTTGTCAAAGAAAAGTGTCAAAGCTCGTGTCTCGAAGCGTACTTGATGGCGTCGTAGGAGTATGTATAGCCCTTGACTCTCATTCGCTCCGTAATATCTGTCACTATTGCCTTGGTGGGCTTGCAGTAGTCCAACAGACAGAGGAGAAGGTCCTCGTGGGAGGCCGCGCCCCATCCACGCTTCATGGTGAGATGTGAGGAAGGGAAGATGTATTAAGATATGTAGTTGTGGCAATTGTGGTTGTGCCGCGCAGTTCAGACTCGCTGGAGCAATAAAGCAGAATTAGGATATGAAAGGATTCAAGTAGGTAGATCGACGAAGATTGAAAGTGGGCAGAGTAAGAAATGCAGGCGGGTTGACGGGCAGGTGAGTGAAGGGGGGAGGCAAAGGGAGCCAGAGGCAAGCAGTGATTACCGTAGTGCAGACTCGGAAAAGGTATGGCCCTTGGAGTGAAGACCTTCCATGATCTTTGTGAGATCAGACTGAGAGATTGTGATCGAATGGAAGACCTCGATGAGGATGTCCTCATGAGTCTTCTCGTCCCACTTGGTCAGGACACGAGACATCTTGGAAAATGTTGTTGTGGCCTTTCAAACCCGGAGATGAAGGATACTTGTTGGATTGTGGATCGTGAATCTCGCGGGAGAGAGGGTGGTGGTAGATGTGCGGGACTGAGGCCAACAGTGACTTGATCACCGCTAGGCGTTTTCAACGTTGCGAGAATGACGAATTGGGGAGAAGAGAGAGGAAAAAGTCAGGATATACCGCAGAGCGTTCCAGCTCACATCATGGCCGCACCCACCGAGGTAGGCAGCAACAGACGCCTTGAACTCGGGAGTAAGGCCGCCACCGCTATCGAGACGATTGTAGAAAACAATCGACAACTCGCGGAACACATCGATGTTATCCCATGTGCCGGATTTGCCTTTCTTGACCAGAGTTTCGTTCTCGGATGCCATTTTCGTGGTGATCACGGTCGTGAGCGATGTGGTGGTTGTGGTATGGGGAGTTTCGTTGCTCGATGAAAGATCGACTCTTGGTGTTGACGAGGCTGCAATGGTTGTTGAGTAACGCTGATCTGATCATCATCTCAGGGGAGCCACAAAATTCAGGCCATAGACATCCTCTGGCTGTGTTGTCATCTGGTCTCATACACCCCTGATCGCTTTCAGTGCTCGACAAACAAGATTTCTGATTGCTATCTCGATTCGGAATAAATAACACACCGCCCCCAAGCATCGCTAAATCCAAGCATTACTCCCAAAAGTCAAATTTGTTTATTATTAGAAGCATATCTCCGACAGACACCGCTCGCGTATCGACAACCCCGGGGGGATGGGGCAAATGTGTCGCCAAAAGCTCAAGGGCTGCTCTCATATCACTGCGCTCCCAAAAGACTTCAGCAGGAACAAGGGGTTGTGTCTCAAGCTTCGCCATAGTCAAAGCTACTATTGATTAGCCATGAACGACTAGCACGACGGAATACGATTGACTTACTCCGGGGGGTACTGGTCGGAACCGCCATTCCCATTGTTGGCGTCGGCGAGGGCAAGAACTGGATCATCGTCATCCAAAGGCTGGTCTTGGCTAATTTCGTCTTGGCTTTCTAAGCGTTGCCGCTTCACAGGAGGGCCATCCTCGCCCTCATCTTGTTCCTCGCCCTGTCCATCCTCCGACCGTATTGACAAGTGCTCAACGCCGGAGCCGTTGTGGCCAACATTCGGCGACGCTGCTGCAGCAGGATTATGGGGTGTGGTGGGTGCCGGCGCTGGCTGGATGGTTTCTTGTTTAGTTGCTTGTGCCGATGAAGGTAAGTCCATGGATGATTGCATCGCTGGGGTAGGAGGGGTCTGTGTCTGGGTATGCAATTGTGTCTGCGCCTGCGCCTGCTGGTCGGGTACAGGGCCGTAATGCTGCGTTTGCTGGCCGTGCTGTTGCGAGGCGAAGTGATGGGCCGCCTGACTGGGATGTGGGGGCTGTCCTGCCTGGGGCTGCTGGTAGTGAGGGTGATGTTGCTGTGGATGCTGCCCAGGGTGCTGCTGCTCTTGGAACTGCTGGTGCTGCTGCGCTGCTTGTTGCTGAATCTGTGGCTGAGGCATGTTTGAGAAGGCCGGAGGAGCTGACTGCAGATTGGGATCCTGATTAGGGGCGAGCTGGCTTGGTCCAACATCCCCAGGGGATGACTGGCTTCCATCGCCGCTGGCATCTTTTTTCGGCCGTCCTCGACCCGGACCTGGTCTCCTTGTAATAGGATTCAGTGTTGGATCGTTTTTCCGGTACGGGTTGTGTATGATGCCGCCATTGGCTTCAGCCTTGCTCTGGGCTCGTCTCAGCCCCTGAAAATGCTGCCTGCAACATCGTCAGCCAATGCGTCTTCACCAATACAGCCAGAACAATGCATGGGTTTGACAATTATGAAGTAGTCTTTCATGCCGACCAGTCGAGTATGAGATCATGCCAGAGGGCCTCCGGCATGGGCAACATGGGAGGCCGCCAGACGCGCTCCAAGCCATGCGCTTATCAGCCGAGAGACCTAAATTGAAAGCATCTCAATGAGGCTCGAATGGTACCCAGAAACAACTTGCAGTCACCAACCCATTAAAAAGGCAAGAAGCTTCAGAGAAAGCGCCCGGCAATAGTTGTACTCACCGGCAACCCTCGTTGGTGAAGCCATATCCCATGGCTCGCAGGGCGTTACCAATGGTGACCCATTCCGAGCCACTGATGACGCCAATGTTCTTCACAGACAAGATGGTGAAAAACAGGTCCTTGTCGGCGCGATCGTTCCAGTTCTTGCTGTTCATATTGAATAAGATTGGAAGGATATATTGGACTGTAGAGCTACTCCAAGTCGCGTACGATGAGGACGCGATGGGTTCTTAGATGTTCAGTGTTAAGTCGAAGACAGATCCACCCGCAGAATTGGTAGTGACTTGCGTCTCTGCCGCCACATGTAAGGAAGGTTCGGCACAGGAGCGGAAGAACGTGGAGCCGGAAGAGCGCGTCTGGACTCGGCGCCGGTAAACTTGTGCTTGCACAACGAACATGGTCGACCGGAAGACCGTTCAAAGCCAGGGTATGCTTAGATACGACATGTCAGCTTTGCCAAAGCTATTTCTCAAGTCCTAGAGTGGTTTTCATCGCGAGTCTGCCGGTCATTCATCGCTAAGATACCTGAGCATATCCGGAGCAGCGCCTGAGTTTAACCGACGAGAGCCAAGACCGTTGCACTTACTTGCCTTAGGCACCCACAACTCGCGTCAGATCGCAGCTCGAGCTTGAGTGGGGCACTTTACAGCTCACGTGCATTCGTGACAAGCTGGCGTTACGGGGTCGAGATGCCTTGCACAGTGCCCATCGCGTTCCGCGCCTCCCAACGTCCGCATGAACCCCCCATCTCGTTGCGTTGAGATTACTGCTTCACTCTGACCGTAGAGCTGGCTCAAAACTCTCGAATTGCCATCGAATACATGTTAAAAACTCGCTGCAAATTTTCCCGGCGATTAGACGATAATTGAGCGTTGATTGCTCATGGTTTGCCGTCGACGCGAATCGTCCATTTTTACGACGTCACCGCCTCGAAACAAAGGCTTCGCCAGCTTCACCAGCGCAGGGGCTATTTATTGTGGATTGGACAGCGGCAGTCCCTCACATGGGTGTCACCATAAGAAATGAAAGGTGTCAACTCACTCACGAAGTCATGATCCGAAGCAAGCAGGGGTTTTAAGGTGCCCTTCACTGTTCAATTCTGGAAGGGCATCACTTGGTCAGTGACGGCGCCGCTTCAATGCCTGGAAATTCGAAAATCTGGCAAACGAATCCAACTTTAATTGAAGGCACAGGATACAATAATTGGGCAGGGCCTCTTGTATGCTATGAAAGTAAGGTACATTCTTTTCCGCTCCAGTCGTTGTGATGCATGGGCTTGCGCCTCGATTCCGGCGAGGAGTGAGTCACCGTGTGGATGGGCGCCCGCCGTCAACTCAACGTAAACCTTCGAGGCCCAGCACCACGAACATGAACGAACAGGGACATGAGTTATCCAAAGAAAATGCCTCGGAGTTCTCTTAATTCTTCGACAACCAAGTCAATCTCTTTAAGATAATAGTTTGCTTTCCCCACCTCCAATGGGCTTAAGTGGTTGCAGCGGGATTGGCAGGGGTCGCCCCAGCAAACTCAACGCGCAGTGGGGAGTTGGCACTTTGAAGCCGGCAGGTCGTCGAGAATTGATTGTCGCCGAAAAGCATGCATCCATTGACTCCGTATCTCATGTTCTGATGCCGCACATGCACGATAGGACCAGGCTTACCATTTTGGGCCGACCCTCTAGGCAACAACCACCCCTGCTCGGTGCCATCTCAGACATGATTCGCCACAACCTCACAAATGCTGCACTGTGCAGCTTCGGTTCCTGGAAACCGTGGAGCCTCTCATTCGCACCACCATCAGCTTGCTTATAAGTCCGGAGGCCCTCGAACTTTTAAGGCAGATTCACGGCACCGCTCTCGCCTCTTCTTCTCTCCTTCTTCTGTCTGATCTCGTAACCAACTTTGAATCGTCTTCGATTCGATCAGCAGCACCGCATCGCCTACTACGACAGACCTCACCAGTCCAGAACTTCAGAGTCCATACCACCCATTCGAATCCGCCATACTAGCTCATTGATGTGGCTCGCCTGAGTGCTACTCACGCGCCATTTGCCTGCAGGCTGTGATAAATCGAGCCCTTTCGAAAGTAAATACGTATCGGCAGCCGCTCCTGATTTCATCTCAGTGAGTCACCCAACTTCCATCTTGTTCTGTGTGCTTGGTCTGGTTAGCCATCACGATACTGCCTAAATGCTGCCCTAACTATAAATCTCGGTCACAATTCTTGCCGTACTACCTTACCCTCTCTAACATGAATAGGGTCACAGCATCGAAGCAACCATCCCGCCATGTCTCCTAACAGCGACAATGCCATGGCTCGCTTTTTGTTCGCCATACTGAAGCAGAAGAACCTGAAGGATGTAGGTCTGCCGCGGTGACTTCTGGAGATCTTCCATTTTAATTATTCCTCAGATTGACTGGAACCAAGTTGCAGAGGATCCCGTGCTCTTGCAGCCCATCTCGAATGGCCACGCTGCGAGGATGCGCTACTCCCGCTTCAGAGCAACGGTATCCAATGCTGATAGACGTTCACCCTCCTCGTCGACGGGCGCGAAAAGCAAGAGCATGGACAAGAACCGAGTGTCAAAGGCGAAGTCGAAGAAGGACGGTCCAATCAAGGTGGAACAGGGGCGCGCTGTCAAGCAAGAATTCACACAGCTCTCACTGTCAAACTACTCGCCCGCATCAGGATCAGCACCCTCGCCATACTTATCCGACCACTACGACGACTTCACTACTCGGTTTCTGACACCATGCAGCGATGACATGGGAAACCCAAACCTCGCCATCAATCCCTCTGCGATCGAGCGTCCCCCCGGTCCCCAGACTTTCTCCCCAGCGCTTGACTTCATGCAAGCTGCTGCCGTTCACAATCTCCAATCACCAACATTTTCCGCATTTGACGAGGCTGCCTTTGACATGAATACATTCATGACTTCCGACAGCCAGTCTGCTGGTCCCAACCCCTCGGACGAGTGGCACGACCGCATCCACCACCAATTCTGATACCCCAGCGGAAGACGTTCCGCGTCACTTGCAAAGCGAGATGCCATCATGACCACTATGTAACACAAAAAGAAGAAAAGGGGGATCTCGGAGTATAACTAGATTTGCTCGCTTTGGGCGGCTGCATTGCTTTACGATTCATGACGAGGGGGATCCGTTCGCCGGCATTTGGTTGCCTTTGGTTTTCCAGCCAAGCTGCCTGGCTTTTTTGGCGTTTTTGCAAAAGGCGTTTTCTTACACTTTATCCCCGAGACTGGTGTCGGTTGTTGGTTTTGACAAGACTATTTGGTATCGTGGTCTGAATAGAGCTACAGTCTTGATCCTCAATGAACACTGACCTGCGGCGACTGTCTCGCTCGAACATAATAATTCTACACGAAGTTCCGTTCTGTACTTGATTCATCAATCTCCCAGGCAAGTGAAAGCAGGCACTCAGGAGAACATCTCAAACTGGAATAATGGCGACGGCTAAGAACGTTCTCGTATTCAGACAATCAGCTTCCCTCTGAGAGCCTCAATGCATACACGCCACTTCCCTTCGCCTCATCTCATTTCACACCTCCGTCACTCAACCAATTGCTCACTCCTTGTGCAGCCTCACATCAATCACTTTCACTTCTCATTGATCCAAGTCAGCCCGAACTCTTCCAACAACCATCAACCTGTTATCGCCTTTTGCGCTCCTAACCATTTACTCCTTCAAAAGCTCACCAAGTCCATTCATCGTCTTCCACATTTATTCATAGGCACCAGCATCCATCCACCCAACATTCAACATGACCGAAAAGAACAACATGAACGCCGACGACAAGCCCAAGAAGGAGCCCACTCCTCTCGAGGCCATGTTCTTCTTTGCGATCGTCAAGCACACCAAGAACAAGGCTGATATCGACTGGGCTGGTGTTGCTGCCGAGCAAGGCTTCAAGTCCGCTGAAGTGGCCAAGGTAAGTAGACGGTCACATTCATATGCATCTGTCGCTAATATTGCTGCCCAGGTTCGTTTCGGACAGGTCAAGCGCAAGCTTGGGATCAACGACACAATTACGCCAAACCGCAAGGGCCCTACCAACTCTCCAGGCAGTACCCCGACAAAAGTCACCAAGACGCCAACCAAATCTCGAGGTGGACGCCAGAAGGCGCCTGTGAAGAAGGAGGAGTCTGACACGGAAGGAGACACCAAAATCAAGACAGAGGTCAAGTCAGAGAGCCGGGGCAAGAGTTTCAAGGGTGAGCGGGACGAGGAAGACTCTGATCCATCGACCCAACTACAGGCCGACATGGATGCAATGCTGAACGAGGACCCTTTCTGATGGCAGCGTCATGATAGTTGTGGAGCACTGGGACAGCGGAAAATACTAGCTTTCGATGGTGGCGGTGGAAGATATCTTCGGATCAATTTGCTTTGGTTGCAATCAGTTTTACGGTTGCAGACTGGATTTGGGGATGATAGCAAACATGAGCGCGACGAAGAAGCACAATAACAGGCTCTAAGGCTCAATGAATGGTTTCCACATCAGTATTGAATGCGGGCTCTTGAGACTTCTTTGCAAAATGATTGAGATTGTGATGGCCGATATCGAACCGAGTGTCACTTTACTCTCTCCCATATCCATGCTTCAGCCGCGATCTTCACTGCTCTTTGACGGAATGGCGATAATCATGTCTACAAGTAGGTGCTCATTAAATATATACTAGTGGTAGAATTTTGATATCAATCCTTTCTCTGCGCAGTGCCTGGCTCTGGGGGAGGTGACAGGGAACTGAACGGATACCCAGTGACGCGGATTAGCAGCCTGGCTGTCGTATCTCACCCTACCTGGTAAGGTTCTCCAATTTACGAACAGTGAAGCTTCTGGCTTTTTCCTATCTATATAAGTCTTGCGCGCTCAATTTCCTCTTTCTTCCCTACACCTGCCAACACTATCCACCAAAAATTGCTTCGAAGCTGTAGTCACCTCACAGCAACAAGACATCCCTATACTGCACAACTCTTTTGTACAGCTCGCTCACCTCCACTTCATCGGTATGCATCTGTATCTTTTAGGTTCTGCGTCGCGTCTAACATAACCAGTAATGGCCAAAGCCGAGTCCGCAGGCGACGAGCCGCTCGCCCTCAGCAACAACGAGCTCAAGTTCATCAAGGCTCTGTTCGACAACATGACCCAAAAGCCGGACGCCAACTGGGATGCTGTTGCCACCACGCTGTCGCTGAAAGACGCCAAGTGTGCCAAAGAGCGCTGGCGTCAGCTGTCTGTTCGTCACGGCTGGCGGGAGGGCGCCGGGTCTGGCAACGCCTCTCCCTCTCCGCGCAAGAAGGCTGATTCTACTGCTGGCAAGGTCGGTAAGACAACAACTCCTCGCACTCCACGCGAAAAGAAGGCTGCACCTGAGCCAGAGCCTGAGGCTGAAGTCAAGGAGGAGGATAAAAAGGAGCAGTCTGAAGAATGTTACGAGTCTCCTTTCTGATTCGGTCAACGTTCCTCCTGGAAGGTGCCCGGTACATCAAAAATATGCACCTATCTCGAGAATACCAAGTGCATACATCTGCCTCTTCTATGATCTTCGCGATGCAGTGTAGGGCATTCAAAATAGGTTGTTCAAGGTTAGATAGCTCACAAGATTGGGAAGAAACTGCATAGTATCTAAAACTCGCTGTCTCTTCAAACCCTTTGCTGTTCACCCCACGTACAGATTAAATTAACGTTAGTGATAGAAATCTTGCGACCAATTGGAGTAAGCATTTCATCCAGATCTTGATATTGCCTCGCTCACAAAATTTCACCATCCTAAAAGCCTGTCCCTTTGCGCTGACAGCTGGTACTTTTATACAATGAGTTCAATTCCGCAACACAAACCTCAGGGCAAACACAATCTCGAATGTTTGAAGTAGCGCCATGGTCTTGCTTTCGCATTGCTGTTCGCGCTCTCATGTCCATCTAGGGTAGGCATCTAGAATTGACCCTGTTGACGACACTGGAGCCCCTGGGACCCACAGTAAACAAACAACACTCACCGGTGACTGCAAAGTGAAGACATCGACATGTAGCCCCCAGAGCAAGGCTCGTTCTTTGCCACCAACAACATGTCTTGCAAGAGGCCTTCGAAGCCTGTGTATATGTCGATTTGTCGAGTTTGGATCTTTTTATCCTATCTGTCATCATCGGTCCTTCAGGTGTATGTTTGGCAAGCCCAACTACTCGTCCTGTCAAACACTCGACAGTTTCCAGACCAAAAACAATCCCGATTGACTGTTGGACATTCTGATTGATACAGTCAAAGTACAATATCAGGCATGATCACTCGACAGTGGTGCGAGCACACACTATCTGCACAATCTTCGGTGCACAGGGAACTACTTGGAACGTTGAGGCATTTTCGGAGCACTCATTGATTTCAGACGGTAGCACGAGACGAAAATCTGTTCATTCACAGCTCTAAGAACAATGAAAGCACGCCCGTGCGTGACGTTCTCGAGGGCTCTCTACCTATCCGCGCCCCTTCTAGCCATTTCATTCCATCTTGTTCCGCCCACCTTTGACGCTCCGAGTCTCTCGCATCACACTCTATCCTGCAAATTTGTAACAATCAATTATCCTTCAGTATCCTCTCTCTGGTTTGAAGAATGGACCTGCCTCCCAACTTCGTTGATAACCTGACCGCTGCCGTAAAAGCCTTGCAGAACGTGGCCTCCGACTTGGTACGTTTTCCCATATCTGACAACTGTCTAGTCTGTCTCTCTCGTCACCTTCGTCTGCCTACTGAAGTTCACACATGGACCAATTCTTTCTCTTGAATCACACATTCTGATCCCTCCCAGACCACATTCTCGAATATTATCACCGCCGCAACTCCATCTTCTCAAACTTCAACAGCTTCTCTCAAGATGGCTGGCAAGACTCAGGATTTCGCCGGACAGGTCAAGTTCTTGGTGTCCTGCATCAAGTTCTCCAGCAATGGTAAGGTAGGCTTTGATAACGAACTCACTGTAAAACACTGTTACTAAACGGAAGCCAGCCTGACTTTGAGCAAGTCGCCAAGGACCGCAACATCGTTTCCAAGGCCGCAGCGTATGTGTCCCATATTCCCCATCGGTCTTGTCTGACTCCCATCAGCCAAAAGCGGTACGAGCGCATGATCAAAGCTGCCAATGAGGCCGACAGCGACACCAACAACAAAGAGGAGGAGACTCCCAAGAAGGCTACGCCGGCCAAGAAGCGCGCTGCCAAGGCTGCTCCTGCAGATGAAGAGCCAACACCCAAGAAGCGTGGCCGTCCCGCCCGCAAGACCCCCGTCAAGAAGGAGGAGTCCTCCGAGGACCTGACTGAGGAAGAGGAGGAGGAGGAGCATCAACCTGTTGCCGATGAAGATGAGGAGGACATCAAGCCTCCCGCCAAGTCGCCCGCCACGCCCAAGAAGTCCGCTCAAAAGAACGCGTCCAACGGTTTCACCCCGGCCAACCCCAAGTCCGAGGAGAATGAGGACGATGAAGAGACTTCTTTCTGTGCGTGTACCGCAGACTTGCATCTGTGCCCTACTGACAGCCCCCAGCTGACAAGGACAAGGAGGGCTACAAGTCCCCTTTTTAAGCACCTGGCATCATCCGCACCCGCCTGATGGATGATTCTACTTGGACCTTCTATGATTTGGCGATCTTATGTTTCTAGAAGAAGTTACAGGGGCCGCGAGATAGCAGAGACTTGACGAGCTAGGTCATTGCAGGTTCATCAGGGGATAGATGCTCAGTAGACACAAGATTTCGGATCAAATCGATGATTTTTTATTTCACAATGATATGCTGCCACTTGATTTCGATCAGTTTCAGCCCAGTGTGTCTGTAAAATTGCATGCTTTTGCACCTGAAGCATCTCGCTATGCCAGGAGCATGTGTGTCTCCCACCTTGCTCCAAGTGTCCAAGCCTCTGAGAACCTCCTCACTTTCATTAGGTATCTGGTAGGCATCAACCCAACCTCCCGACTTTACTATGCTATCAAACCACGTACGCGATTCTCAGTCTCTCACAATAGAGCTTCTTAGCTCATCCCATCTTGAAGCGAAAGCTTCTCTCGTCCCACAGTATTGATCGAGTCACGCATTGCAGCCTTGGTTACTATTGTCGAGGTATTCAATTTCAATGACTCCGTACAGTTCAATGGAAAACATCGTCAACAATAGCTTCAGTAATCCTATTGATGCTCAAAGAATCGCCTCAACGTATATCTGGGCCTCCCCTCCCCATTTTTCCATCATGATCTTCTCTTTCCCATCAAACATTTCCTCGCGGCTCTCAAAGTCATCAATTTCAAAAGTGCTCATACCTTGACTGTCCATCAGCAAAGGCTTCGTTTCACCAGGGGATTGACTGTACACTCCTGTCATGTCTCCTGAACCAGACTACCCTCTTCTCCCAGCCATGGCCTACAAGCGTCCCACGATACCTACCAGCGAGGATATCACCAAGTCAGACACCTCTGTCGCCAGTACATCAGCTCAGAAGGCAGACAGTTTTTGCACAATGACACCAGGTCGCAACATTGGAGCCCCATGGTTCGGTCTCAACACGCCACTATCTTCACATCCCTCCCCCTCCCCTTCCATTCGCAGCAGCTCGAGCGACTTGCCCATCACCAGTCTCAATGGCGAACAGCAGTGCAACACTGGCCAGCTGCGCATCATGGACAATGAGCTCGTCCGTGCCCGTCAAAACGGCGAGATGCCCCGCACTTCAGCCTCGCCGCTTGATAAACAAGCCATGATTGAGGACTACGGCTACTTGACTCAACTCCGGGAGATCCGAGGCGATGTCACTGCTCCAGCACCCGATACATACAAGACACTCAAGGTTGAGATCGCCAGGAGGATCCAGGAGAGGGACTCCACCAGCAACGACGAGGGGATGCGACAAGAAGCTGCCCGTCGTATCAACAGCTACCTCAAGTCAATCGAGAAAGAGAGGGACTTCTTTGATGCAGCCACTGCCTCAACACCCAGGACCCCTTCTGCGTCTGGAAGCCAGTGCTCAAGGTCCTGCAATTCCACTCGATCATCGCAGGTCGATGGCGAGACCATTGGCGAGGAAATCTTCTCAATTGTCGGGGAGGTTGCTGATCAGACCATTCATGATGCCACTGAGCCCCTGAAAAGGCAGGTCCAACAGCTTCAGCAGCTGGCTGTGGCACTGTACGGGAGGAACGATACGTATGGAACTCACAACGACACGCTCGGTACCCACAGCAATGCGATCGGTGTTCACACTGATCAGTACAGCACCCAAAATGACATCCACAGCTTTCACAATCTGCATCTTGGACAGCTTGTGGGTGCCTCATCGCAGAACCTGGCTCTGCTGGAAGGCATCGTCACACAGATTTCCGACCTGGCCATGAACTTACCCACTGCCATCGACCAAGTCGTTTCACAAGGTGTCTCTCATCATGTTAACCAACATGTCGAGGTTGCCCTTGACAAAGTCATGAACGCACAGCAGCAAGCCATGATGGCTCTTGTCGACATTGACAACAAGCAGAAATCATCGATTGACTACGACCTCCTTGCATCGAAGATTGCCGGTCATATCTCTGCTCAAAAAGCTCCGGAGAAGCCCAAACAGCATGCCGAGCTTCGGCGTCGCCTGAGGAGAGTCTTCAACCGCTCTTGAAGGCTGAAGAGAATGCAGCAGCGGATATTTGTATGGTCATTTGTGCTTGATTTTGTGGAAAAAGAGCGAGCAGGGGAGCAGCAAAGCGTTTCACCATACACGTCGGATTTTGGGTGACCTTCGAGACAGGAGTTTGCGGTCTTTACTTCGAGATACCCCTTAACAGCAGTGCCAGCACAACAGAACATGTTCTTTGGTCAACCAGTCGCTCCAAAGTGAATCTTGCAACCTCGATCACCCCCCATATCATGACATGTCGGCCTGCTTCTTCCAACCTGCGTGCGGACAGTGCCGACCGCAAACGCCATGGCAACGCCCCTTTTTCGTCTGAATTCAAAGTTCAGATCAACCAGACCAACCACCTCCCAGCCTCCGCCTACCATTGTGCTTACAGCACTGCTAGTGGCAAAAGTGATGCTGAACCCGCTGTAAATGCCTCAGCCCGATTTCTAGATCGTTGTGCTGGACCCTCGCGCGTCTCTCTGTGGTTGTGTTATGGCCTTTTGACGTTGCCCAGTTGCTGGTGCTATGCTGCCTTCGATCCTCTTCCACCACACCGACCCTGCGGCTCAAGTGTCCTTTGTTCTTCAACCTCTTCTTACGCTGAACTGCACAAAGCGAGTCCTTTTTCGTCTTCAGACATCCCAGTCTACTCGACTGTCAAGCATAGCTCTTCCATCTTGCAAACTGCCCAAACGGAACACAACGACGAGACCCCGCATCTTCGCCAGAAATCGGACATCTGCAGTTGTGAGTACCTCATCTTGGGGCCGAGCAACGGAATCAAGAGCTGATGGCCCTCCTCCAACAAGTAACTGGTGACAATGACTTCAGGTACAAGTGCGAAGCGGACTGCGGCCAAGAACAGCACGCCCGCCAAGACTCGTCGCTCTGCTTCCAAAGCTATCAAAAGCGAATCTCCTCTACCAGCGACGCCCAGCAACCGCAAAACCACTGGCTTCACGTCCAGAATCCCGAGCTCCGAGGACATCCGAAGCAACGGTCGTGTCAACGGTCGTAGCCTGATCGTTTGGAGCCGTAAGTGATCCCCCGCTACTCACGAGCTACCAGCTCACGACGGACACACGCAGGCCCTCGCATGACTGAGAAGCTGTTGCTTCATCTCCACTACGAATGTATACGCCACAAGATCCAGCTCCCGTGGGATGCTGCCGCTCACCGTCTTCGGCCTGGCTCCTCTGGCGCTGCGATCCAGCAGCACATTGGCCGCCTTCGACGTGAACTCGTTGCTGAAGGTCATCTCGTCCCGCCCCTGCCGGTTCGTCCCTCCTCCAAGGAGACTGGGCATGATCCCGAGATTCGCGGCTATGTTCGCGACACGGACGGCGATCACAAAGCCGCCACTCGCCCCGTTCGATTCGACGAGGTCTGCGAGGACCTCAAGATGAACCTGCCTGACTCTTTCATTAAGGATGAAGAGGCTGAAGTGGGTGAGACCAAAGACTCCATTCTGGAGACTCCCTCGCGGGACCTGCCCTTCGAGCAGCATTTCCCCCAGTCACTGGCGAGCTCCCCTACACCACTGGGCCCTGCCTTTGCGTACTCCCACTCTTATCCAGAGCCCAGCAGCCAGTTTTTCCTCAATCAAGCGCACGTTATGGAGCCCCGCCTGGCACATGGCTCTTCGTTCAACACCGACTCTACATCAGCCAGTAGCTTCTCTGACAACAGCGACAATGTAAGTCTGTGAACTCTGCCACGGTGGTTTCCCAGGTTAACCTTACCCCTGCAGCACTTGATGGCGGACGTGAACATGTTCATTGGGCCTGGCGCGGCGATTCCTGATGGTAGATTGAGTGTCTCCATGAGGGCCATTGAGAACCGACAAGTTGACCAGCCGCGTGCTCAGACGGCCTCGGAGAAAACTTTTACGACCTCTTCCCATGGGTCCTCCCAGACGTCGGCGATGAGTTCGGTCGCCACTTCTTTCCAGAGTCAGGACCCCCACGATCCTTTTCGGGGCCCGCTGCGCCGCCTGGTCTACCAGGGCCCTCCCGATTTTAGGAGGTGTCCCTACCTGAACCATCCGGGTGAGCAGCACTTCCCCGAGATCAGCCCTGCGTACCAGTACCAGGAAGGCCTCGTGATGCATGCGGCTGGCGCGCGGAAGATGCAGGAGGCGAGCCTCCTCGCCGCCATGCATGGTGGCCATGGCCTCCAAGTCCGCGACACTGATGTTCAGGAGAATCGATGGGAGGCCGGCGAGGAAGGTAACCCTGTTGTCAAGGAGGAGGTAGCGACTCGTACAAGAACTCTGAGCCCCGAAGGAACTCATCTATGCATTGACGAAAACATGGATGAGTTCGTCGTAAGTATTCCAGGATTTCTTCCAGGTTCATGTCATGTACTGACGAGTAGCAGAAGGCTGAGTGTACTGACGACGTTATGTATTTGGCCCCCGAGGTTCAGCCTGCCCCTGAACAACTAAACAACTGAACTCGACTTGTCATTCAGCGACCCTGAACATGAGGTGTTCAATATTGTTTACCTACTTACGCAATTCTTCTCCCATGTCATAGCTTCTTTTTTTTTCACTGCTCCCTCTATCGCTGGCATGCGTTGCCTGCATGATTTGGCCTCGAGACATACATTACCGTAGGGTAGCTGGTTCTCATTTGGTAACTTTGGTTAGTTATCTTGCCCTCCCATTTGGCATACAGGGCCGGCGTCAGTCGGGACGAGGAGTCATAGACAAAAGTCTTTTCGCAGCAGAAAGGGAAGATTGGCACTGGCAGATAGACTCATCTTACGAATGGCACACAGAGTACCCGTCATCGTTTCCAGTGGGCATGTATACGTCGACGTTGTCAAACTTGCGATATCATCACGGCTCGATATTATTCCGATGCGCTCGGTCGCCGGTAATGTAATCCTTGTAAAGCTGAGCAGCTTGGGGTCGTGGACCGAGCCGGGTCTGGATTTGGGGGATTCGCCAATCAGACACGACCATATTATTTTTTCTGGGCCCCAGCGCAATGCTAAGTTCTATCGTCTTCTTCGTCTTCTTCGGCTTCATTCCCCCAGGTCCTCGAACTTCTTCTCCCATCATCACATCCTCCCCCGTTTTCTACTCTCTGTCGCTCTGTCATCTCACCGACTGCTCTTGTTGTGTCGTCTCCAGCCGACAACACAACGCATTTTCTCCTCCTATCATCTTTGTAATACCACTATACCCCTTGTAATTCCACATACATCATGCAGCGCGCGTTGAGCTCTGGGGTGCGAGCTTCGGCTCTGTCGTCGGCGGCGTCCAAGTACCGCGCCGGTAGCCTTGGTCAGATGCGCTTCGCTCACAAGGTATGTCCAGCCGCAGTGCTCGATTGACAGCCTGTCTCTAACCAGTCCCAGGAGCTCAAGTTCGGTGTTGAGGGTCGCGCCGCTCTCCTCGCTGGTGCCGACACATTGGCCAAGGCTGTCTCGGCCACCCTCGGCCCCAAGGGTCGCAACGTCCTGATCGAGTCCAGCTTCGGCTCCCCCAAGATCACCAAGGGTACGAATCTCTATCGATCATATTGTGCTTGGACAATGACTGATTCGCTGCTGCAGATGGTGTCACCGTCGCTAGGGCCGTATCCCTCAAGGACAAGTTCGAGAACCTCGGCGCCCGTTTAATACAGGATGTCGCTTCCAAGACCAATGAGGTCGCTGGCGATGGCACCACGACTGCCACCGTCCTCGCTCGCGCCATCTTCTCCGAGACCGTCAAGAACGTGGCTGCTGGCTGTAACCCCATGGACCTGCGCCGTGGTATCCAGGCAGCCACCGAGGCTGTCGTCGAGTACCTCCAGAAGAACTCGCGTGACATCACCACGAGCGATGAGGTGGCCCAGGTTGCCACCATCTCCGCCAACGGCGACCACCACGTCGGCAAGATGATTGCCAACGCCATGGAGAAGGTCGGCAAGGAGGGTGTCATCACCGTCAAGGAGGGCAAGACCATGAGCGACGAGCTCGAGGTCACCGAGGGCATGCGCTTCGACCGCGGCTTCGTCTCCCCCTACTTCATCACCGACACCAAGACGGCTAAGGCCGAGTTTGAGGACCCCCTCCTGCTGCTCTCTGAGAAGAAGATCTCCGCCGTCCAGGACATCATCCCTTCTCTCGAGCTGGCCACCAAGATGCGCCGCCCCCTCGTCATCATCGCTGAGGACATTGAGGGTGAGGCCCTTGCTGTTCTGATCCTCAACAAGCTCCGTGGTCAAATCCAGGCCGCTGCCATCAAGGCTCCCGGCTTCGGCGACAACCGCAAGTCCATCCTTGGCGACATTGCCGTCCTCACCAACGGCACCGTCTTCAGCGACGAGCTCGACATCAAGCTCGACAAGGTCACCCCCGAGATGCTCGGCAAGACCGGCTCCATCTCCATCACCAAGGAGGACACCATCATTCTCAACGGTGAGGGCACCAAGGACAGCATCTCCCAGCGCTGTGAGCAGATTCGTGGTGTCATTGCCGACCCCACCACCTCCGAGTACGAGAAGGAGAAGCTCCAGGAGCGTCTGGCCAAGCTCTCGGGTGGTGTCGCCGTCATCAGAGTCGGTGGCTCTTCCGAGGTCGAGGTCGGTGAGAAGAAGGATCGCTTCGTCGATGCTCTGAACGCCACCCGTGCTGCCGTGGAGGAGGGTATCCTCCCCGGTGGTGGAACTGCCCTGATCAAGGCTTCCGTCTCCGCTCTCAACAACATCAAGACTGCCAACTTTGACCAGCAGCTCGGTGTCACGATTGTCAAGAACGCCATCACTCGCCCTGCCCGTGCCATTGTCGAGAACGCCGGTCTCGAGGGCTCTGTCATTGTTGGCAAGCTCACCGACGAGCACGGCGCCGACTTCCAGAAGGGCTTTGACAGCTCCAAGGGCGAGTACGTCGACATGATCGAGGCTGGTATCCTGGACCCTCTCAAGGTCGTCCGCACTGGTCTCCTGGACGCCAGTGGTGTCGCTTCTCTCCTGGGTACCACCGAGGTCACCATCGTTGAGGCCCCTGAGGAGAAGGGTGCTGCCGCTCCTCCCATGGGCGGCATGGGAGGCATGGGTGGCATGGGCGGTATGGGTGGCATGATGTAAGTGACGGGAGACGTTGACGATGCATGTCTTGTTTTTTGAAGAAAGAAAAAGTTTCCCGGGCATTAGGGAGCATGGCTTTGGTGTTATCAGGGGGCAACTGGCCGCCTGGCGATGGCTGACCTTGGATGCGCGAAACTCCTCCGCTCTTCGTCATCTTACCTCGTGCCGCCAATCTGCTGGCTAGACAGGACTGTTTTCATACCTGTTGTATTTGTGGCGAGCTGTCTGTATCATACTATGTACTCTTGTAGACTCACCAATTGAAACGATGTAATTTACTGCCTATCTTTAATGCTTGTGATCACTGTGAAAATCTGACTCTTGTAGCTGCTGCCTCAAGGCAGCGATTCATTATTTCCATCTGAAGCCTCTATTTCGTCGCCGTCGAATCGACATTCTGCTGCCTGTCCGTCTGGCTTCTGATGGATGTCGCTCAGCAAATTGAGATCACGTGCTGTCCCTGTCTCACCGGCAACCCCACCACGTATCTGCCTACGTCGTTGTTTTGGCAGGAGCCTCACAGCCTAGAGGAAGGAGGCACCGCCTACCGGGCTGGCCTGCGGGCTCCACCAGTCGAGTCGTGGCGCTCCCCCTAAAGTCAGCTGTTTCCCCTCTATCTCAGATTGCTTCATCTCCATCCATCCCACGTACGATCGTAGACCAACGGACCTCGATTCCTCAACTTTTCCCGCCTTTTTCCTCCTGCATTTGCACATCTTCGGTCTGCTGCGGGTGCTTCTCTGAACATCCGGTACGTACTCCTTGCGCCCAAAAGAACTACCCACCCCGCATTTTCACTACGCCTCAGCGCCGCCCGTCGCAGCATTGATAGCTAACAAAGCTTCCTGCTACATAGTTCCCCTCTCCAAATTTCGTCACAAACAGACCACCTTCACACACCGCAGCCATGGTATGTTTGACCGGACAAGTTCTGCATTGATGTGTGCTGACCAGCCTTGCAGTCTCAATCCGGGTATGTCACGCATCAAACCTCTCGCCACGAGCAACCCCGCCTCGCGATCTTTGCCGCATACCACGATGGGATCGCGGGGCTTCCACCGAGCGACCGCGAATACCGCGCACGAGTTCCTAGAACAGGAGCGCTAATGCAAATCTTACAGAGCCACCGTGTCCCAGGACTGCATCACCGCCTTCAACGAGCTGAAGCTTAACAAGAAGTACAAGTACATCATCTACAAGCTGTCAGACGACTTCAAGGAGATTGTGGTCGAGGAGGCTTCCGACGACAAGGAATGGGACAGCTTCCGTGAGAAGCTCATCAACGCCACCACAAAGAACAAGAACGTACGTTGGGACGGATGCACTGCGTGCGAGGACCATGCTGATCAGAGCCAGGGTGCCATGGGCAAGGGCCCCCGTTACGCCATCTACGACTTTGAGTACAGCCTTGCCTCAGGCGACGGTATTCGGTATGCGGACACGTAGCTCCATCCGTGCCAACGACAGGTTCTAACACCCCACAGCAACAAGATCACCTTCCTGGCCTGGTCCCCGGATGATGCCGGCATCCAGCCCAAGATGATCTACGCCTCCTCCAAGGAGGCTCTCAAGCGCTCCCTGACTGGTATCGCCGTCGAGCTTCAGGCCAACGACTCAGACGACATTGAGTACGATTCGATCCTGAAGACTGTCAGCAAGGGTCTTGCCGCTTAAGCGTAGCAGCCATATATCAAAAGTTGCGCGGGTGTCGGTCCTTATGAGCCAAATGAATACAACATGCTTCCCGGAGGCTGCTCCCATTTCCAAAACCCACATATCTGAATGCAATGGCGTGCTTTACGATATGAACTGTGCTTCACTTGCCGAGACGCGAGGAAAGCATGCTTTTTCCCATTTGCTTGTAGTAATATGCAACGAGTAATGAGCATTCGCAGATGCTCACGGTTTCGATCGACTGCTCTCCCAACTTGACTTGAACAACGCAGACAACTTCTCTGCCTCACTCTCATCCTTCAATCGCTGCATCAGGAATCCTCTGAGATCATCCCAGAACGCTGCCGTCTCGAGAGCCTCTGCCCCTGCCACGTCGACTGTAGGAGCAGCCGGGACGTCAGCTTCAGCAGCCGGGATCGCAGCTGCGCCGCCAATGACCATGACAGCAAACTCCACCGCAGACTCTTCCTCCCCAATGACCTCTTTCAGCACCTTGCTGTCAGGCACAGGCTTCTTGTTGTACAGTATCCTGATCTTCTCCGTGGGAATCCTGGTCTGCGCAGTGACCTGAGTCTTGATGTCCAGAAGAGATGTCGTGCGCGGTTGCGAGGAGAGCTTGATGTCGAGAGGAGGATTGCGGAGGGATTTCAGTATGACTTTGACAGAGCGCTCTTGACCAGGCGCGGACCGTTGCGAGGAGGGTTTCGACATGGGTGTGGCCATCCGCGGGAGGATGTACTGCAGCTGTCAGCACGAGGGTCTTCGCGATGCGGGGTCCGGTCTGGGTCTAGGGACGTACGGGAGGCCGAGCAGGGTAATTCTTGGGATTCTCGACATGATCTGCTGATAGCTTGATCGGTCGGCCCTCAAGGCTGGAGAGGAAGGTCTGGGCGAAGGAGGCTTCGGCCATGATGCTGGCACTGGTTGTTGATGGCGCGAATCGCTGGTAACGAGTGTGGCAATTGGTGAATTGTGACTCAAGTCTGGTCAGCAAGATTGGAAACTTTCGACAGAGCGAGCCTTTCGGTAAGTTACCTGGTGACAAGGTTGAGTAGGTGATAAATAACACTGAGTCTGATACCCCAAATACGTTCGGCGTCGTCAAGCTACTCCGCGCATTGGAGTCTTGCTTAGGACTTGCAGCGAACTTGGAGGGGCGGCTATCACGTGGAGTCACATTTCTTATCGGCTTATCGTGCGCCGGGACCCCTGCGCCATTCAAGAAAAAAAGTCAGACTCCAGCGGGGCGGGTCTGGTCACCCAATTCCGCAGTCAAGTCGAACCCAGACTTGTCAGCCAATTCATTCCCACAAACAATCGTCAAGATGGGTGTTGGACGTCGTATGAAGAAGCAGGCGGCGCCTGAGCCCCTGTCCGAAGCGCATTATGCCAAGTTGAAGCGCAAGGCTGGCATCCCGGTCGAGGCCATCGAGGAACCGCAAAAGAAGCGAAAGATGGGCAAGGCATCTGCGACAACGGGCAACTCAACGCCCGTTTCCAAGAGGCGCGAACGAAAGGCGGCTCTCAAGAACGGCAACGGCGTCAAGGGGTCGGACAAGACCAAGGGCCCCAAGGAATTGCCTGCCCATCGCCAGGGCAAGAAGGCCGCTGCTGCGAAGGTGCCTGCTCCCGAGGGCTCGGACGACGAAGAGATGGACGATGAGTTCGCCGGCTCGGATCTTGAGGCAGGCAACTCGGATGAGGCACCCAATGGTACCCTCGGCGACGACTTCCTCGGTTCCGACAACGATGACGACGACTCGGTGTTTGACTCGGACGAGGAAGGTCGCGCAAGGGCTATCTTCTCGGAGGATGAGGATGAATCAGATGGCGAAGAGAAGCTCACAGCAGCCAACATGGCTGGGTTGTCCGCGAAACTGGACAGGCAAATGGAGGAGGAGGCCGCAGCGGACGAGGCCGAATTGAAGGAGGCGGCCCTGCAGACCAACATTGCGGGAGACAAGCCCAAGGTGTTAGAGGACGACGATGATGATGATGATGACTTGGCTGCCAAGACAAAAGCCATGCTTGCACCTGACCTGCAATTACTTCGAACGCGAATCACTGAGAACATCCGTGTGCTGGACGACTTTGCCAACCTGCACCAGGAGGGCAGATCAAGGGCTGAGTACACTGCTCAGCTACTGAAGGATGTCTGTGCCTACTACGGGTACTCGGACTATCTCGCCGAGAAGCTGTACAACCTGTTCACCCCTCGAGAGGCCTTTGCCTTTTTCGAAGCCAACGAGTCTGCCCGTCCCGTCGTCATCCGCACAAACACCCTCCGCACCAACCGTCGAGAACTCGCCCAGGCGTTGATTAACCGTGGTGTCACCCTCGAGCCCGTGGGCAAATGGTCCAAGGTCGGTCTTCAAGTCTTTGAGACGAGTGTCCCTCTTGGTGCTACCCCCGAGTACCTCGCAGGCCACTACATCCTGCAAGCCGCTTCCTCTTTTTTGCCATGCATGGCTCTGGACCCCCAGGAGAACGATCGCGTGCTCGATATGGCCGCTGCTCCTGGTGGTAAAACGACCTACCTGGCTGCTATGATGAAGAACACTGGCTTCATCATGGCCAACGATCCCAACCGGGCGCGTTCCAAGGGTCTGATCGGTAACGTCCACCGCCTGGGCGCGAGCAACGTCATTGTCTCCAACTACGACGCTCGTGAGTTCCCCAAGCCCATGGGCGGTTTCGACCGCGTCCTCCTCGACGCTCCCTGTTCCGGAACCGGCGTCATTGCCAAGGACCCCAGCGTTAAGACAAACAAGACCCAGCTCGACTTTATGCAGCTGCCTCACTTGCAGAAACAACTTCTCCTCGCCGCCATCGACTCCGTCTCACACAACAACAAGCCTGGCGGTGGCTACATTGTCTACTCGACCTGTTCCGTCACGGTCGAGGAGAACGAGGAGGTTGTACAGTACGCTCTTCGAAAGCGACCCAATGTCAAACTCGTCGACACTACCATCCCCTTTGGCAAGGAGGGCTTCACAAGCTACCGCGGCAAGAAATTCGACGCGAGCATGAACTTGACACGCAGGTACTATCCCCACACCTACAACGTGGACGGTTTCTTCGTCGCCAAGTTCCACAAGACGGGACCTACACCCCCCAAGGCCCCTACGGGCTCTCGCGGCGGTAGGCAGGATGAGGATAACGTGATCATTGACAAGACGCCCATCGCTGCCGACGAGGAAGAGGCGGCCAAGGACGACTTTGGCGGCTGGGATGAGGACGAGGATGAGGAGATTATGGAGAAGGGGAAGAGGAACGCCATGCGCAGGAGAGGCATCGATCCTCGAAGTACAAGCAAGACGAAGAAGGCGGACAAATAATTGTTCACTGTGTAGTGTTTGATACTCAAGGCGCATCACCCGGTGGGCGGGTTGTTCACAAAATTTCGAGTCAAATATTCTTTGGTTAACAAAGGAGCAAAATCGTGTATTCATGTCGTAGCGTCGTTATAAGCCCCGTGGAGGCAGCATCATCACTCTCTTCGCAGTATAACTCTATCGCAGTGCGGCCCAAGAGAGCATGCTTGTATAGGTATAGTCGTGTCATAAAGGTCGTCGTCTTCGAGGGAAACAAGAGCCAAAAAAAGTGAAGAAAAAACTCAGGAACTCCAAAATGCCAGGCTTCGTGCCCCTAGGTTTGCCCTCCCTATCCTTCTTTTCCGTGCCTAAATGCTCATGCAATGCTGTCGTTTCATAAGGTCGTGGCGTTTCCAAAGATTACAATAGCGATGTGAATAAAAGTGTCGCCGCAAGGGTCCTCGTATCGAGGACCTGCTAAGAACCAAAATGTTCATCGACGGGGCAAAGTCCGTGTCTGCTCACATGGGCAGGTCGTCGAATTGGGAGACGAGCTCGCGAATGGTCCAGCGCCAAGCTTCACGATCTCGCATGCCCCGACCGACCCATTTGTCGCACTTCTTGCGCCATCTTTCCTCCTCCTCACGTTGTCGGCGAATGAATTCTGGGCCAACGTCGAATTCTTCGCCTACAAGCCACTCATCGTTGACGTCGCTCACGCGGCCTTGGCCGCTCTTCGCATCGTTAGTGTTGTCGTCGAGGTCCGGAATGTCCTTGAAGACGTCGTCCTCGTCCCCAAAGGCATCGAATTTGTCGAATGTATCACTCGTATCCGAACGCGCAGCCTGTGGGTTGCCAATTTTGAGCCAAGACATGCTCTGAGGATCAAAGACCATGCCATTCACGACTTGTACTCCCTTAGTGGCACTGATGTTTGTGATTAGCGCAGGGCGCGGTGTTGTCGTGGCTTTCTCTTGGTTCATTGGCGCTGGTGTAGTAGCTGTAGTTGGGGTCGAGCAAGGTGCTTCGAAGATGTTGAGTGCATTTTCGTTGCCCTCCCAACGAAATGTCTCGGGGTTGTAAAACATTCCGTTCACCACTGCAGCATGGGTCAGTCAAATCTTTTCCACGGGATAGATTCATGCCCACTTTTTGATTCCTTGTCAGCATTCAGGTTCGAGATTAGATGCGGCTTTTGCTGTGCCGGTCGCTTGGATTTCTTGGCTCGTAAAGATTGAGGGTGTTCGAGATGCGGTGTATTCAGGTTGCTTCTGTTTGCCAACGGTGTGCCTCTTTGCGCATGCGTCTGGGCTAGTGGTCCACTGATGCTGACCGAGGACCTATGGGCCAGGGAAGTCTCGCGCGCGATGCGGCTAGCAGTGGTATCACGCGCAAAATGAGGCATTGGCCTTGGTCCTTGAGGTGTCGTTGGCGTTGGCGTTGGCGTCGACATCCTGTCAGAAGCTTTGTTGCGCAGCGTGGCCTTGCCGTTGCCTGATGTCGGCTGTTTCATGAAGCGCGTTTCGTTTTCTTTAGAAGTTGGCAGGTCATCAAATGCGTCCAATTCATGACCATCACCAAAGTGTCGTCGGTTCTTAGGCTTACTCAGGCGTTCCCAAGTATCTGCAGCAACTCGGTAGCGCTGCGGACTAGGCGAACGCATGCCGACTCGAGAGAAAGAACGTGACTTGGGTCGGAGCTCGATCGAGTTGTCAGAGTCATGGCGGCGGAATGAGCGCAGAGACTTGGAGGCTGCATGGTGAGATCTGTTTTGTGAACCTCCTGTTGGCAGGAAAGGCGCATTGACTTTGCGTGTCTGGGCAGGACTCTCCATTCCCTGAATTTTTGATCGTTCCACAGGCGTTTTGGGGCGGTGGCCAGACAAAGGCCGGCCGTTGTTGTCTCTTGATGGCGGCCTTTCATACCGCGAGCTGTGCATCTTGGAAGGTGGGTTAAATGGTCGAATGGCAGGCAGTGATCGCTTTTGCTTAAGTAGCTGAGCATTGGTTGTCGTAGGCTCGTTGCGTAGTGTAGGCGTAGGGACCTTGCTACCTATCTCTCGTCGACTGTTCGGCGTTCCTGGCGACCTTTGGGACGAGGAAGGCGATGGCGTTGTTGGCGTGGGTATACTGGTCACTGACGATTGAGCCTGATGGCCTTGACCCAGGCGAGACGGTGGACGGCGAGCCCGTGGAGGAATTGGGCCCCCACTCTCAGAGACGGGCTCTAGCGAGGTTGAGTGTGCCCGCTCGTGTAAACGGGGAATGCGGGTCGATGTTGAGGGCTTGTTGGTGAATGTTAGGGAAACAGCCGTCTTGGGCCGAGCAGGGCTGCTGCTGGGAGCTTCCTTCAGTTTTATGTTGCGATGCAGCGTCAACTTGCCCGAGTTGAACATGTCTCCATCCCCAATGTCCAGGCCATCGAGAAACCCAGGCCTGTCTGCCTCGGCTGGGGTCGAAGTCATCGTCTTCGGAGGCGAAGGCTCCTCAGGTACCCGCACAGGAGACTTGCTCTTACGTCGTTGCTGGAGGCGGTCGTTAAAGTTGACAGGTCCAGTGGGAAGTACCAATCCGTCAAAGGTCTCATCTTCACTCTCCGCAGTGACTGAACTGGCTACGCTGGGACTCAGAGCAGAGGTGGATGAGCTCCTGTTCGACCTGCCATCGCGTCGCGTACCACCAAACCTAGTCCCCAAGCTGCCCTCGCCCCAATCCAGGTCCTCAAATTGTGGAAGCGGGGTTTTGGGAATGTCTCTCCGTTGCGAGAGCTGTAGTGTACCATCCGAGGGCAACTCAAGACCTTGCTCAAAGTCGTCTTCCGCGGGGATTTCGGCAGCTTTCTGTGGTGTGGGCGGGGTGATGAGTGAGATGGGCTTCATGACTGGCCGTTTTGCGACCTTGACCGTGGCCAATCCGTCGCCAAAAAAGTCATCCTCATCATTGTCCTTGAACTGGTCCAAGTTGAGCGGTGCGCCTCGCGAAGCTGAGCTTGCACGACTGGGACTCCTCGTCATGATGTCCGATAGGGATGCTGTACTCCCCGGCAGCTTCGTGGGACTCGCTTGAACTGAGCCGCCACTGACCTGTCGTAGCACTTCGGGGAAGGCCGTGTCGTCCTGCGCTTTGATCTTAAAGCCCTGCGCAGAATCGGGGATTTCAAGGTCGTTGTCCCAATCCTCCTGCGTGATCTTCCGTATCTTTCTACCTCCCAGTCGCTTGATCGTCCCTCCCATCAGTGCGGATGCTGATATGCCTGTTGGTAGAGGTATGCCTGCATCTTTCGCGGCCGACAGAGCTTCCATTGTCGACTTCTCGTCATCTCCTGGAATGTGGACTTGGTTTTCTTCTTCCTCCGCCCATGACTCAAGTTCCGAGCGCAGCGACATGTGCGAAGAGTTAGAGTCCCGACGTCGCGATGGCGCGGTGGTTGCTGAAGGGCTGCGGAAACCAAAGTCGTCCCCTCCTTCCATCATGAAGTCGCCATCGTCCCAGTTTTCAACCTCCTCCTCCACAGGTAGACGATTCTTCAGTTGCAGGGTGTCCATGGTAAGGAGAATCGAGGTCTCTGCGACGGGGGGGCATGTGGTCGACCGAAGCCTCCAATCCTCATGCACGGGCAGTGCTCAAAACGCAGCGCGGGCTCAAGTATATGTTTTTCGCTCTTTCGCTCTTGTCGTCAATTGTCTGGGGTCGGCAATATCGTGGTTGAGCAATAATTTAGATGGTCAGTAGGTGTCGTTATGTCAAGCTGAGGATGGAGGGTGCAGTAGCCGGGAAAGTGGGCTTGGAACCCCAAGCTGGTGGAATGTTGAACTTCTTGAAGGCTGGGACACTGCAAGAGGCTGGGAGCCGCCTGTGGGGGCCTCAGGCCTCCTGGTTCAAAATGTCCTTCTGGAAATCAGGGCCCCTCTGACTCTGATTTCCCGCCTCCACCTGAAAACGGTGAGTTCCCACACGTGATTTTGAGCTTGCAGCTCAATGATTGGCTGTAGCTAAGCACGACGCGCTTTCTGTTCCACTTTCGCGTCACTTGAAGCTAATACTACCTGAGTACCACGCGTGCAGATGACGGTTGGCAAAGACCTGATGAAGACTTGGAGATAATCATGGCCTCGTTTGATGAAACTTTGAAACACATCTTGTCATTCATTAATTGAAGCGAATGTTTTCCGATAATTGCACAGACGGTGACGGACTTGGCGCCATGTTCGGTGTTATTACAGTGCGGACCCTGATTGAATTGGCTCCAGTCTACGTACTTTAGCAGGGTCCAGTGACTCCAGTCATAGGCCCGTGCGTGCAGCACTTGTGATTCACGCCGCACTGCATAGTGCAGTCTGCAAGGCATGGCGCAGGTGCCTGCAACTGCCTAGAATCTACAGAGTACAGAGATGTGCTTACTTGTGATATCACGAACGACAGGACCCGACCAACCCGAGCAGCGAGTTCTCCTTCATTGCGTGAAAGAATGTCATTATATCATAGTAGTGTAAGGTTTTTCCCCCACCTCGTCAGCAGTTATATCTGACTTTACCTTGGACACATTGTGAAACTTGAGTATCGCAACCCTGAGGAGCTAAAGGCTGAAGCCCTCAGATTCACCACCACTGTGAGGCTTACATCGCCACCTTGGGGTTTCACTCACTGGCTTTGACACGCATCACATTGCCAATTACGTCCAGATTTATCATCCAGGTGATTTGCGCTGTAGGCTGCTGAAGTCGCGAAGATGCCAAATAACAAACGAGTGCTCAAGTTCAGTCGCACCGATGATGAGACCAAATACATATTGGTCAACGTCAAGGACCGAGGGCCGAAGTCGCTTGATCTCAGACTCGAAGCCACAGAATTTGAAGCTGAGTATGCTTTAAAATGTGAGACTCACACGAGTACCGCGCCGGTTATTTCAAGCTGACGTTCTACGATCTGCAGTGAAACAAAGCGATGTTCCTTCGCTTCGTGCCAAGAATGGCCCAGTTGACGATGGAGAGTGGCACACGGTACTCGAGCAATTACTTCGGTACGGCTATATGCCAGATATTGAAGCCACGGCAGTTGTGGCCGAGGGCAAGTCGATATCCATCATCGTACGAAAGTCCATCCAGGGCATAAGCGTAGGCCATTCCCATTCTCTCATCAGGTCGTACTAACAGTTGCAGCAACGTCTAGGGGAGCTGGCAATACCGCAAATCGAGGGTGGCGAGCTCAATGTCCTGGAGTGGTGCGCGACTGCCGTCGATGCGGTAGTGGATTGTGAGAAAAGAGCCGCCTCATTCACGTCAAAGATTTCTCAGCTGGAGAGCGAGGTCACTGAGTTGAGGTATCAGGTTGAGGAGCTTATCAAGGCAAAGCAAGAGGACGAGACTGTCCTCCTCATGAAATTTCGCGATCTGCTCAACGAGAAAAAGGTCAAGATCCGGGAACAACAGAAGGTCATTGCAACTCTTCCCTCGAGTGCCGGCTCTGCCTCTCAGCAGCCATCTCAACCATCTCAGCCCACACAACCTCAACCAGGACGCAAGACGCAGACATCACGAGCCATCAAGAGAAAAGCAGCCGCCCCGATTGTGGAAGAAGAATCGGATGATGGCTTTGAGTCGATGGAAATCGACAAAATCAAGACTGAGCCATCCGAACCTCAGGATCCGGAAGAGACCGAGAAGGGTACGGAAAGCGACGCCACAGCCTCTACAGCGAGCGACGGTAAGCCAGCGCCGCGCCCATTGAGGGCGGCTTCGAGCAAGGCGTCCAAAAGTCAGCCTTTGGCAACAGAAGGAGAGTCCAGCGCAACGGCACAACAACAGAGGAAAAGTGCACAGCCGCCGCCGAAAAGAAGCTTGCCATTCACTGCGAAGAAGCCAGCCCCGGCAGTGCCTGTAGGCGAGGGGAGCGAGACTGCTTCGGATGATGAACTTTGAATACTAAACCCTTAGGTGCGACAAGGGAGGGTCAACTATCTAGTAGTCGATCGAGTGACCGAGTTTCTGGTCAACAGTGTCGAAGTACTTCCTCAAATACCCACGGAAACGCTTTCTCTTCCTGCCCAATGTCGCGATATCGGAGATCTCATCCCCGGTCAGTTTGAAGGTTGGCAGCTTGCGTGCAAACCCTTCAAGCCTCTCCCTTTTAGAGCTTGTGGTCACAGCAACAAAGCCCTGATCGAGAACCCATCTCAGACCAATCTCGGATTCCGTCACGCTGTATTTGCGCGCCAACTCGGTCCACAGGTCATCGACAGGGCCTCCAGGAGCCTTGGTCAATGGCACCAAAGCGCCGTAGCAGGACACTGCGATGTCGTTCTTGCGATGGAACTCGAGGAGGCCGTCTTGCTGAAGATACGGGTGGTATTCGATCTCGTTGATGGCAGGTTTGATCCTGGCCGCGGCCAGGATGACCTCCAGGTGCTCTTGCAGGTAATTGGATACACCAATTGACTTGGCTCTGCCAGACTCCTTGATGGCTTCCATTTCGGCCCACTGCTGCTGCAGCTCTTCTTTGGTCGAAGCCCAGTACGGTATGTGAATGAGGTACAAATCCACATAGTCTAGGCCAAGTCTTTCGAGTGAGCCTGCAAAGGCCGTCTTGATGGATGTCTTTGGGTCCGCGCCCGAGTACTTTGTGGTGACGAAGATCTGGTCCCTGGGAATCCCAGACGCTCTTATGCCATCGCCTTGTTCCTCCTCGTTGCCGTATACTATTCCCTCGTCAGTGCGACCTCAAACAAATACAATCCCACTCACTTTGGGCGCCATCAACGTGTCGATAGCCACAGGAAAGGGCCATCTCGGTCAGCCTAACAAGTGTCTCGTCTCGAGGCTTGCCGGCCCCTCTCTGGCGAGAGCTACCTAAGCCGTAGGCAACCTATCATGTAAGACGGTGTTTGTCAATTATGCCTGTTGCCTTACCACTGGGATGTCGTTGCCATCTGGCATTTTCAGAGTAGGAAATCCAGCGCCGATTGAGCCCATTTTGACAAGGTTCCCCGTAGTCTTGGTGAGTTTGGATGAGAAAAAGCTTTGGTTCTGACAAATTCAGTGCTTCGTGAGACTGCTTCTTTAGCACCTAGTCTTGCTGTTTTTCGTTGCTTTAGAGCAGCGGATACTCTATCGGTAATACGAAGCTGCATAATCTGTCCCGCCTCCGGCAACGGTCATGTTGTGTGGTTGGCTAACTAACGACTTCGGGTGCACAGACTTGACGTCTTCTATTGTTCCCTAGATCCGCCGTGTACATGAATTGCATTGTCGACAGTACTTCAGGTCATGTATTTAGCCCTTACCGACACTGAAGCGCGAAACAGCAGTGAAGCAGAACAGTAGATTGACAGCTTTGAGTTACTTTACATGATTCGCTCTTGAGCCAAAGCCGATCTAGGACTGGCATGATCCAACATCGAGATCCAGACAAAAGAGTCCTCAGTGAAAGCTGGTTGCTTTCGAGTGACTGCAATTTGTTCACTGTTTCAAAACTAGACGCGAGGCTATGTTGTCTGGAGGGAAAAAAACGGGCAAATGCTTGCTATTATTAGGACCGACAGTGAACTCGTGCCTGTCGCCATTCGCGGCCTCATCATTTCACCTACCCTGCGTACACTCGTATCGGTTCAGGGTGTGAAAGCGGCGGAAAGCGCAGAAGTCTCAGTTTTACACCTAGGGTTGCGTTTCTACAAAATAAATTTTTGAGTAGCTTTTGAGCATGGTAACACTCGTAAGGCTGACGGTGAGCCGGATGTGGAACATTGTTATCAAATAGTATCGTGTGCAGCGTAGTTATTCCCTCCACAATACGAACTCGACCAAATGACCCAACGTAATTGCCGGAAACCAAACTATGTATGACACTGATAGCAATAAAGCTATTTTACCAGAGTTCGATTTCGCCTGGGCTTATCGAGATTGAGCTTCTGAACGTCAATTTGATGCTGTTGTGACCCGTATTGCTTTCATGATGTCAGATGGACGAGCGCACTCTGAACTCCGGAGGTCGGACTCCGGAGTGAACTATCAGTCCCAACCGAGGTCGCAGTCTCGCCACTCAGCCAGCTATCAAGACAACTCGATTCCTGCTCATACTCTTCATTACATAGACACTAGACCACAACACACTTGATGCTTCCAGGTACTATCTGTCAGAAAAGTGTGCTCCTAGCATCAAATACCGCAAGAGCTGGAGTCAGCTTCACAAAGTTTCATTTGCCGAAGCGCGCATCCAGCAGTATGAGCAGCACCGGCGTCTCCCTCCGGGACTTGCCCAAGTCATGGCGCTTCACAGAGGCCCTGCCGCCAGACGCCACTTTCCCTACACCCGCAGATTCACACAAAACCCCGAGGGACCAAATCCGACCTCGGACCGTGCAAAAGGCGCTCTACACCTGGGTTCGCCCGGAGGAGCAAAAGGATCCCGAGCTACTTTGTGTGAGCCCTGCTGCATTGAAGGATATCGGTATACACCCCGAGGAGGCCAAGACGGAGGAGTTTCGCCAGCTTGTGGCTGGTAACAGACTCTTGGGCTGGGACGAGGAGAAACTGGAGGGGGGCTACCCTTGGGCCCAGTGCTATGGTGGTTTCCAGTTCGGTTCATGGGCCGGTCAATTGGGCGATGGACGCGCGATCTCCTTGTTTGAAGCGACAAACCCAGAGACGAAGGAGCGGTATGAGCTACAGCTCAAAGGCGCAGGCATGACGCCATACTCTCGCTTCGCCGATGGCAAGGCTGTGCTGCGGTCCAGTATCCGAGAGTTCGTGGTCTCAGAGAGTTTGAATGCCTTGGGAATCCCGACAACCCGTGCGCTGTCCTTGTCATTGCTGCCGCATTCTCAAGTGCTACGCGAGAGGATGGAGCCTGGAGCTATCGTGCTCCGCTTTGCGCAGTCGTGGTTGCGCCTTGGAACCTTCGATATCCTACGAGCGCGTGGCAACAGGGACCTCATCCGCCAACTGTCGACGTATATCGCAGAGGATGTGCTCGGTGGATGGGATACGCTGCCAGCTCGTCTAGACAACCCATCAGAGCCGGTGGACGCGTCTACACCAACGAGAGGCGTAGAAGCTTCAGAGATCCAAGGGCCCGATGACGCTGCAGAGAACAGGTTCACACGACTTTACAGGGAAGTCGCCCGGCGCAATGCAGTCACTGTGGCGCACTGGCAAGCGTACGGCTTCATGAACGGAGTCTTGGTAAGTCCCTGCCTCTTAGCTCCTGAAGGAACCTCGCTGACCTGGCACAGAATACAGACAATACGTCAATTTTCGGCCTTTCAATGGATTACGGTCCTTTCGCGTTCATGGATAATTTCGACCCAGCATATACACCAAATCACGATGATCACATGCTTCGATATAGCTACAAGAACCAGCCCACCATTATCTGGTGGAATTTGGTCAGGCTTGGTGAGGCACTCGGCGAGACGCTGGGTATCGGGGCTCAAGTCGACGACCCGACCTTCGTTGAAAAGGGTATCGAGGAGAGCCAGGAAAAAGCAGTCATTGCGAGAGCCGAGAAGATCATCACCCAGGTAGGAGAAGAATTCAAGTCTGTCTTCCTGGCCGAGTACAAGAAGCTTATGACACGACGTCTCGGCCTTCTGAGCTTCAAAACTTCCGACTTTGAGGAGCTTTTCAGCGAGGCTCTGGACACAATGGAAAGCCTCGAACTTGACTTTACGCACTTCTTCCGCCGACTCAGTGCCCTCCGACTGGAGCAGATTGCAACGCCAGAGGCACGGAAGGAAATTGCTTCCGTGTTCTTCCACCAAGAAGGACCACCCAAGTTGGTTACGGAAGACGAGGCACGGGGTCAGATTGCGAAATGGCTACAAGCATGGAGGTCACGCATTGTCGAAGACTGGGGTGAGGGCAGCGACACCGTGTCCGCAGCCATGGACGAAGAGCGCCGCGCAGCCATGAAGCGTGTCAACCCCAACTTCATCCCGCGAGGATGGATCCTGGACGAGGTCATCCGCAGGGTGGAGAAGGACGGCGACCGTGAGGTCTTGGATCAACTGATGCACATGGCTCTGAACCCGTTCCAAGATCGTTGGTCCGGGGAAGTACACAATGAGGCTGAGTACCAAGGGAACGAAGAGCAAGAGCAGAGATGGACAGGCGACGTGCCCCGCTTCGAGCGCGCCATGCAATGCAGCTGCAGTTCATAGATAGTATGTGTAAATGTCACGACCGGCGGTAAGAGGCATCGCTCATCAAGTTGAAGCTTTCGCATGCTTCCATAATCGGCGTGTGATCTCTCTTGGGCACAAGATAGAGGAAGACTCGACAGTATCAACCAGAACAAATCCTGGCGATCAAGCTCACCTACAATAAAATGTGCCCGTGTACAATTAATTATTGAGGGGAAAGAAGAAGTGAGAGAAGCGGCCTCGACGCGCAGCAATTTTGATGTAGGCAGAGCGGGCCAGTTGCGGCCTCAGGCATGAATCGCAGGTGTCAGCCAATCACGGCACAGGTAAATAACAACCTTAGTCAGCGCCACCAGAATTCCCCCAAACAGCCGGAACCTGTCGACCGACCGCTGGCAAAGAGATCCTCGATACCAGACGTCAACGACTGAGCCTTTAACCCTCCTCACCCTCGTGCCACCCCTCTTCCTCCCCTTTTCTTCTCCGTCAAGGCGACACGATGCTCCGACAGTCTCTGGCACGTTCGGCTTGGCGGGCGGGCAAGCGAACAGCCCAGGTCTCGCGCACCTTTGCGACGACGCAATATCGTCCAGCCGAGGTGGAGTTGACCATTGGTGAGTTGGCAACATGCCATTGGGGTCTGCAGTCTGGCTAACGTGGTGCTAGATGGGAAAAAGGTTTCTGTCGAAGGTACGAGGCGACGCATTCGGAGTGCTCTCCGAGGTATACTGACGTCGTCATAGCTGGATCAGCCTTGATCCAGGCTTGCGAAAAGGCTGGAGTGACAGTGCCCAGGTAAGCCCACATAAGCGTCGTATATGGAAACATCATTGACGAGATACAGATACTGTTACCATGAGTACGAGACTCCACGATCGAATCGAGCCGAACGAACACTGACCCCGGTGTAGAAAACTGATGATTGCTGGCAACTGCCGTATGTGCTTGGTCGAAGTCGAGAGGGCCCCGAAGCCCGTCGCCTCATGTGCCTGGCCTGTGCAGCCCGGTATGGTTGTCAAGACAAACTCGGCTCTCACCCACAAGGCACGCGAAGGTGTGATGGAATTTTTGCTGGCGAACCACCCTCTCGACTGCCCGGTCTGTGACCAAGGTGGCGAGTGTGATCTCCAGGACCAGTCGATGCGATACGGTGCCGACCGCGGACGATTCCATGAAGTTGGCGGCAAGCGTGCCGTCGAGGACAAGAACATTGGCCCACTGATCAAGACGTCCATGAACCGCTGCATTCACTGCACGCGTTGTATCCGTTTCGCCAACGACGTTGCCGGTGCCCCCGAGCTTGGGTCGACTGGCCGTGGCAACGACATCCAGATTGGAACTTACCTTGAGCAGAACCTCGACACCGAGCTCTCTGGCAACGTCATTGATCTCTGCCCTGTTGGCGCGCTCACCTCGAAGCCATATGCTTTCCGAGCCCGCCCCTGGGAGCTGAAGCACTCCGAAACCATCGACGTTCTCGACGGTCTGGGTTCCAACATTCGCGTGGACTCCCGAGGCCTCGAGGTTATGCGTGTCCTGCCCCGCCTCAACGACGACGTGAACGAGGAATGGATCAATGACAAGACCCGTTTCGCCTGCGATGGCTTGAAGACCCAGCGTCTGACGATGCCTCTGATCCGCCGCGAGGGCAAGTTCGAGCCCGCTGATTGGGAGGAGGCCCTGTCTCACGTTGCTCGCGCGTACGAGGCCAAGAAGCCCCAGGGTAACGAATTTAAGGTCATCTCTGGTGCTCTAACCGAGGTTGAGTCCCTCGTTGTGGCCAAGGACCTGGCCAACAAGCTTGGCTCCGACAACCTGGCCCTCGATACCCCTACCGGAAGCCAGCCCCTCGCCCACGGTGTTGATGTCCGCTCCAACTACCTCTTCAACTCTCGTATCGCTGGTATTGAGGAGGCCGACGCCATTCTATTGATCGGCACTAACCCTCGCCACGAGGCTGCCGTGCTCAATGCCCGCATCCGCAAGCAGTGGCTTCGCTCTGATCTCGAGATTGGTGTCGTTGGCGAGACCTGGGATTCGACCTTTGATTTCGAGCACCTCGGCACGGACCACGCTGCTCTCAAGAAGGCTCTTGCGGGACCGTTCGGCAAGAAGCTCCAAGCCGCTAAGCGCCCAATGATCATTGTGGGCTCAGGTGTCACAGACCACGCCGATGCCAAGGCGTTCTATGAGACTGTTGGTACCTACGTCGAGAAGAACGCCACTAACTTCAGAACTGAAGAATGGGACGGCTACAACATCCTGCAGCGCGAGGCTTCGCGCGCTGGGGCCTTCGAAGTGGGCTTTACCACACCTTCTGCCGCCGTCGCCGAGACGAAGCCCAAGTTCGTCTGGCTGCTCGGCGCCGACGAGTTCAACGAGGCCGACATCCCCAAAGACGCGTTCGTGGTTTACCAGGGACACCACGGTGACCGCGGCGCCCAGATTGCCGATATCGTCCTCCCTGGCGCTGCCTACACTGAGAAGGCTGGAACCTACATCAATACCGAGGGCCGTGTGCAGATGACTCGTGCTGCCACCTCGCTTCCCGGAGCGTCTCGCACTGACTGGAAGATCCTCCGTGCCGCTGGTGAGTTCATGGGTGTCTCGCTGCCCTATGATGACGTGGCCGCTGTTCGCGACCGTATGGTCGAGATCTCTCCCGCTCTGGCCGCATACGACGTCGTTGAGCCCGTTGCTCTGCGCGAGTTGAGCAAGGTGCAATTGGTGGACCAGAACAAGGGATCCAAGGCCACAGGAGAACCTCTGAAGAAGGTCATTGACAACTTCTACTTCACAGATGTGATTTCAAGGAGGTGAGTGAAAAAGTTCTGTACAATGTGAGATTGACAACTGACACGCAATAGTTCACCGACCATGGCTCGCTGTTCAGCTGCCAAGGCCACTGGCGACCCGCGGACCAACCTGATGGCGCCTGGAATTGAGGAGAACAGGCCCATGGGACAGGTTGAGTATGGCTCGTAGAGAGATTGTACACTTTCGGAGGAGGGCTCCATGTTGCGTTTCTAGATTGTTCGCATCCACTGTACATAAAGGACACTAGAGACGGTATAAAGTGACACTACGGTGCACTTTCCTTTGTAAGCATTTTACAGATCTATCTCGCATGCTATTTCATGACAAATTGTTGCGGTTTCTGCTCTACGATGCCGTGGCAGGACTCGACGCCCAGGTGATAATTATCCTCTCTGGTTCCTCTGTCGAGCTCAGTCCAGGTCCATTGCGACGCTTTTCTCATCTTCCAACATCTTTGTGTACCTCTCCTTCTGACTTCGGTTGTGCTCGTCGTACCCACGGAGGTTTACCAGCCCTTGACTGATAGTCCTTTCCATGTCGGTAGTCCACTGTTCCCTCGATCGACCACGCACGGAGAAATCCGCCCCAAAGTCGGGCGGCGCCATTCTGCAGACGGCGGGTGTACTTACCCCCCGGAAGTTGGCTGGCGCCGACATGTTGGCGATGGCCTGATTCAGCTCCTCTTCCCTGTGCTGCGCATTGACCGGGTACGCCGTGTCCTTCATGGCGCCATTCTGCCTGCGTTCATCGATCCGGGCTTCTTGGTAGAGTCGCAGGCACTCGCGTTTGTACAGGTCCTTCATGTTCTTCTTCACGCGGGCGGCGTGGGGCTCCATGTCCTCGATCTTGTTCTGCAGACGCTCGACCTCGGACCAGGGTGGGTTGAAGGGCGCGATCATGCTGTCGCCCTCGATGGGCATAAAGATGGCCATGGCGTCTGACGCGAGGGGCGGGATGGATGACCGTTCATCATCTGGAAGGACTTGCTGCCGTTGCTGTTGGAGGCTCTGCCGTGGGTTTGGTTGATTGTGCGCCATAGTGGGAGATGTAGTGATGTTCGAAGGTTAGGGGGCACTGCCACCAAGGAGCGAGCTGTCTCTGATCAAGGCGTCTTTAGCATGGCGTGTCTCTAGGCCAAATTGTTTGCGAAGCTTCACGCTGCTTGTGTATGAAGTAAGAATTGTTTTGAGATGATGGTGGGGGCTGGCCAGAAACGGGCAGCAGTTGGTGAATGGTGATGCTATTGACCATCGGTGGCGCCATGACCAATGAGTTTATGTTCGGATACCAAGACAGCCCACTGCGAACTCGGACCTGCGGCAGACACAGAGACTACTATCGCCTACCCAGCTAAGCAGAGAGATATTTACCTGGTAAGGTAGTCGAAGATCCCGGAATGCTTAACTTTGATAACTCTACTTCCAACCTCAGCGGCAGCGGACCTCACGCGGACATTGTTTCTGATGCTTCGTGGCAAACAATATCTACCGTTGCTCTTTCTATGGACAGAGTATGGACATGAAATAGTGGCGATGTGTCTAATCACACGCTCTTTTACAAATGTCTTGAACCGATTGGTTTCAAGGTAAACATATGATGTTGCCGAGGCCGGTAGTAGCTATGCCTCCAGCATCAGCTGCCTTGCCGGTGGTGGTGATGTTGTGCTCCGAAGAGCGAAGTGCTAATAGGCTGACCACGTGAGACCTCGGGATTGCTCGTCGCAGTCCGATTTTTGTTGTGTACGAGTAGGCTAAAGTGCCAAGGTTTCTGTACGATGCGTGGCCGCGACTGGGCTCACGAAGCTGCTGCCGCCATCCTCGTCGAAGGCAGACGACAACGAGCACGCGGATCTCACGTCGAGACTGCGAGTGCAGTGTATCCGACCCATTCACCTGGACGGAAGCACTTTTCTAATGTATTCGCGTGTGAGCTGCAGCGCCGCGCGCACCAGATCCTCGAGCCTTCTGTCCTTGCGTCGGCGCATCCACAGTAGTACGATACCGAGGATGGAGAAGTCCACAAGCAGGTGCTTCATCACTGTCCACACCAACCAGCTGAGCCACGCCGGAAAGCTCTTGTCTTTCTTCGAGCGCCATTCTCTGCCAGCAGTGATCTGCTCTCGGAGCGCGGCAACCTCGGCTGACAGATTCGTGATGGCTCGCTCGACCTTGCGTTGCCACCGTCCACTTCCCTTGTTGGACTGAGTTTCCGCTTCCTCCTCGTCGTCTTCGAGCTCCATTTGTCGTTGAGAACGTAGTTCGGCCTCGTCTTGTTCGCTCATCGGGCTCAGGACCTTCATCGGTCCATCGGAGCCGCTTGCTGGTTGCTGGAAGCGTCGCGACGCGTGGGGTGAAGAGTCGGAGGAGCTGTCCGAGTTGCTCTTGATTTGATTCCACACAAACTCCAGCTCGCTGACAAGTTCCTTTGCATCACTGGGATCTCCTGTTAGCCGTCTGTCCAATCGCTCGTCCGCGCAAGCTACGTACGGGGTGTTTGCGTATCGGTGCATAGTCTCGATGAGTGCCTCAATATATCTCCTCTTGCTTTCCGTCCGACTCAAGCCCCTTTGCGAATTCCAGGCATCCCACTTGTCGCGCTCCCGTTGTACTTCGTCCTCAGGCGCGCCGGTGCCGGACGAGGGGCGTTCCATGACGCCATCCACATCGCCCTCCATGGCTTGCTTGTATAATCCATAGAGACGTAATCGGTCGGAAGGTGGAGGTCGAGCTGCGCCCGTCTTTGGGACTTTCTTGACGGTGTTGAGGGCGTGAACGAACACCCGATCTGCTCTGGCTTAGCCTGGTTTATAGAGGATGACGGTTGCGATGACACTGACCCACAGAGTCCGCCATGGTGGGCGGGTGGACTGGGAGCAGCGATGCTCCCGGGCAAAAATATGACGGTGAGGCGACTGAAGGCTTGGATGTTGATGAAGGGGTTCAAGGTTGGGTCAAAGGGACTTCGGGGTTCCTCGTTCGCAGTGTAATGAACGTGGGAAAGCTGAGCCGAGATAAGATACAGGGCCCCCACAGCGCGCACGCGACGTCACCAAAGCGCGTATTGGATCAGCATCAACGCCGGAAAGCGAACGACAGGAAGGATGGAAAAGTCGCCTTGCACAGTGGCAGAAATGCCAGACTCGTCGAGCGTGGTGATTGAAGTGTTGGCGAGGCACGGCTTGGTGCAATTGGTCGGCCTCGACAGCGACATGATGGCATGACATGGGCCACATGCATTTACCTCGGCGCAATCGCAGGTCTCGGTCTCGGGAACCTCGCCGCTAAATGGGCTACAGTGCACACCTCACGGGTCACCTTGAGCCAGGAGGGCAAAACGACACGGACTAACGCAAAGCGGCATGCCGCGAAAGTCGTCTGTGTCGAGGACCGTTCCAGTTCAGGGCTCGTTAGTCATGTTGAAGGTAACGTACGCATCTATATCTCACGGTGACGCCTGCGTCCCTGGGCATGTGTGTGGTTGCTGCAAATGCAGGAACAGGCACGCATGATACACTGTGGGCACTAATAACTCGCGCCTTTACCCCAAGGAATTTGTCTCCTCAGGAATCCAATTACTATTGAGTTCGCGGTATCATATGCCGCTGCTCTGCTCAGCATCTTCGGCTTGCTTCTTGGCCTCAACATACGCCCTCTTCTTCTGCTCGTATGTTTTCAGCAGCTTACGGTTCTCGAGCGCCTGCGTCGCAGCTTTCTGAGCAGCCTCCTTCTTCGACTGAGCAATGCCCAAGCCCAGTTCTCTTCCAGTTTCGCCCCAGCCCGTCAGATAAAGACCTACTGCAAACAATGGCAGCTTCAAGTGCTTGTCCTTCTTATTACAGGGCAAGTCTCTGTACTCCAATGTAACCCCTGGCGCGCGGATGAGGTGTGCAACACGCTCCTTTGGTGAAAGGTCGTTGACCTCTCCAGTCACCTCGTTCAAGACTCTGACGGTGGTTGGCTTCTCCTTCTCGGCTGCGACAATCTGCTCTCGGAGGGTCATCGACCACAAGTCCCGAAGCCAACGAATGCAGGTTGCCAGGCCATTTTCCGGGTCGCTCATGATGACGGCCGCCACGTAAGCCTCGAACATGTCGCCTTGGGTCTTTGTGATGTCTTTGTCGTTTGACCTCCCCTTTCCTGCACCAAGTCCATGAAGAACCTCCGGAGGTAGTCGTGCCTTGCTCGGAAGACCATACTCGCGGAAGTAGCGAGACAGAGTGACGTTGCGAATGAGTTGCTCTCGCAGCTGTGAGCAACGCCCTGCCCTAAGTTTCGGAAATGTCTTTGATATAATGTTCGTGGAAATCAGTTCCAAGTAAGCATCGCCTATCCACTCTAGGCGCTCGTAGCTCCCGCCTTCTCCTAGCCCAATGTGAAGAAATGCGAGGCGTTCTAACTCCGGGTCTTTGATGGGCGGCAAAGGTGGGAGCTGCGTCGGAATCTCTGACGAGCGCCATGGCTCGACACTGAATGATGGGATGGCCAAAGGCGTCCTGACGTAGATATTCGAGTCCAAATGTTGACGTTTTTGATCTTGGACGTTTTCAGAGGCCAGTGACTGTATCGGCCCAAGCATGTTTCTCGCCACGCCTTCCCATCTGGTTACCAAAGAATGGGCTGATTCCCCATTACCCTGACGCCATCGCAAAAGCTGCTGTAGGTTGTCGATTGCTTCTTGTGCATTGTCGGCGAGCTTACCCAACACCTCGATTTTCTCAGCCGTAGAAGCATCAAGCCCAGGCGCATCTGTACTCCTCGGACGTTTGCTGTCTCGTAGTAGATCAGTCCCAGGTAGACTCGAGAGCTGACGTTTGCTCATCCTCCTTTGTTTGCTTCCAAGCCGGCTCCGGTTTCGAGAAGTGCCGATTTGATGCCCTTAATCGTTATTTGAATAATTTGAAGAAATGTCCTCTCTCAGAGCTGTCAGTTAAGCTAAGTTCAGTGATGCATTAATCAGGCTTAGCGCATATGCACAGTGGCCGGGGCTGCACAATCTGCCCCACGCATCATGTATGACCAATAGCACTGCAGCAGTTTGGACGTCGCGACGTTGATTTTGACGTGGACAACGATTCACAACCAAAAGTTGACCACTGCGACATTCGACTATGCCATCATGAGTGTCCCACGATCACGGATGTTGGACCTGATGAAGGTAGATGACAGTTTTGCTTCAAGATGGCGGTAGCTAACTCGTTGTAGGCCCAATGTCAGGTCTTTGCGACAACGTACAATCCCGATGGCCTTCGACTCGGCAACAAGGTCCTGCGCCAGCGACTTCGCGGACCCGCGCTGGCTTCTTACTACCCGCGAAAGGTGGCGACAGTCAAGATGATGAATCAAATGTTCGGCATGAAGGTCCCTAAGGGCACCGTGGAGAACGAGGAGACCGGCTCGTCAGACCGAAGTTTGGCGACCTGGGACGACGCCGAGGAGGACCGTACAACCTACGTCGAGGAGTACGTCGATCATAGCAGCACGCCACTGAAGGTGAATTTCGCGCTGACGCAGCTACAGATTGAAGGCGAGAGGCAAGGGGAATCCGAAGAAAAAGAAGGAAGCAGTTGGTGAGTCGTCGGGTCCTTCGTGGATGTCTGTTGCTAACAATGACAAGTCAAAACCAAGGCCTTTGGAAAGAAGAAGAAATGAACACGAAAAGAAGGCTCTGTATTTATGTATGGCATTACACCAGACCCGACACTATTGTACAATACCAGGCTGCAGGCATAGTTCGACCCGAGTTGCCAAGCGGGATTCCAGGCGCATGTATAGACCCTACATTGTTCAAATATATACCACTGATGATCAAGCAATTCATTTGCGAAAGACATGGCAGTGAAATGACCTATCGCGAACATCGAAGGCGATGGGTGAACACTGCTGCCAAGGGTGAGAAGAGGGAATCACATCTTCACTAAAAGCATACAGCGTAAGTGTGACCCGTGATCTGAAACAATTATCTAAGCGCTGCTACTAAAGCATTGTTGGTGCCGACACACAGTAACAACATCGCGGATTTTAGCTCCTAGATGTTGGACGTTGGATCTCCCAAATATTCTCCATCACAAGCCAAAGTTCCCCATCACCGTTGCAGTCTCCGATTCCGGGGCTCCTCGCTTGGTAGTACCTACCTGGAAGGTACGTACTAGGTAACTGCCTTACCTGACATTGGAGGCAGGCGGTAGCGATGTGGACTGCAGGAGGCGTCTACGGCAGAACTGCTCTTTCCATGGGCTGTGCTGCAGCGAGGTGTAGTCTGATCTTTACATCAAGGGCTCCAGTCCCCACAAGCCGGCAGCTTCTCATCGTTCTCTTCCTCGCACCTCACACTCTTTTCCACCACAGCCACCTGCCGGTGCTCCGGCACGTTCTTTCCTTCCCAAGCCTCACTAATCATCCGTAGCCTGCTTCCTATCCTTCACTTGAGCCAGGGGCAATCCGAGAAGGTTGGATCTGGTGCTAATCTGTCGGTGGCTGCCTGCCTGTCACCACCCACACGATCTTTGCATTTATTACCCGCGCGGCTGTTCTTGAGCTGTCTCTTCTGTCTTTCTGACACTCTTGTTTGGCCAGTCTGCCACAGAACCACCGCACTGTTTGATCTAGTGGACCCTTCTTGCGTGGAATCTCAATGATCTACTGTCTTCGTCGCATCTTCTATTGGTTTGATCAACTACTCAACTGTTTGCAGAGCTGTCCCTTGTACTTGAACACTGCTACCGCCGCGGCTATACAGCTCTGTCACAATCATCACCGAGCAACTCCTGCCAGCACCAAGGCAACCCGCTACGATGAACACGGAGGGTAATCCAATTCTGGGTCGGGGCGATTCCATGGTAGTCTTCCAATATCCACAAACTCATTCGCACGTGTTCACTGACATGTGCATAGCGAGGATTTACCGCTTCTTCAAGCCGGAAGAATGTATCAGCTCTGTCTACCGCGAAGCTTGCCAACCAAGCACCGCCAAAGATGGTAAGAGGGACACACCACGTTACCGTCTTAAAATGACTGGAAATAACACAGGAAGAAGCAGGGTCCCGAAATGACCATCGGAACGGAGTTTTACCCCGTGGATAAGCTGCTGGCCAAGCTCTCCGAGCAGAATGCAAACATCCCCCAGCAAAGCGAGACACTGAAGAGGGGCGAGAACGAGCGTGCTGCTGCCGCTCAACAGTACTCAAGCAGCTCTCTTCCTGTTACACCTGCAACTGAAGAGTTTCCATCGATTACTCCTTCCGCTCGACCTGCCAGTGCAGACACAGAGGATAAGAGTGCTGAGGCGGATGAGCTCACGCGCCTCAAGCTTCAGTTGGCCCAGGCTCATAACCAAATCTCGCATTTGGAGCAGGCCACAAGCCGAACATCACAGTCAGACCAGGGCCCTTCCAGCATTGAGCAATTCCCGAAGATGGACTCTCCTCGTGACGCATTGTGGGGTCAAACAGGAGACGGCCAGTCTGACAATAGTGACATCCACTCTGGCAACACGTTCAGTCGTGCCCGCGGCTTCTGGAACAATTCACAGGGGACATTTCCTGAATTTCATGCCCAGGCTCCTGTTTCTGAACACGCTGCCGGAGGATGGCTCGGCGGCCGAGGCTTCAATCATGGCCTCGCAGAATCCCCTGCTCCGATATTCAATACTGTCCATGAACAGCGCTCTGATCGCCCTGGACCGGACACTGAATATCTCATGCGAGATGTTCGCCGTCCTGCTCGATTCGACCACAGCCGCACGACCTCACCCCAGTATGGTGGCCCTTTCAATCTGTACAACCCACCTGCTGGCCAGTACGCGGGAATGCTTCATGCTGGAGTCTCGCCCAATCAGATTGCGGGTGGAAATATGCAAGGTCACTTGGGACTGGCCTCTGCGTCCGCGGGTATGTACACTCACGCGCAGCAGCCCTTCGACACGCCATTGTCACCATACGCATCTGAATTCACATCCAAGACGCCTTGGAAGACTGAGGTACGAGTGCATCAATCACACTTCCCTCGAGGTGAGAATCTAACTTCATAAGCAGACAGTATCGACCGATGGCCCCATGTACTTGCCCACGACTGAGCCTTTGAATTATCGCCGTTTGTTGGACCGAAACGTCAATTGTAATTGGAAGTACATTGTCGACAAGATTGTGTGCAGCAATGACCAGCAAGCCTCGATCTTTCTTCAGCAGAAGCTCAAAGTGGGAACACCGGAGCAGAAGTATGAGATTGTGGAGGCCATCGTCGCCCAAGCTTACCCCTTGATGGTGAATCGGTTCGGCAACTTCCTCGTACAGCGTTGTTTCGAGCATGGCACGCCGGAACAAGTCATCAAGATTGCGGAAGCTATCCGAGGCGACACTCTGAGCTTGTCCATGGATCCCTTTGGATGCCACGTCGTCCAGAAAGCCTTCGACTCGGTACCCGAAGACTACAAGGCTATCATGGTACATGAGCTCCTTCGACGTATTCCCGAGACTGTCATTCACCGCTACGCCTGCCATGTTTGGCAGAAGCTCTTTGAACTGCGTTGGACGGAAACGCCTCCTCAAATCATGAAGTATGTCAACGAAGCCCTTCGTGGTATGTGGCATGAGGTTGCCCTGGGTGAGACAGGCAGCTTGGTTGTCCAGAATATATTCGAGAATTGCCTTGAGGATGACAAGGTGAGCAACCACTATCTTGTCTTGAAGGTCCACAACTAACAATCTTCGCACAGCGTCCATGCATCGAAGAAGTCCTCGCGAACATCGACATTGTTGCCCATGGCCAATTCGGCAACTGGTGTATTCAACACGTCTGTGAACATGGCACTCCTCCCGACCGCAGTCGGGCGATTGACCATGTCATCCGTTACGCAGCCGAGTACAGCACGGATCAATTCGCATCCAAAGTAGTAGAGAAGTGCCTCAAGATCGGAGGAGCGGAATTCCTCGGCCGCTACCTTGATCGTGTCTGCGAAGGTCGCCGTGACCGTACTCGGATTCCTCTCATCGACATTGCCAGCGACCAATACGGCAATTACCTGGTGCAATGGATACTCAACAACGCATCACCTCAGCACCGAGAAGTCGTGGCGGCTCACATTCGCAAGCACATGGTCTCACTACGCGGCTCAAAGTTCGGCTCTCGCGTTGGCATGCTTTGCACGAACCACGCTGTCACGACTCGACCTGGTCCTGGCGTCGGTCCCGGTATGGGAGGTGGGCGCATGGGACCTGTGGCTCGCTTCGGGGGCAACAGTGCTTATCGCTAGTCAAACCTGAGATACCCGCCGATCCATCATGTCGACGAGCTCAGACTTTGTCGCTCTTATCCTTATCCGTTGATTCAGACCAGCAGACTGGAATTTGTCGATTCTCTCCCACGACAATACTTTCCGGTAACAGGTAATTTATAGATCGCACGTCATGCTACGCTTGGTCGGCTACAGCTTGGCTGGGCGCATTGGACACATCATGATTACGAATTTTGCAATATGGAGGAGCTTGCAGCACATGACCAAGGATCGAGACTCCTCGTTCTTAGAGAAATAGTTCGTATCACCACCATTGCGGCATCGCGCATAGGAAGGGGGCTGTTGCTCCGAGGACACTTTGATGATTCTTTACATTGAAAAAGAAGACGTATACCGGCTGTTCAGCCACCGGGCCACAATGGGAACATTAGATAGAAGACACTGATGTGCATAATTTAGGTATCGCCATGTTCACTCTGTTCCATCGTGCTGTTTGTGTCGAGTAGGTAGTTGAAATACGTGGTAGAATGCACTCCAGAACGCCGGTTGCTAAGATGCCATTCACTAAGTACCTGGTTTGTATGTGCATCGGTTTCAGGACGCCAGGGGCTATGAGTCTGGCTGAGAGCTGGTATCCACTGGCGGGAACTCGGGATCAAGCGCCTGAGTCTGGCCCTCATGGTCTACAGGTGTATTTTCCTGTCTTTCCCAAGGTTTCCGGGGGACTGTCCTTGCACCCACCGGTTTCACTGACTAGGATGGATGAGTACTTGACGCGTCGATGTTCTGGGGCGCAGCAGCACTTACGGGGTCCCGGACAACAGTATTGGGGATTTGCCTAATGCCTGGCACGGGCTTTCCCTCCTGTAGCAGTTTGATCATCTCAGCAAAGCCTCCTGGGTACGATGGCTGGTCCTCGCCATGGGCCTGGTCGGGCACTGAGCCTGGTTTCCTGTCCAGGAACAGCTCGGCCTTGGGCGCGGACTTTTGCCAGTCAAGCGCCGGCTGCTGCGGCTGTTGCCGATACTCGTCTGGCAGTACATCCGGAGGAGCGTGGTCGGGATGAGAGTCTAACCATTCTTTGTAGCGTGAAAAGTCAATTGTGACGCCAATCTTTTGTGCATAGTAGAAGATGCGGGCGTGGGTTGCCATGTCTGTGAAGGATGCTTGGGGGTTATCGGTTGGGCTTCCGAGGATGGCAAGTAGACCCGACTGTAAGTCGTATGTCAGATGGGACTGCAGCTGCAAAACTAAGCCGGAGTAACTGACCATAAAATTTGTGTCCTTCACCCACGGATATGAATCGAAGGCGTGGAATATAGCATCATCGTGATTTAGAGAGCGGATTCCGTCTGTGCCTGTGAGGGGCTGCTGTGAAGAGGACATGGCGTATAATCTGTGAGAGATTGAGTGTCTTTATATATGACGGATGGTAGTACACCGGTTATCGATTTGAAAGTGTATGTGATATGAGTAGTTGGATTCATTGACAGACTTGTTATGTCTACGACTACCAGGCCCGGGTAGTCATGGCTGGGGTACGGATAGTACCACTATAAATATGGGGCTCAAAGCCTCGGTCGGCGGCACTTGGGCGCCCAAGCACGGCTCACGTGCTCTGCCTCAAGTCATACCTAAGGCATAGGTTGCACTGTCAAGAAGAGGAGGTTGAGACTAGATTCAAAGTCAAATAGACCTAAATAGGCTGAAATGCTACTCTGAGCAACATTGAGGAGGAAAAGAGGACATGGAAGCCCGCTAGAAGCCTACACGTAGAGCTAAGAACGTGGCCACTACGGATCGACTATCGTGCACCGACAGTGGCCGACTGGACTCCACACAAGCAGCAGCGACGGTGCGAACAGCTGCAGCCCGCTCCAATCCCAGCATCGTCAGTCGCTCAACTGCCCATTGTCAACCTCGACTTCTGTCGAGCCTCTTCGTGTCCCGATGCATCGCACTGCCCTTCGCTCGTACAATACGACTCGCCTGCACCTCTCGTCTACCGTTCGACGCACGCTGAGCCGCGCCTCGAGACACCGCCAGCTCCCGATTGTCCACGCTCAGCATCGCGCGATACACTTCAACTCGCATAAACCACCTCGTTCCCAGTCGAGCACGACAACAAATGAGCCGCTGAGATCGTCCATGTACTTTCGCCGCCTCCCCGTCGCTGTGGTCTCGAGCCTGGTGGTAGGTTATGGTGCCTGGTACTCGTACAACGGAACGAGTCCTGCCAGCCCTGCTGCGAGCGTGACCGCGAGAGGGTATGCGACCACACCCGACTCTGGTGTCGAGCCGACAAGGACTGTATTGGTTGTCGGAGCCGACGAGCTGAGGCAGGGGACCATTGTGGGTGAAGGACCGATATCGAAGGAGACGAGCAGCGACGGCAGGAAGATTGTCGAGATGCTCACTCCGGAGCAGGCCACGCAGAAGCTGAGGAAGATGGAGCAGTCCTATTCTGTTGGACGTGGCCAGGGCGTCACGCGATACGACTTGGTGCAGCTGCCCAGCAACGATCCAATTGAGGATGACCACGCGGAGAAGATTGTACAGGTGCCCAGTCGGTCAAAGGATGCCGTTGGCGACAATAGCGACTGGATGTTTTGGGGTGTCTTTGACGGCCACTCGTATGTGAACTGCTCGACCACAGGTATGGAGACGAAGCTAACTGGAAGGACAGAGGCTGGACCACATCAGCTACTCTCCGTGAGAGCCTGATTAACTCTGTGGCCACGGAGCTCAACGAGACGTACAAGGCCGCTGCTGCGACTTTGCCGAGCGAGGACGCCATCGACCTCGCCATCAAGACCGGTTTCACTCGCTTGGACGACGAAATTGTTCACAAGAGCGTTGAGAAGGTCTTCAAATCAAGCAATAAGAACGTTGCGGCTGAGCTTCTCCAGCCGGCTCTTTCCGGCTCCTGCGCCCTTCTCTCCTTCTACGACAGCAAGACCAACATGCTTCGAGTTGCGTGCACGGGCGACTCGCGTGCCGTGCTCGGACGGCTCTCGGACACGGGCAAGTGGACAGCCACTGCACTCTCTGAGGACCAGACGGGCAGCAACCCCAACGAAGCTGCACGCATGCGCAAGGAGCATCCTGGCGAGGACCGAGTCGTGCATAATGGCCGCGTGCTCGGCGGGCTTGAGCCCACGCGTGCTTTCGGAGATGCTGTGTATAAATGGAGCCGCGACACCGCCATGAATCTGCGCTCCAAGTTCTTTGGACGCACCCCGTCGCCGCTGCTCAAGACCCCGCCGTACGTCACGGCCGAGCCCGTGATCACCAAGACCAAGGTAAGCCCGGAGAAGGGTGACTTTTTGGTTCTCGCGACAGACGGGTTGTGGGAGATGCTCACCAACGAAGAAGTCGTCGGGCTTGTGGGCCAATGGATCCAGAATCAGGCAGCTGGCCAGGACTCTCACTTTGAAGCGACATGGTCCAAGATCTTTGGGTCGTCCAAGCACCCCCTGCCAGTGGAGAAGGGCAAGGCGGATGGGCCTGACGGGCAGAAGACCCCGATCCGCGTTCAGCAATGGGGCATAGATCCCCAAGCCAAGGACCGGTTCTCGGTGAAGGATAAGAATGTCGCCACCCACCTGGTCCGCAATGCTCTCGGGGGATCCAACGACGAGCAAGTATGCGCCTTGCTCACCTTACCTGCCCCCTTCTCCAGGCGTTATCGGTATGTTTCTCTCTCGTGGCCTTGTAGTATAATGTAGACTGGTTGTATTAACAGTGTTGCAGGGACGACTTGACTGTTCAGGTCATCTTTTTTGGCAACGCCGAGAAGACAGGCGAGGTCGTGGTCAACACCGAGGCAACTGCGCCTGATGCGACCCTCAAGGCCAAATTATAGCCTGCTCGAAGAGCATTGGGTTGTGATTTTGGGCGTTCAGAGATTCAACGATACCAGATTATTTATTTTGAGTAGACAACAGGCCGAATTGAATGTTGGGCGATATTGATTGCTAGCAATGTCTTTCGTAAATGGGGTTCGTAGACTAAACCAAGGCGTGGACCAAAGACAACGTGGAGCGTTGAGTTACATGTACCTGGTAATTAGTTGAGGGTCTAATAAAACTAGCCCCACAAATGACTTGGAGTTGGCCGCGCCTGCCACCCCGCTATCCAGCGCGCGGACAACGAATTGAGTTAGCACGCGCAGCGACTGGACCCTCAACGTCATGAGTGTAGATGACAGGTACCTGACCTTCTCCAACGCCAGACAACGATCGTGCCATTCTTGCTTCGTTCACGACCATCGACTGTGCTATTCATATCTTCTGGCCGTGGCTGTCCCGCTTCTCAACCGCAACGCACGGAACGATAACTAACCCCTCGAGCCTAGTCGCCATTGCGCATTGAGTCTACGTGTCCATATCCTGACTGGACTCTCGGCGCGTTTCCCCTTGCGAGCATGCCACGACGGCAATAGGCTACCCTCAAACAGCACAATGTCTCTCGCCAATACTCCCGTCACCAGGCTGATGGTTGTGGGAATAGTCTCGACATCGATCCTGGCTAGCGTTCTCGATATCAAGTACTATTTCTACATCCTGATCGACACGCATCTCTGGCGATATCGTCAGCTATGGCGGTTGCTCGGCTACCAGCTATGCTACACAAATTCTACAGAGGTGCTCTTTGGCGCCATGACACTGTACAATATGCGGATTGTTGAGCGCATGTGGGGGACGAGAAAGTTTGCTGTTCGTGGTACCCTCGCAGGCGTCTGAGACCGCCCTTGATGCTAACAAACGCACGCATCTAGTCCTTCATCGTCGTTACATATCTCCTGACCTCGATTGTCTGCCCCATGATCTCGACCGTCCTGCGACCATTGACCTGGGGCTTGACCAACTACGTACCGGCTGGCCCTACCGCCATCATCTTCGCCGTGCTTGCACAGTACCACGCAATGGTGCCACACATGTACAAGTACAGAATAGCGACGTCGGCAGCGCCTCCGACCGACGACGAGTTCCGAGGCGTAACGTTGTCTGACAAGTCATACCGCTACGCACTCGCGCTGCACCTGTCCCTGCTTCAGTGGCCAGGCTCGGTTCTGGGCGCTTTGGTCGGATGGGTCGTGGGCTACTCCTATCGCGAAGGTATTCTTCCTGCTGGCCTCATCCGGTGGAGACTCCCTGGCTGGGTGCTGGGCTTGAAGAGCCATCGCAGCAGGACCGAATACGAAGGACTGAGGAGGAGACTAGAGGGACAGGGCGACGCTGCGACGGCATCCGGGGCTCAGGGGCCTCAGGGTGAGGGCCAAGCCGAGAGGCGGCGGACCATGGGCCAGCAATTCATGTCGCAAATCCGGGAGGCCTTATAAAAACTCTATGGAGAACAATACACATACAGCTTAATTTTGGCGTCTTGTCCCCTAGACTAGAGCTTTCTGCATCAATCTTTAACAAACTGCCGGTCGGATGGCTGGCGCACGCGCGCGTACCTGGGCCAGGTGGAGCTGCATCCCCCCCCCGTGGCCCGCGTCGACCTCCTTTTCCCTGCCGCTAAGCACGCAGGAGGGTCGATCATCTCCAACCACCTCGACATCGACAACTCTTGAATTTCCTTCTGATTCATCACGATCGGCGAGCTGCTTCTCGTTCCGCACCAGAGGTCTCGAATCAGTCACCACGGAAAAAGTGTTTTTCACAGCCTGTTCCCGATCGCGGCGGAATACCGACTCTGCCGCGCTGCATGGCCGCATAACAAACGACAAATCGCGACATCTCCTTTGTCTAATGGCCTGAACGAAAACGCCTCTCGAGGTTCGACTTGCATACACGTATCCTAACGACAATAATGAATGGAAACGGGCATGGACATCTGCCCAGCGTCGACGACTATGGCGTCCCCCCACGCACCGGCGTCGATCCCAGCGGGAAGGTCGTCGTGGACTCGTATCGCGCGGACATTGTGAACGGCTTCGAGAAGGATGCACCAATGTACAATCCGGTAGGTCATGCGGCGTCTGGCGATCCCCGCGCATGGCTAAGCAAATTAGATCAACCCGGAGAGGACGCAGAGTTCGTCGCACGTCGACCTCGCCGACCCGATACAGGTCCACCTCCTTACCGAGACGGCCCTGTCTGACAGCAAGGAATACGAAATCCTCTCACAGGAAGAAATCGACGACTTGAAGAAACTATGCGCCTTCATCAACCAGCGGATAGACTCCACGCGGTCGAACCTTCTGATCCAGGCGAAGTTTCGAGATGCCGCTATCTCCATGGCCAAGCTATACTCACCTACCAACACTAGCCCGGATGCTGGCATTGACGAGACGGATCGGCAGGCGGGTGCGGAAAGGGAGGAAAGCGAGCGCCGGTGCGAGGAGTTAGCAGCAGAGCTGTTCTACCTTGAGAAGAAAATTATGGAACCCAAGAGGAGGTTGCTCGAGCACACGGCTGGTATCCTCCAGCTCACACACAAGGCGTCCAGGAGAAAGGGCGCAATGAACGACCAGGCGCCAAACGGAGTTCCCGGAAGCCCAGAGAGCATGTACACATACACGCAAAGCCGAAACAGCCTGGACGGGCCCGACGATTTCTACACAGATGATACAAGCTTCACCGGCTTCGATCCACTGGATACACGGGGACCAAGGAAAAACCCGCTCGAGATTCCCATGAAGTCGCCCATCCGAGAGCAGCAAAGCCAGCTGAAGGAGGAGAACCAGGCGCTGATCCAATCCATTGCCGACATGGAAAAGAGGTTGGAGGGATTAAACGGTTCATTACGGGAGACAATTGTGCGATTCAATCCCGAGGGCAACGCTGGGTACGATGGCCCGCCCGATGCCTCGCAATCACAGGGTATGAAGCCTGGGGAGATGCTGTGGAACCAGATCGAATACCTCGAAAGTGGCCTTGTGGCAGTTCAAGCCGAGCAGGAGTCGCGCATGAACGAACCCAGAGTCGTCAGTGACACCAGTGGCGTGGACAGGACATTGATGGAGCTGTGGGAGATGATCCAAACGGGGTACACCAGCATCAAGGAGCAGAACCACGACCGAAGGCGGGCGCGAGCAGAAAAGGGGCTCGAGGACGATGAGTCCGATGACGACGGCATCGATATTGCCGAGTCGTACAACCTCCTCAACTTCTCAACAAGAGTACGTTGGCTCTACAGGCAAGCCACGACATTGAAGGACCAAAAGTCGGTCTTGAAGCGGCAGATCAAGCAGCAGCGCGAGCTGAACAACAAGTCCGACGCCGAGAAGGATGCGGAACTCGCACAGAAGCAAGAAGAGCTGGAGCAGAGCCACGTCCTCATCAGCCGCGCCGAGAAAGATTTTGCAGATGCACAGAGGATGCTCTCAGAGACGCTCGAGGACCTGGAGCAAGCCCGCGAGGACGCTCTCCAGGCAAGGGCCAACGCAGGTCCCAGCGAGGAGATACAGACCGAGCTCCGCGAGCGCGAGGCGCGAACGCAGGTCCTCGAGGCCAAGCTCCAGGATATGCAGCAGGAGCTGGCCCATGCCGAGGCGGAGAGCCAGGGCACGCAGCAGAGGCTCTTGCAGGTGGACGCGTCTATCAGCGCGCTGAGCACAGCGCTCGACGAGGCGACGCGTGCGCGCGACGAGGCGCAGGCCGCTCTCCAGAGTCGCAACACGGAATACGAAGACCTTAATCTGCTATACGCCAACCTCAAGACGGAAATCACCATTGCGCGCGCTGAGCTCGATGGCGCCTATGGGACGCGTGCCGAGCGCGCGGCCGACGTCGCCGCCAAGCAGACCAACAGCGAGATTGAGCGCCTGCGGACCGAGCTCCGTGCCACGGCCCAGGAGCTGGAGGACGTCACCAAGGAGACCCTCGCCTCGGAGCGGGAGAAGATTGGGCTCGAGACCAAGCTTGACGAGGCGCTCGCCGTGCGGTCCGAGGTGGAGGCGGAAATCAACCAGGTCAGGGAGCGGATGGACGAGGAGATCTCACGCGCCCGGGAGAGGATCGAGATGCTACAGGAGGAGCTCGATGGAGAGAGGCTCAAGGCGGGCCGGGGCAGTGGGGACGGACCCGGTCGCGTGGGCATGGGCGCGACGATGCTGAGCGAGCAGTTCAGGACGACGATGAGAGAAGAGAGGAAGAAGTACCAGGAGGATCTCAAGGTGAGTTTTCCTCTCCCCAGTGACCGCCACTATTGTAGAGAGTAGCATGAAACTGACGTGATATCAGGAGGAGCGCGCAAGGTGTCGCAAATTAGAAGAAGAGCTCTCGCGGCTGAAACGGGCCCAGGGGCCGGGCAAGAGTCCCTTGAGTCCACGGCAGTGAGGAGGAGATATACTTGCAGCGTTCGTTGGGGTTCGGCAACACGGCATCTCATGCCTTTCGTTTTGACTTTTGCATTCTAGGAGACCATATTATTGCTCGGCGACATGGCTGGGAATGATCTGCTGGGCCCTTTTTGGGCCATCAGCGTGTGCATGCATTATATAGACAGATGCTGGGACATAGAAGTGACATACATCCTTCAATGGACCTTGTGCTTCACCGGAGCCACATCTTATTGAGTGTCTAGAGTTGCGCAGCGTCTGTCGATAAAAATAGCGACTTTTAAGGAGAAGAGAATCATTGTGAAAGAGCAAGTTCTTGTTCTGTCTATGCTTTGTGCTATCTCTCGATAACCCGCCTCGTCTCCCCTCCATTATATTCTCTACCGTACATCTCAGGCCCCTTTGCCCATGTATGCATACCAAGAGTCTAAGATCAAGATGCCATTCCTCCGAACTGACCACAAAGAAGAAAACCAGGGCAGCAAACCCCATGTGTAAAAAGCAGAGTCTATTGCAGAAAAATGGAAGCCAAGCAGAGAAAAAAGATGAAAATCAGGTGGGGGTGAAGAAGCAACCGAATCTTGCCCCCCTTTTGCCTGAACGCCGCTCAATGATGCGTTTTCGGACGGATGCAGTTTTGGACCGAAGCGAGTTGTCTTGGGACCTCGCGGATGTACCCCCAATAAGCAAGATCTGGGTATCAAAACAAGGAAAGGTGGGGAGGTGAGGGAAGGTGGTTGGGCTGGCTGGCTATGCGAGCCGTATCTGCTGGCCCTTCGAGGGACTAATCACTCAGGTATGCCAGGTCCGCCCAGACCCTCCAGTGCAGGATGCCGACGTGGGCCAGCCGCATGGCCAAGTCACTGACGCCAATCTCCGCGCCGTCGCGCAAGCACTCGTAAAAGTCGCGGGGCATGTTGCTGCCCGGAGGGATCCTCTTCTCCGAGGCGGCCGTGTAGAGGCTCATTCCGTTCAGGCCCTTGTACTCCCGAACACGGTTGCTGAGGTCCTCCAGCAGACGACGGTGGTACTCGGCTTCCACATCCAGGAAGAGCTCCTCGCGGGGGTTGGAGAGGACTTCGCCGAGCCTCGACTCGACAGTGGCGAGCATGGAGGAGGGCGCCTCGGCGAAGCGGAAGATCTCGACCGCCATTAGGGGAGCTGCCTCCGCCCAGCGCTTGGCTTGATCCATGTTGGTGGACGTTGACTGGAGGATGGCCACCAGCGACGAGTAGAGGTTGTCTGCCTTCAACTTGGCTTCGCGCTCGCTGACAAAGGGCAGTTGGGGAGGCGTCGAGGCGGTTGTGAACAGGCCGAGGGATGAGCGTGGGGACTGCCCATCGCTGCTCAGGGCCATGCTGCTCGGGCGGGATCCGGCGTGGTGAAAGGGAAGATACGAGAAGCCGTTGCCGTCCGTGCTGCCCGTGGAGTTGACCGACGACACGCTTGACCTGCTATTGTCCATGTCCGTGGGGAAATACGCAGCGGTCTTGGCGACGCCGACGAGATTCTCGTAGAGACGCATGCAGACGTCAATGTTCACGGCGTCGAGCACGTCGCTGCGCATACGCAGGAGTCGGTCGTTGTCGTGGATAAAAGTCTCGGGCAGGATGGCGTCCTCGCCTCGTGCGCGCGAAGGTCGCACGAGGCGCGCGACGGCACGGAAGAAGACGGACATGTCACCGAAGCCTTCGGCAGGGTCCCGGGCGTATTGCCGCTGTGCGCGGCGGTACCAGAGCCTCGAGCGCGCAATATCGAGCCGGCGGGTGGCGATCTTCTTGCTGAAGTTGCGCTGCTCGTAGTGGATTGTCTCCTGGATGAGCGCTGGGCGGAGGCACCGGATCTGGTGGTTGGCCACGTCGAGCTTCATGTGCTCGAGCACGCTCAAGAGCTCGCGCATGCCCATGACCAGTTGCTCCAGGTTGCCCTCGCGGCTGCCCAGGCGGAAGCGTGCAACCATGTTGTTGACCTCGTCGTCACGCATGGGGGCACAGTGAGTCTTGAGCACCCCAGCCAGCCACTCGGCCAACCTCTCCAGGTCGAGCACGCCCTTGTAGAACTGCTGCATCAGCAGTTCCACATTGAACGCCTCGTCCATCAGGTCGCGGTCTCGCTTCGGCACGAGCGTTTCGACAATATCCTTGATCGTCCGTAGGAGCACAGGAAGACACCACTCGTCGCTGTGTGCGTAGCGGTTCATAAACTCGGGCCGCCTGTTCTCGTCGACAAACATGCCCAGCTGCTCTGTCAGTGTCCTCCAAAAGGCCTGCGAGCGCTCCTGCTTCGTCTTTCCCTTGTCGCCCAGGACGTTAGGTCGAAAGTGCAGGTCGGGGTCAAAGTTGATGTCATGGCGCAGCTTCGAGTTTTGCACAATGCGCACCACGTCGAGATCCGACAGGGTGGCCTTGGTGATGGGTGGCCCGATCGGGAGATCGCTGCCGACGGCTGAGCTGCCAGCGTTGGCCCTCGCACTATTCGTCCTCCTGCTTCCGGCAGACTGTGTCGCGGCCTTGGAGGGCCTTGTGGACGCACGTTCTGCTCGTGCTGCGTGTGACAGTTCAGATCGTCTGGATTTGGTTTCGCTCGGCGACGAGCTGAGACTGCTCGACTGGGCGACTGGTGTGGACACGGTCGTCGTGTTGGCGGAAGAAGACATGGACTGCGTTGCCATGTCTTGCGAGTCTGCTCGAGGCGAGTTGACGCCGGACGTATCTGTTTCGATGCCTTCCATAGGCACTATCCCTTCGTGTATCGACCCAGTCCTCTGTGGTTCTGTCTCTTTCCTCGCCGCGTCCGCGTCCGCCGCACTGACGGACGATGTGTGTCGCCTCTGGTGCCCGTCGACGGGGCATCCTCCTTGATCTAGCCCCATGTTGCTGCTATTGTATTATTTGAGCAAAGTGACCGTCTCGAAAATGGCGCCTTCCTCCGGATCGTGATCGCACGCGTGGTTCCAGTCCTTCGATCGTTCGCTGTTCGGTACACTGTTCATCAGTCTCTTGCTCATTAAAGTAAACGAAATGACGGATGCCGATTTGTTTCGCCTGGGCATGTGCCGGCTTCCCAAGGTCGTACTTGGGCTTATGTGGTTTCTGGGTTGGTCATTCACCCGCTGGACTTGCCAAGCAGGCAGACAGGCACACAAGCACGCACGACGAAACAAATCAGCACGCAGGAGGCAAGGGTAAACTCACATTGACCAGGTCAGAATGACTGAACGCTTGCAGGCCAACGCACTGTTGTCAATGGCCAGAGGCGGTGTAGAGAGCGCGCAGTGAGTAGGGTAGCGGTCGTTGTGGCCAGTTGGGCAGCCACGTCGATGCTGCAGTGCGCACAAGAAATGTAAAGGAGTGGATGAGCGCGGGTCGGGTAGAGCCAGTCAACGGTCTACTGAGTGCTTGCCTATAAGAGAGATGCGAATTCCTGTGTTGTCCAGGGAGCCTCTGCGTTGCGAGGGAGTGTCGTCGTTGTAGGCTGCCGAAAGGAGTGATACAGGCCGGGCGATCGTCTGCAAGCCAAAGCGCGGCTTGAGGGAAGGGAGAGATCTCTCGCGAAGTGGTTCGGGGACAAAGACTAGAGAGTGAGAGAGAGAAGAGACTCCAAATAGCGGACGTTAGGAGGCAAGAGGAAAAGGTTCAGGTGAGTGAGGAGAGTCTAGAGAGTGTGTGTGTGAAACTCGTTTCAGACAGAATAATATCAGAGAAAGGAAATCAACAAGGGAAGGGAATGGGGATTTGTTGGAAAGGAGTCAAAAACCGAGACCAACCCAGTCAGTGAGAGTCATGCATGCAGACAGTTTGTGATTCTGCGTATGACAGTATTTCCCTGTACCCAATGGATACCAATTGGACCTCAATGCAATATAGGTGTAGGATGTATCCGTAAAGCGCAGCCGTGGCGCAAGTGACCATCTAGTTGTAATTATTTTTTATTTTTCTCTCCCTCTCTTTTGGAGTGTGACACGGAGACGCCTAAGAATGCCACACCACACAAGCAGGTGGCTCGCCGGTGGGGTGTCCCCACGACAGGACAGCCCGGGACATACTCCCTCCAACAGGAGACATGAGACTGCTCGTAAACCAGCACGATAATCAGGTACTTGTCGATGCCGTTCTCGGCAGACTGGACCCAACAATTAGAACCCAAAACGTGCGTATGACGGAATGGTGGCCCAGGGCGTATGGCCGCGCAGGCGCTAGCAGAAAGGAGACCCTGCGAATGCAGTGATTTATTGAGTGACGGTCCCCACACGCCTAACTCAATACCTCCATGTAATTTGGCCCCTAATAATACTGTAAGTACTATTACTAGGCACCGTCCATCGACCCGGTACCAGAGTCCAGACAGAGGGGCCCTGTCCATCTGAGAGCGTGGGAAGGCCGTCGGATCACGAAAACCCGACAATTTAAGAAGACCCTGCCCCCGTGAAAACGACCGACACCTGACTCCTGAGGAATGGGATCGTCCTGATAGCGCACACCACATCGAGGCGCGGCGTGTGCCAAGGCGAGACTGATACCTGCATCCGCGCCCAATCCCAAGTGGCGATCCAAGTACCCGACACTCAATGGCTGGCTGGCCGCTTGCACCCATCCAGCCATAGTATCCACGCATCCATCCACGTCGTGCGTTCATTTCCCTTGCCTACGTCCCGTATTGTGAATTTGTGAATCATCTATGGTAATCCGTCCCTCTTTATGCTGTTTTGGTATTCTCGCCCAGATCCGTCCCCGTCGCCCCTGTTCCTCGTGCCTGACAGGCTGGACTTGACCGACGCTCTCGACTCGGCCCAGCTCGGGTCATCGTCGCATCGAGTCAGCTCACTTGTCGCACGTGCGTGTCTCCAAAATCCGTGTCGGCTGTGCACGCGATGCAGTCGACTTTGTACAATAATAGCAACTGGTTGGTACCTCTGATTGTCCTTGTACGTGCTGAACCCAGCATGACCAAGGCAGCACGCTGGTATCATCACGTTGCATCAGGATCAGCTCCAAATTAAAGCGACAGAAACGAGGCGCAAACCAGAGGCCAGCAGAGTCGCAGGGCGCATGCTCGCTCATTTCTGCCATGCAGATTCATCCCTTGCCTTATTACACGTACCATCAACTTTTTGTGGCCCGGACAAAAAACGCTTGGGACGGACTAGGCGGACGGGGAAAAGCAACCCGAAGCATGGTGCCTCGCTAAGTTAGATCGGGCAACTGACACCAGACTAACTCGTATACGTAGTGCCGCGCCTAGCATCGTAAGGGAGGGCTCGCCAGAATCTTCCATTCTGATTGATCAGTCGCTTCGCTTTCTTCTTCGAGTGTGTTGCACTCGCTTGTAGTGCCAGGTAGGTAAAGTCGGCGCCGTTCACATGGACGTGACTCGTAATTGCAGCAGCGTGCAGCCTCGTCAAGCCTCGCACGCAAGCGGTCCCTTGCAAGTAATATCATTATTGTCCGTCCAGTCCTTGTATGCATGCATTTGATCATGCGTCCGTCTTCGCTCCAGGAATCACTGATCACCTCTGGCCAAGCGTTGGTCGCAGATGCGCATTCGTTAGCCTTGTTCTTGACTCACTTCCCCATGCACGCGACGCTCGTCGCCCAGCCTCACAAGAGTGAAGACCAGTCAACGCTCGGCAGTGAGGTCACTCGTGATAGCAGAGTCTCCAAGGGCCAACAAAAGGAAACAGCCTGTCGACATCGATGTAACATGTTCGAACTGAAAAGGGCGGGCCTCGGAGAGTGGATATCAGCCCGCCCTCCCCCTGAGTCCTGACTGACGTCGCCTGAAGCCACTCCGTGGGTCTCAGCCCAGCGCATCGGTGTCGTTCACGGTTCGACGCCCTCTTTTCTTGCTTTTTCTGTCTACGAATCGTAACAGTGGTGATTGTTAGTTTCGGGCGAGTTGAGTAGTGTGATGCGTTTGACGCCTCACTCCGTCGGAGGTTTCGCCTTCCGTGGCTCCTGTCTGCGGCCCTCAGACATGAATGAATGATAATTACTAGACAACCGTTGATATTGTCTGCGCACTGCGCAGGGCTTTGTCTTCTGCCTAGACTTGTGCCTTCAGCGATCTACAAAGCTTACCCGCCAAAAGCAGCGGTTGTCTACAAATTCGTGAGGCTGCTTGTAATTACATCTCTCGCTCACCGTTTCCTTTCCAGGCTTCCGCTTCCCTACAGTCCCGACTCCCCTGCCGATCCAGCGCCAGGGTTGTGTTCTCCACCAATTTATCACGTGGAATTGTTCGAAATGACCAAACGGGACGTTTGAACTTTGACGCCGGCTCTTAGTCTAGACCCGGATGCCGGATTTGAGAATCGAAACGGGTCGATTCTGCCCGGCAATTGGTGTGACCTTAGAACCCACTGACTGTGCCTCATAATGGTGATATCTGCTGATCAAGTGTTACTTGTACAAGAAGTAATGGTGCGCTGTTGCGAGGCCCAGCGCGAATTCGTCGGCTTGGAATTGCGTGCAGCAGTCCGTCTGCACACCATTACCTTCATGCCGCACGCCACCGCTGCGGTTTATTGTGCCTTTGAGGCGGGTGCCAGGCGGACGCCGCTATCCACACTCGCGTCGCACGAGGCTGTCACAATTCATGAAACCGCCGTGGCTCAGCATAGGACGTGCGTGAAGTCGCATCTCTCATGAAGGCAAAAAGCACAGATACAGTCTGCGCTTCCGCCAGCCCAGACGTGAGCATCCATCATTCCCTAGTGGGGAGAGGTGACTTCTGCAAGCGTCCCTCCACTGGTCAACAGTGTGCAGCAGCAAAAGCTGCACAGAGTGAAGCTGACTGTCGACTTTGTGGCCATGTTCATCTATCACACATCGTTCGGACACATAGAGGTGGTCCAAATGGGGCTGAGAAACCCCCACGTAAGGCGACGTGGAAGGCGTGACTATTATCGATGAGAGATGTCTTGGTTCAAGAATGACAATGATATTCACTCTGTCTTTTGCTTCCCAAGCAATTAGCTTACGTCTGTTCTTGTACTCCTCAAACTCCCGGCTCTTAGTCTCCATGCGAGGGTGGACAACCCTCCATTCCAGACGTAGCGCTGGGCGTACTACGAAGTGACTGTCATGCGCCAGTCTGAATGTCCGCATGAAGCATCCCGTCGCGCTGAACTCGGGCAAGCAGAGTTCTAGCTGTCCGCACGCACCCAGTCGAACAGTGTTTGGCATACCCTTGAGCTTCGTCGATTGCATGGCAACCATTTATGCACATCCTGTTGTTGATGGACCAGTATCTGGCCAGTCAGTTTTCGCAGCCTCAAGATCAATCATGAAGCTCTTGAAGGCATCAAGATGAAGCCCTTTGTGGGGGGTCAGCAACGTCGCGTGGAAGCATGGTGGAGGGCACTCACGGCCATGAGCAGGCAGCATATGCTGATATACGGGCTCAACCGTTCCCCTATCCGTGCACATTTCCAGAATATGCCAGTGACGCCGTCCTTGTTGCGGTCCATGATGCCTGGGAAGAAGCTGTGCACGTAGGCGCTGGTGCAGATGAGCAGGAGAATCACGAGCAAGAGTGACTGAAAGTTGAAGAGGGCCGACTATAATCCTTGTCAATGCATGTCCAACAGACTCCCGAGTTCTGCTTACCATTTTGGCGATCTGTGAGTCCCGTCTAAGCGTGCTCGTGTTGATCCAAGGATCTGATGTTGATGGTCGTCGTTGTGGAAATGTCACGTAGCTGCAACCTCCGTTCGGGTGCCCGGATAGCCCCACTACAGGGTAGCCGTCCCCACTACTGTCACCAAACTGCACAGCTATCGGTCGATACGCAGCTCGCCTACCTCACTCAAACAAACCGAACACGACGCCCGCCGATCGCCACGTTTAGCACGCTGGAGATTTTGCGCTCTTCTCAGTGCATCGCGTTCAAGATAGCTCAGCAAACTTGCGAGACAAAGTCGGCCGCGCAGCCGCCAAACCGTCATCATGGAGCCACGCGCGCGTGCGGCCAAGAACGTTGGCAAGATGAACTTCTCCGTCAACGACTGTACGTGCCAATATGGAAGATATCAGCGCCAAGCTGAAGTACTAACATAGATAACTAGTGAGCATGATTCTCTTCGCCCACGGAGACGTTCGCGAACCCCTACCCGAGACCGTCCGCGTGTTCGACGAGATCCTGACCGACTTTATGCAATCAATCGCCTTTGAAGCCGCACGCGCCGCCCAATACTCCGGTCGCCAAAAGATCAAGTATGAAGATTTCGAGTTTGCCTTCCGGAAGAATCCCATCTTCCTCGGGAAAGTGCAGGAGACATTTGAAAAGTCCAAGGAGATCAAGCGCGTCCGCGATATCATGCAAACCGATGAGTCCGCACTGGCAAAAGAAGTGGCCGAGGAAGAGAAAGCGCAGGCTCGGAACGCGGGCAAGTCGAAAGCGGTGGACGAGGAGCTTGGGGAGGCCGATGATGACGCTGATGCGCAGATGGACGCCGTTGGCAAGAAGAGATGAAAAGGCATTGCCGGGCGTGGTCTAGCGGACTGCCTCGCGGGATACGGAAAATGCATAGGGACGGCGCTGGCGTTAGGGATCATCATTGCTTTGGGTCGAGGGACAATACCCGGAGTTCAGGTCGATTCTAACAACGAGGATATGCGTGTACGGCACTGAACTTGGCAGGTCAGCCTTTCATCTACATTTAGCGCAAGATTGATATATTTTATCAGGTCAAGCATAGCAAAAGGCTACGCTGGAAGATGGACTGAAGGCGACATTTCTGTACATACTAAGTGCTTTGATATCATGTAAGGTACCTTACCATGGCACCTCACCTTAGATGTCGTGCAGCAAGGTGCCTTGGGGACCACGATCGGCACCTTCTCAGTTGTCAAGATGACTGAAATCAGTTCTCCAAAATATCTTCATCGTGCCAGAAAGCCACAACCTGAAGGCTTAACTCGTCACCACTCTGCCTTCTCTTCTCTCGCAGGTTCTCGATAAAACTTGCGGGTGTTGAAATCCGCGTCCGGGCTCCGGCCTCAGTCCGACGGACGTCCACCATCGGCGCTGTGGGGAGAAATTGAACAAGTGCGGGTTTCGCCTACTCCGTAATCGTATTGCTCCGACCCACCAATGAACGAGGCGGGTCTCCAATGACGACGGCTAACTGAGATGTCTAGTTGCAGTTTGCGCAGCGGGAAAAGTCTTCGATCGTGCATGGCGGCGATATCGGGCAGAGAAGCGCAGGGTCGGCGGCGGGAGCAAATCGAAGTCGTCACACTGTCGCAACCGCAGTTCCTGCTGACGGCTGCTCGCTTAGCGCGCGTAGGCTTTCATGTTGCTTTGTTGGTGGGATATGAATCGTTATGAGTACTAAGCAAAACGCCAGGGACGTACAGTACTTTGACAACGCCGCGGTTGTTCCAAGTCCGGCGGCGTGGTGGGAAGTTGGGGTATCGAGGTTCGGAGGTTATGCTGCAGGTATTGGCTACATCCTTGACGATGGACCGCAGTCATCGTCCGATTGTATGGCCGGCGTCGTCCGGCGGTGTCTGTGCCTGTGCCTGATCTTCTTTCTACAACACATCTGTAGCATGCTGCTGTGTCACGAGTCTTGAAAGTCTAAATTACGTTGAGCGACGAAGACCATTTTCTGCGACTCGCGCCAGCCCTTTACACTTACTCCTGTCAGATAACATCCATTACACACAAAACCCCATCTCGGACATGGTGAAGGAATTCGGGGGCCCGCCGCCGCGGTATGCGGAGCCTCATGGTTCGTCACTGGCAGAATCGGCAACACACTTGACAGTCGACGAAACGCAACGTCAGCCTCGCAAAGAGAGTTTGACATACCACGATGGACGGAAAGCAGCGCAGTGGGCTTCCGAATCCACGCGGCATCCATCCCCATCACCAGCACCGAGTGGCCGTATGTCACCGAGGCCAGAGTCATCGTTCAACCAAGAACGCCCTGAACTGCCGCTGAAGCAGTCCTTTCTCCAGCGGTTCTGGGCCAGGAACAAAGGACCGGTCCTCGTCGCTACGTCACAGTTCTTCGGGGCCTTGATGAACTTGAGCGCACGACTGCTCGAAACAGACGGAGAGGGCATGCACCCGGTGCAAGTCCTGCTCATGAGGCAGTCCATCACATCTCTCTGCTGTTTCATGTACATGTGGTGGATGTCGACGCCTGGAGGGCCCTTTGGTACGAAGGATATCAGGATCCTTCTCCTGATACGTGGGTTATCGGGCTTCTTTGGCATATATGGGTAAGCTTGTTATTTAAATCTTCCCGCGCCTATGAGGAATGTTCCCAATCTCGCTAACATCTGACAGCATGTGGTACTCGATGATGTACCTCCCGTTGGCCGACTCAACCGTCATCACATTCCTAGCTCCAGGCATCGCTGGCTTCCTCTGTTACTTCCTCCTCAAAGAGCCTTTTTCGCGAACCGAGCAGATAGCGACCTTTGTGGCGCTGTCTGGGGTAGTTCTGATTGCCCAACCTCACTCACTGTTCTCGACTACGCCTGAGGACGAGTCCTCCTCGAGCGAGCCTCCCGAGAAAGGTCTCCCGGGGCTTGACCACGAATCCACGCCCGAGGAACGGCTCGCGGCCGTTGGGGTGGCGCTTCTGGGCGTTCTGGGAGCGTCAGGGGCTTTCACCACGCTACGGATGATTGGGAAGAGAGCCCATCCATTGATCTCTGTCAACGCCTTCAGCATTGTATGCACCATCATCTGCGTTGCTATGCTTGCCTTGGCTCCAGCCCTGGACATTTCACAGCCCGCGTTGCGCTGGGTTTGGCCCGCCTCTGCCAAAGCGTGGAGCCTCCTCCTTGCCCTCGGAGTGTTGGGCTTCGTCCTGCAGTATCTGTTGACTAGCGGACTTCAAGCCGACAAGTCGAATCGTGCAAACGCCATGGTATATACCCACATGCTGTTTGCCGTTAGCTTTGACAAGTGGGTGTTTCATCATGAGATGAATCTGATGAGTTTCGGAGGATGTGCATTGATCCTGGGTAGCGCCATCTCGGTTGTCCTGATGAAAAAGCCGAGTCCGCCAAAGGTAGATGACGTTGAACGGCAGCACAATCATAACAACCTGCTGGGCGAAGGGGAGAGATCACCCATGCTGGTAGGTGTTGGCGGGAGCAGTGATGATATGCCGCTGTCACGTGTTTGAGATACATATAGTCTATGTGTAGTTGGCTTTCAAGCTGTGTAGACATGTCAATGACAGCCACCGTGTATCAGGGTCTTTGCCACAGCATTCGTTTGATCAATGCACCACCCCAACTACTCCTATCACATATTATTGATTCCGAGTCTTCAGCATGCCATGTATATGTAGTTGTCAGTTGTTGAGGATGTAGACGTTGATATAGGGTAGGCTACAACTTCAATAAGTCACGTGGTAGACTCCACACCGCGGAAGGAACGCGCTGCAGCGCTCTGCGCGGCGTCAAGCTGGCTGGGAGGGAGCTTTCGCCGATTACAACTTTTTGCACACGACAGCAACTCCACGAATTCACGCCAAGATGGTACAAATCAGCGAGGCCAAGGGCAGCAAGCGCAACAATCGCACAGCGGCACACACACACATCCGTGGCCTTGGGTTGCGAGACGATGGCAGGGCAGATGCTCAGGCGGGTGGCTTCGTAGGCCAGGGTGCTGCACGAGAGGTCAGCCATGGAGCCTATTCAATGCCAGAGAGCTGCGATACTAACAGTCGTGTAGTCATGCGGCGTGGTGGTTGACCTGATCAAGGCGCACAAAATGGCAGGCCGCGGCGTGCTGCTGGTGGGCAAGCCTGCCACCGGGAAGACGTCGCTCGCGCTGGCCATCAGCCAAGAGCTCGGCACGAAGATTCCCTTTGTCCCCATCACCGGCAGCGACATTTACTCGACCGAGGTGAAAAAGACGGAGGTGCTGGCGGAGTACTTTCGGCGGGCGATCGGACTCAAGGTCCGCGAGACCAAGGAGGTGTACGAGGGCGAGGTCACCGAGTTGACACCCGAGGAGGCAGAGAACCCACTGGGCGGGTACGGCAAGACGATCAGCACGCTGTTGATCGGACTGAAGAGCGCAAAGGGCCAGAAGAAGCTGCGTCTCGACCCTAGCATCTACGAGGCCATCCAGAAGGAGAGGGTCACCGTGGGCGACGTGATCTACATTGAGGCCAACACGGGCGCCTGCAAGCGGGTCGGTCGCTCGGATGCCTATGCGACTGAGTTCGACCTCGAGGCGGAGGAATACGTGCCCATCCCCAAGGGCGAGGTGCACAAGAAGAAGGAGATTGTGCAGAACGTGACCCTGCACGACCTGGATGTCGCCAACGCGCGCCCGCAGGGTGGCCAGGATATCATGAGCATGATGGGGCAGCTCATGAAGCCCAAGTCAACCGAGATTACCGACAAGCTGCGCGAGGAGATCAACAAGGTCGTCAGCAAATACATTGACCAAGGCGTCGCGGAGTTTGTCCCTGGTGTCATTTTCATTGACGAGGTGAGTCTCGAATGGCCCAATTGTGGTCCTTGCAGGATTGACTGACATGCTACAAAGGTGCACATGCTCGACATTGAGTGCTTCACCTACCTGAACCGCGCCTTGGAGTCTCCCATCTCGCCGATTGTTGTTCTCGCCTCGAACCGCGGCGTCTGCACGATCCGCGGCACCGATAACATCATGGCCGCACACGGTATCCCCCCCGATACGCTGAACCGCCTGCTCATTGTGCCCACTGTGGACTACACCGCCGAGGAGATCAAGAGGATTGTCCAGATCCGGTCATCTGTCGAGGGCATCTCGCTCACGGACGCGGCCGTCGACAAGATTGCGGACCACGGCGTGCAGATCAGCCTGAGGTATTGTCTGCACTTGCTGACACCAGCGAGGTAAGCTGTTCGCATCGATATATGTTTGGCCCTTGAAATTTGAATGCTAATATGTCTTGAACAGTGTCCTCGCCAAGGCCAGTGGTCGCTCCCAAGTCGACGTACAGGACGTCGCCGAAGCCGAGGATCTCTTTGTCGACGCCCAGCGCAGTGCGGCGGACATGGGACCCGGGGCCGGCAATGAGTATATCCAATGAGCCTGGGTCGGTCACGGCGACCCGGCAAAAAGCAATACGCGGTATTAACGGGCATAAAATAGGGTGGCGCATTCGGGAGTTTTCTGATTCAATGGCATGGGGGCCCTCCTTATGATAGAACGATGTTGTGAGATTATTAATGATGTATACCAGAACCATACTCGTCCGTCCCTGTCTACCTTGTTCGACGGAGACCTTCACGGGCAGATTGCGTTTACTTGCGTTGAGGCAAATGTGGTTTCAAGCCAACGATGTCGGAGAATGATTGCTCAGAATAGTCTTGGTCTCAGCATCCAGTCAGATCAAACGGTGGACCTTTGGCGAGAAGCAGCGGGCATTGTGGCCCGCCCACAAAGACAACGATCCGTATTAGATGACATTTGAGAAGTAATGACAGATCAAACCGCGTTCTTGTCACACATGTTGGAAGGCTATCTCGTCTGAGCGTCTCTGAGAGTCAACTACCTACCAACCTAGACCCCCGCAACGTCGAGAAACTATCTTTGTTCCCTGCATGAAGCACATACCAGCAGTCGCGAATTGCGGCATGTCTACATATGAGCCAAGGCCGTCGGAGCCTGGTGGTACCCTGGTGGTACGTCCCCATTGTCCCCTTTCACCCGACGCATTCCAGTAAGCATTCCTCTAGTGTGGTGCAGGGACGGCATACCGATCCGACCACCCAACTCTAAAAATAATGGCACTGTGTGCTTCAAGAAGAAGGAGAAGAAGAAGAAGAAGAAGAAAGAAAGCAGAACGAGGCTGCGCTAGCACAAATGACCTGAAAGAGAGCACTAATCAAGGACAGCCCGCGTCAAGGCCGTGAGGTGGTGGCTATGCTGCATGACCAGGGTGGCTCGTGCTGTCCGGAGAACAAAGACGAAAGAGTTGGTTGGAAGGGAACCATGATGTGAGGAGGTCGGCTCGCTCGATTTGCAATGCGCTCATGTTGTGAATGAAAGAATGTACGCACGCAGCTACGTACGTGACAACTTAGTAGTATGTACACAGCAGGAGAACCCCGTTTCCGCCAAGGCCCGCGACTCACACAAAGAATTCCTCGCGATTCTGGTTAATGAAGGGGCTTGAATCCGGCTCGGTGTCACGCACAAGGTGACAGCTCTGTTGTATTGTTTGATGCGTCGGACCATGGTTCTTGCTCCTCCACACCACCCCCGGGACAAGCTCAAGCTTGAGTGCACTGTGAGGGCCTTCTGACCAGCACTTCAGTGAAAGCGTCGGTCCCGTCCCTCAGGCTTTGAGGCGAATGGGGCCTCTGACCGGCAACAAAGGCCGGATCCTAGACGATCAACGAGCGAATCCTCAGCCAGGCTGAGGTGCAGGCTTTGTTACTCCGTCATCCGCTCCGACAGGAGCACTGACCATCGCGCTTTGTTCACTTTGGCCTTTCCCGGGCTCTTCCTTGCCTCCTTGTTCGCATCCTGCGGACACCGTCTCGTCCCATTGTACCTTGGGCCAAGCTCGAGGACGAGGTTTAAGAGCTCAGCCTTTTGCTACTGCTTTGACGTCCGCGATCACGTCTGGAGCAAAGGAGATCTCTTGTGTCAGGACTCATGGCTGAAGTTGCAGTGCCTTCGAAAGCTCTTATGCACGTGGCTTCCGGAAGCATCGAGGTCCCAAAATATAGGAGTTGGGGCTTGGTGGACGACAATCCCGAGATGGAGTCCGTATCAATGGACGGAAGGGCCAGGCTCCCCCTGGCCAAGAGCTGCTCCCCCAAGACAGGCTCCTCACCAAGCTCTGCTCCAGCGTCGCCGAGAAGCGAGGGCCGTCAACATGGCCAGAGGACCATGCACAACAAGGCCGCCATGGAGAGTAACATGGCCGTATCCCGCCGCGTGGAAGATCTCAGGCCGAGCAACATCAAGGCTACAGGCAGAACGGCCAGCGATGAGCACTGCACTTGCCCTCAGCCTACCAAAGTTCCTCGGCCATGCAACTGTGAGTTTCCCATTAAATGCGGCGTCAGCATATGCCTGCCTTCCAGCTCGCTTGCTTTTCGCTTGCTTGTTTGCTGAGTGCACATGCGCGGAGCGAGTGTGATTATGAGGCTGACCTCGACTTCGAACAGCCTTCATTCTGTATCGCCAGAGCATGTCAGCCCAGGTCACCCAGGAGAACCCTGGGCTGTCAAATCCAGAGATATCCAAGATTATTGGTCAAAGATGGAAAGAGGAGTCGGAGGAGGTCCAGAATCATTTCAGAGCGGAGGCGGTCGAAGCAAGTCGCAAACATCGAGAAGCACATCCCGACTACCGATACCAGCCGAAACGGAAAGGCAGCACCGTGGTCACGAAGCATTCGTACACAGAAGAGGAATGTCCAAAGTGCGGAGGTGTCCGATTCGTGAGCACTCCCGTATCGGCGACGTCGGCGTTCAAACGCAGCATGGACGACCATCTGGGTTCCGCAGACGAGGACAGGCAGTACAGGGCGTCGAGGGATGGGCCCCATTGGCGAGAGCAGTACTCGGCAGATGCATTTGACTCCAAAAGGCGGAGGCTCGCCGAAACAGCAGACTCGCGAGGCATTGCGGCAATCAGCACGCAACACCCAGGCTACTCCACTGGCGCTGGTGCTGGGGGCAGATATGTTCATGTCGACACGCCCGTACCTCACCAGCAAAGCATGATGCCACCACAGCATCGCCAGATGGCGCCGCCGCCTCGACCATACGGCGGTTACCCGTCGCAATATGCCTTATCTGAAGCAGCAAACCAGGCAGCACATGTCTCACCTCAGCATCCTGGGCCTGTCGCAAACCAATCTGGGCATGCCGTTGATCCTCGTGACCCGGCAATGACGCTGCCGCCCCTGCGGACAGCCCTGACACCCGCCACTTCATCCGCATACGACCAGCTAAAGTTCAGTAATACACAACAGACTCCTAGCACTGCTGCGAGGGCGCAGCCTTACATGGGGTTACCAAATGGCCTGAAATTGACCGACAAGACACGGAGGGAGCACATAGTAGGCCTTCCCCTGCACAAGAAGCTGGTAGCCACGACCAGGATATCGCTGCCCCTACCGCGACCGGAAGAAGGCCGAGGCGCTATCATCGCTGTCGAGGGCATGGCTGGCGCAGCCTTGCACGATGTGTCCCACGCTGTCGAGAAGGCGTTGATTGTGTGTCAAGAGACTGTAGTGACAAGCTGGTCCAATGACTCCGAGTTTGCTGAACAGTGTGCCAAGGGAGAGAGCATTCCCATGTCGAATGCACTGGCCACAATATTCAGGGACATTCTCACGTGGCATCGCAAGTCCGACGAGATGATTCGGTTCGTGCAGGGTGAGAGCATTGGAGACTCGCCTGCGCGAGCTACGCACGGAAGGCGAGGCAGCTCGCCGCGCACGGAGCAAAGCAAGACGAAGACGCCAGTGGCGCTCGTCAAGGGCGGATACAGCGTGACAATGTCAGAGCTCTTTGCGTGTGCGACGAGCCACGACAAGGACGCCTACAGTCCCGTCGATCATTGGCAGTGGATGGCAACGCTCTGGCGCGGCATCGTGGGGCCCGATCTCATTGTGTATGTTCGGATGTGTCCCAAGGACGAGCTGGTGAAGCTGAAAACGGTCGAGTTCCAGAAAGGTCAGGGCGTCATGACGGTGTGCCTTCCATTGGATGGGCAGTTGGACGATGCGACAGAGCGACGGCTCAACTTTGAGATCATTGAGTGGGTGACTGACGTGTGGCCTCGGACGTCGCCCAGCGAGAAGAGCATGGAGTAGGCATGTTGGGGGTGTCCAATGCGTGGAGGCCTGATGGCCCAGATGGTCACTCCTGGGTAGTTGTATGAGCGTTGGTGTGCATGTAGATGTAGTTGAGAAACGAGGTACAAAGGATTCCTCAGCACGTTGTATGAAACCTGCGACCACGAGGCGCTGAGTCCAAACAAACAAACTTGCCCACGTTGTGAACTTGCACGTACATGTGGCTCAGCTGGTCGTCAAAGCCACAGGCCTATCGATCAGGTACGTAGACCAGGGCGGGAGTCGAGGTGGGGATGATTTGAGCCAAGTGGCAGAGTCAGGGGCAGGTACAATAATGCAGCCTCCTATAGGACAAGAGCTGCTGGATTTGCAAGGTAGCCTGAGTTATCCGTAGTACCCACCTCCAGGCGGCATCTACCCGCTTTTCCTCAGGCTATCCGTGGACTGCAGCGCGCCTTGACCAGGCATGACCGTGTCGACACGGCTGCACAGACGCCATACGTTCGTTCTTTGATGCCATGTTACTTCTTTGTCCGCATTGCAGCTGACGAACTCATCCAACAAAGCTAGGTGCTCCCTTGAAACCGAGTAAAACTCGACGACATCCTCGACCGACCGACCGGCCGACCGATCATCCCCTAGCTCGTGGCACAATGCTGGCTCTCCTATCTACACCTGTACCACCCTAACGCGACGCACATCATGGCAGACCTTCGACCCGGCCAGGCCGTTCTCCTCAAGAATGGCCTGAAAGGCACAGTCCGTTTCTATGGACAGACTGATTTCGCGCCAGGCGTCTGGGTCGGCGTGGAGCTGGAGGAGAACGCGGGCAAGAACGATGGCAGCGTCAAAGGCATCCGGTACTTTGACTGTGCCCAGGATCATGGCATGTTCCTCAAGCCTGAAGCGGTGCAGCCCATTGCACAGCCGCCCGCAAAGGCTCCCTTGAGCAAGCCTCCACGGCCGAGCAGCTTCAATCCTGCGGCTGGTCGAGTCTCGTCGGTAGGCGACGCGGCCTCGAACAAGCGGAGAAGCCTGAATGCGCCCAGTCCAAGCCCTGTGGCCAAGGCGCCTAGGCCATCCAGCATGATCAGGGTGAGGCATACAACCGTCTCTGGCAGGATGCTTTGATGCTAACCGAGTCACAGTCTCCAGCCAAGTCGCCAACCAAGCAGCTTGCGAGCGGGCCGCCAAGCTCCTCAACCTCACGAACAGGCACTCCTCTCGCTCGCGTACCATCAGTCGGTTCAAAGACACGCCCCCCTGTGGGTGGCCCAAGGACGTCAATGGGACCTCCTGCGGCGCCTGCGACGCGACGGCCAGGCGCTCCAACCACTACAGCACGACCGGGCGGCGTCCCAGCACGGACGCTTAGCGGGCGTTCCTCCTTGGCTGGACCACGGGCTGGGGCTCGCGCAGACACAGCACGAAGACCTTCGGCAGATTCTGGTGCTGGCAGGGACAGCGGGAAAGAGGACTCGGCAGACGGCGTTGGCTCCCCTCTGAAAGACGAAGTCGAGATCCTGTCGCCACAACCGCGCAGCCCTGCCGTTGCAAGGTCGAATACAGTCGAGAAGCTCACGGCGTCTGCCAATGGGAATGGGGCGAGGAAAAGTCCCGCGGCCGCCCGTACCCGTGATGCCCCCGGCGGTGCTGCAGCTTCCACACGCGAGCTGGAGGAACTCAGAGCCAAGGTCAAAATCTTGGAACGCAAGCGCGGCGAGGATAGGGAAAAGCTGCAGCAACTCGAGAAAGTCCAGGGCGAGAGGGACAAGTTTGAAAACATCATCCAGAAGCTGCAACAGAAATATCAGCCTCTACAACAGGAGAACTCGGAACTTAAAAGGGAAATAAAGGAGGCTCAAGACAAGTTCCAGTCTATCGAGGATTTCCAGGCCTCGTACGAGACAGACCTGGAAATGGCCAGGTTGGACCGCGAATTGGCAGAGGAGGTCAAGGACTCTCTCCAGTACGAGCTTGACGAGCTCAAGATCCGAGCACAAGAGCTGCAGCTCGAACTGGAGCTCGCCAAGCATGAGAACGAAGGACTCACCGAAGGCATGAGCTCCGAGGAGAGAGCAAGTGCCGGCTGGCTGCAAATGGAATCAGATAACCAGCGCATGCGGGAAGCGCTTGTTGCGCTTCGGGACATAACACGAGAGACCGAGCATGATCTGCGAGACCGGATACAGACACTCGAGGATGAGACAAAGGACTTTGGCCAACTTCGGGAGCGATACGATAACGCGCAAGCCGCCCTCCAACATACCGAGCAGCTTGTAGAGGAGCTCAAGCTCCAGCTCGACGACGCGCTTGGCGCCACCAAAACAATCGAAGACCTGTCGGAACAGAACCTCTCCTTACTCGAGAGGGTTGCGACCCTCCAAGGCGCTGTCGAAGAGCTCGAGAGCCTGAATGAGCTCAGTAACGAGCTCGAGGCCAACTATATACAGCACAACAAGGAGCTGCTGACTGAGATCGACTTCAAAGACGCCGTCATCCAGGAGCAGGCTCGTCGCTATGATGACCAGAGAACCAGCCTCAACGATCTCGAGCACACTCTATCTCGCTTCCGTGAGCTGGTGACGACTTTGCAGAGCGATCTCGACGACATGCGCGCAACGCAAGCCGTTACCGAGGGCGAGTCCGAGAAGCTCAACGAGCGATCGCGTGCGATGCAGGATCTGAACATGAAGCTTCAGATCTCTGCCTCTAAAGCGCAGGCCAAATCGATCGATCTCGAGTTGCGACGGCTCGAGGCCCAAGAGGCAGAACAGCATCTCGCCATTGTCAAGCTCTTCCTGCCCGACAGCTACAAGGAAGATCAAGATTCTGTCTTGGCATTCCTGCGCTTCCGCCGTCTGGCTTTCAAGGCTGGTCTGCTGAGTAGCTTCATTAAGGAGCGCGTCACCGGGCAGCCCCAACCTGGCCACGAGAATGACAACATTGCTGGCTGCGATGCCATCGACAAGCTTGTGTGGCTCTCGTCGACATGCGACCGGTTCGTTCATGACATGTCATGCTGTTCCGTCGAGCAATTCTCGAAATACGAGAATGCACTCCATGAGCTTGAGCCTGTCGAGCGTGCACTCAATGGGTGGATCGAGGGCTTGCGCCGCGAGGATTTCAAGGAGCAGAAGTGTGCGGACGAGCTCCAGCGCACCATGTCGCTCATGACGCACCTCGCCGAGGTCCACATCCCCGAGAGCCTCGCCAGCTTCGCAGATGAGTGCCACGCCAAGTCTGTCACCATGCACAGCCAGCTCGATTCTGCAGCTTTGGTCTTGACGACTCTGCGGAATATGGTGCAAAGGGTCATCCCGGCGGCGGGCGAGGAAAATGAGCTTGCCGAGCACTTTGCCCAGAGAATGGACGCTGCCATTTCCAAGACCCGTAGCGTCAAGGTCGCGGCACAAAAGACTGTCCGTTCTCTCGATGAGCAGAAGAAACGGTCCTTGGCTCTGCTTCCCGAGACGCGCGACTACTTTGAGCAAACCGAGCATGCAACCCAGCAAGTCGTCGAGCTTGCTCGCCATGTCGGCTACGGCGTGCACAAGCTGATGACCCAGGACGAAGGCCGCGCAGAACCCTTCACCTACATTGAGGTACGGGAATGTATCCAACGCCTGGTCCTCGAGACGACGCTAGCCAACGAGTCTGATATTCTCTTCGAGTATGTCAAGAAACTCGAAGTCGCCGGCAGCAAGTTTAGCGATTTGTCCGTCATGGCAGACGATCATGAGCAAATGGTCGAGTTTGACGTCGGTGCCGCCCCTTGGAAACTCCGCTCTGCGCAGCTCAAGGCGCTCAAGACAGTTCCGCTTGACGCCGAGGAAGAGCTCCGGCGGCTCAAGGAGGAATGCTCCGAGTCTCGACGCACGATTGCCCAGCGCGATGAGAACCTCAGTACTGCTATGCTCAAGATCGACACCCTCGAGGCCCGCATGCGTGATGCCCAGGCCAACTTGGAGCGCATCACGACCTTGCAGACCGAGTTGCAGGCTGCTGGCGAGGAGGTCGCTGGTCTCAAGGAGGAGATTGCAAAGCAGGACCATGAGCTCAAAGACCTCGAGACGGAGCGTGACAAGTGGCAGAAGATTGCTAGCGACAGTCAGGCCTTTGCCGACACGGCCGATGAGGCGGGCGCCAAGGCAGGCCAGGAGCGTGCTGTTGCCACTGCCCGCGAGATGGACGCGCTCAAGAAGGACATTGGCAGTCTTCAAGCAGCCGTGCGCTTCCTCCGCGAAGACAACCGCCGCGCTCGTCTGACCGAGCAGCCCAAGCACGACTGGCTTGCGGAACCTCTCAAGAAGCCTGCGAGTGCCGCCGCGCAACGCAGGGCGCTTGTCGCATCCGAGGGCCGAGATGTGCTGGGCGAGCTCGTGAAGATGGCTACCTCGTCTACCGTATTCGATTTTAGCAAGCTGCCCGAGGACAAGCTTGCCTGGCGTCCGGCCCGAGCCACGCCGCAGTACCACGCTGCGAAACAGCGTGAGGATTACGAGGCGTGGAAGGACTGGCAGTCGTCGGTACTAAGGAAGACAGAACTCCTCACAATCGGGAAACGCGCCGGCAGAGAAAAGAGGCTCATGGCGGACCCAGCAGCGCGCCTGCAGATACGGTTGCCTGGCTCTGATGGCAAGATGCTGGCCGGGTCAGGACAGCGTGTACAAATCGTCGGATCACAGGAATGGGAGTCCTTGCAGGGCCGACTGGGCGCGACTGCTTGAGTCGAAGTTCTGTTTGTCTTTGTGTAGTGGGAGCGGATACCCCTGATCATACTGTGTTTTCCTTCCCTTTCAAGCTACAGAGCAGCAGCAGCAGCAGCTGGCCGGTAGCAGCCAGCCAGCGATCCAGCTTGAAAGTGTGTGTGTATAGCCATCCATCAATATTCATAATTTGGCATTTCTGTATCATGACTTTTTTCTCTTTCCTTCTACGCTTTCCCCTTCTTCTTCTTCTTGTCCTTCTTCTTCCCACCGCCCTCGTCCGCGCCGCTCGCATTCCCACTGCCGCCGCCGCCTCCCGCTGCGCCTCCCATGAGGGCGGCCATGGGGTTGCCTCCGCCCTGCATCTCACTCATCATGTCCTTGAACAGATTCTCCGAGACGCCCCCGCCCGTCATCGCCGCGCTCGTGTAGGGCAGCAGCTCGCCCATCTTCCAGCCGCGTGGCACCGCGGGCCTGGGGTACGGCTTGCCCTGCTCGGGCTGCAGCTGACCGCCCATGCGGACGCGGAGGCCGATTGAGTCGTCGTCCGTCGGGTTCTCCCTCAGGTGCTGCGCGATGAGGAGGTACAGATGGTGTTTGTTGGTGACGTCGGTGCCGGCGCCTGCCTTTTTCAGCCCAACCTTGACGCGGCCCGGGTTCGCCCAGTCCCTGGGGTGCGTCTTGTCCGGCTCGAGGAGGGTCGGGAGGCGTAGTTTCGAGCACGCGTTGGCAATCTCGCGGGCCAGCGGGTCCTTGACAGCGAGCGCCTTGCCGACGCGTCGTCCCTCGGCGCGGGTGCGTGCGGCGTCAAAGTAGACGGGGTAGAGGCATTGAAAGGAGGCGTACTGAGCGCGGTCGGCGGAACGGGGGAGGCTGGTGGGTTGCTGGGTGTTGGCGGGCGCAGGGACGGCGGCGTTGCGTGGAGGAGCCGGGGCAGCTTGGGGTTGGCGCTGACGGATGATGTCGCTGTCGGCAAAGTCGTCAATGTCGACTTCGGAAGGGTCTGAGAGGGAGCGGCTGTCCTCGTCCGAGTCGGAGACCTCCTCAACGCGAGGATGGTGCGACATGGCGGTGGTGGTATGTGTTGATGCGATGCGATGCGATGCGATGCGGGAGCTGGACTGGGCTGGGCTGGGGGAGAGGCTCAGAATTGAGAGGTGAGGTTGGATTTGGTGGGGTTCCTTCTTGCTCGTGTGTGGGGGTTACCATCTGCACATACAACAAGCATTATGGGGCAACGACCTCAACTTGCAACGACGAACTACGTACAAGGGCTAAAGATCTGGTAAAGATGTTAAAGTTATATTGATTGATGGGTATGGTCGAATATTAGTCTATATCATATTGTTCGCAATATCAAGGACAGTGGTAGCGACAGCTCCCTGCCACCTAGCCATTGTACCTGTGCATACATGTATGCTCCAACAAACAGTCTGTTAGTTCCTCAGAGTACTATAATCCCACACCGTAATAAATATTCCATGGTCCTGTTGTGGAGGGCATCTCGGCTCCTGGCAAGCAAAGAACCCCTCCAAGCAAGACTCCATCACTAATTGTTCTTGTCAATATGGGGGTTCTTAAACTTGGTATTCGGCGGATGCGCATCAACAGGGAATTTGCAGTAAGGATGCGTGCAAACATTGCCCTTCATGCTCGCGCACTATTATCAAGGTCAGCATCAATCCTCTCACAGATAGCCAGAGATCATAGACTCACGTGATGTCCGTATATACAGTCCCAGTTGTCGCAGTCCTGACCACGCGTGCAAGGGTTCAGCCTCGTAAGATAAGCAATTGCATCGAGTTCGTCGTCTGTGGGATTGTAGTCGTGCACAAATACGCACACGTCCTGCTTTGCGCATGGTCCACGTAGAAAGTGGTTGTTGCATAATTTGTCAGTGTCCTTGCGTTTCTTCACCTCCTCGAGCACAACCAGATTGGGGTGGATGGGGTCGTCCATGCCACGCGGACCGAGATTCCAGTCGGGGGCCTCCAACTCCATCTTTTTTTTACTTTGCTTCGCCGCGGCCGCCTTGTTCTTGCTGCCAATGTTGACTGAACGTGCGGCGAGCGGCAGCGTGATCTTGGGGGGCGGGCTCGCAGCGCGTGGCTTGCTCGCCAACCCTGCCCAGGACGCCGTCGGCGAGACCTTGGGTGTGTCCTTGGACAAGCTTGGATACGCAGCTGACTCGTCCTGCTGGGAGGCTTGCGGAGGCGGCGTCGGAATTGTCGTGGCCGACGCAGTCCGCGGCGAGATGCCCACCGACGAAGCACTGTATTCTATAGCGAGGGTCCCTCGATCACCTAATTTGCGCGTGCGAAATAGTTCATTGTCCATTCGGAAGATATTGACGTTTGTAGCAACCAGAGCGGGAACCGTCGGCACACCCTCGAGGATGCTGACACGCCGCCGGGTATAGTCGTCGGCCAGGACTTCATCCAGGAAAGGCGCGTAACCGCTATCATGAGATATACCAACCAGCACCTGTCTACAATTCGAATTCTGGAGGTGCCAACGTGCATTTTCTAACCTTTGGTCAGGGCCCATCTGCACGTTCACGTGGGGGGGGGGAATAGAATTCCATACCTCTTATTTTGGCGTCAGCGCGCTCCTTGCCATGGCCGATGTCCACAAAGTCAAAGGCCGCCTTGGCCTGGGAGAAGCCCAGTGTGAAGTCCTTAAACTCCCTCTCGTTATAAATGGAGCCATCGCGGACCATGGCGCGCCCCAGCCCTTGGATGTTGGCGACGACTTTGGCGGAAATCTCCATCTCGCCGGCATACGTTTCACACTGCTGCGCCACGGCGTTGCGCAGCGCGTACGCTGCCTTCTTGCCGCCCTCGAGGCCTTGTCGGACATAGGATTCGTCAAACTGGCAGCGAGTTAGCGCGCGGAAGCACTGCTGCAGGGTGGGCGGGCGTGAGGCGGGCGTACAATTAAGCCATCGCCATCAATCAAAATCATCACATATGGTCTTCCGGTCTTCTTGGCCGGGTCAGCTTGGGCGCTTTGGCAACTTGTGCAAGCCTCCTGAGCTCACCTGGTAATAGTCTTTTTGGCGGATTGTCTTTTGACATGCTTCAACCTGTTTCTGTAGTTCATAGCCGGAGCGGACAGCGTCAGTGAAATCGAGCTTTGTCTCCTCGACCAGCTGGCTCAGACGCTGGTTCTCCGCACCCAGCGTTCTCTGCAACTCATCGCAGTACATCAGGACGTCCTGCACATTCAGTCATTAGATCTTAGCGCGAGATCTGGCATCATCTACCTTGATTAAAGTATCCGATGTCTCGCGCTGGGCCTGCATGGCCTTGAAGCGTTCGATGAAACGAGCCATGCCATTGTCCTGAGCCATTGTGAGGCTGCGTGACTGATCACAAAGGTCGGGACAGGCGATGATGGGGGGACAGCCAGTGAGTGCAGCAATATCGATTGGCCTCGAAAAAGAGCGAAAGCTATCCCGGTGGGACGTGATGCGTTGTTGGTAAGAGCAGAGTTCGAGGAAGCTTTTCAAGTGTGGAGTTTGCTGCTGTCGCCAAATGGAAGTTTATTTTTCCTTTTGTTCCTGGATGAACCGATATTGGCATCCAGTCGACGCGTAGATGGTCACACCAAATGCGAGCCTGTGTCGTTGCTGAGTCGCAGGCCCGTGGAATGAAAGGCGAGCGTGAAGAGCAGGTGAAACTGTAACTGAAGTGGGATAGTAAGTTAGATAGCTTTGAGCCAGACTTGGCACCTCTCCCAATCAGGTAAGGCGCCCTCGCCATTGTATCCGCGCGCCTGCTGGACACGTCGGGGCATGGGAGACTTGGTAGTAATACTCTCCCCGTTAATTGAATTGTTGAATACGAGGTTTCTGGAAGCAGTGTGCTGAACTTGTTTCAAAAAAAAATTAAAAAAATATTCAACTTGTATCCTTCTATATTCGCTAGCCAAAATTCAGCCAACCCCGTGACTGTCTTGTAGTCCAAGGGCTAACCGCTAGTTCTTCCCCAAGAGCTCCAACAAGGCTCTTCGACCGTTCCTTATAGCTTGCAAACTTCCACCCAAAGGTCTTCTCCGTCTCAGACGCATCCAGCCGGATAGGCCTCGTGGGCTGGCTTCCCTATAGGGGCAGCGTGCCGTCAGCCATAGCCTTGGGGCAGTTTCGCCTGGCAATCTCCTTGGCATCCTACCACGTGGTGCCGTCCAGACCGCCCGAAGAGACGAGATAGTGGCGGTTGCCCTTGAAGGCAGGGTTCAGTGCGTCGATGTAAGCCCTGGCAACGTCGTTGACGTGGACTGAGGCCGTGGCGGCATGAGCAGCTGCCTTGGACACACCGTAGGCGGCCATGGCGTTCGGGAACGGACCCTCCGACTTGACCACGCCAATTGTGGCATTGACTGCCGGGTCGATCAGGTCGCGCCTGCACTTGTCGGAATATAATAGGCGATGGCGGTCAGACACTTCTATGGACATTGTGGCTCCAACAGAGAGAGTGAACGTACTGGGTAGGGAAGGGGAGAGGCGACGTGGACGACGCCGTCCGCCCCGTCAATGACACCATCGAAAGCGCCAGGGTCGAGTAGATCCGGAACCACTGTGAATTCGAACTGCGCCAGATATGGCTTGATAGACTCGGGGGCCTTGATCTGCCCGGGCTTGCGCTGCGTTGCGGATCTGCGCGCACTTTGCGGCCTCTGCTGAGAGCCTCCACTAGCACGCGGAAGCCCACATGGCCGGAGACACCAGTGATCTGTGAAGACGCCTCTGGTCAGCATGCAAACACGTACAAGGCCCAAAAACAGCGGTGGCCATGTATGGGTGGACTTACGAGGAGGAGTTGCAGAGACATTGTCTTGGAGGGCGTGGTAAACTGTCAGAGAGCAGACAATAAGGTTTTCTGTAGCTGTTGTTGATGTTTGGTTCTGTTGATCAAGCCCATTTGCAACAACGGGCTGGGCGAAGCCCTTTTGTCACTGATGAGCCCATTGGTGGATAGAAAGCTCTGGCTCTTGAATCTTGGCCGAGTCAACTAAGACAGACTCCCCGGGATGGCTGCATGAGGGGGTTTGGTCCCAGTTTCGCCAAGTGTCGAGAATAGCAAATAGTGGCCTGTTTCGGGATGTAATTGTTGAAGTCAAGAGGACCAGATAGTCTACTAAATGTGTGGACTCCGGGTATCCCCGAAAACGCCACGTCAATGTGGGTGGATAGCAGGTCGGACTGGTCATCAAATCACCCCGGCCGAATGCACTCGAAGAAAGGTGGCCCCCCTGAAGCTGTTATTATTAATCGTTTGTAGACCACGAGAGAATGAATGAGAAGAAGTGTGCGTACCAACTTCACCTCCTATCTTCTAGCGGTCTGCGCTAAATTCGGCTCTGTACCGTCTAGCCTAGATCATCCTCGTCGTCTTTTTGGGTATGCACTTCCTGTCGTCGACGTTGGACGCTTGCTTGTCACCAGCAACCTCTCCGGTGCCGTTCCATCAGCCACACTCGGCCTGTTGCTGCCCATAGGGATACTGGTTGAGCAACGTCCATACAGTGTCCTCGCCAAATCCACCCCCAAAGTGCCACGGGTGAGGATGTGGATTGTCCATAATCGTCATAGAGTCAAACGGACCGGTGGTGACGGAGAGGTCGTTGAACAGCAGGTCGTACGTCGGATACATGGGCGCCATGGCGGCGAGGTTGTCGGGCGTCGTCCAGTGCGCGGCGCACTCGACGGGCGCCACGTCGTCTGCCCCCTCCGTTGAGGGCGCGCCGGGGGCGAATGCCAACGGTGTCTGCTCGTTGACGGATTTCGGGTGGAATGGAGTCGATTCGAGCACTGACGCTGGCGTCGCGGAGGGCAATGCGTCCGCCTGCTGTTGGGTGCTTGGCAAGGGCATGTTCAGAGCCTTGGTCAGCTTGGCGAGGATCGCCTTGAGGACGCCCTGAGCGGACCGCGCAAGAGGGTTGCGTTCCTGCATGGCGGAGAACCGCTCGAGGGTCCATTGGAATTGCTGCAGTGCGTTCTGCCGCAGCGCCTCGTGTTCCTGCGGGAAGACCATGAAGATTGTCGATAAGAGTACAATGGCATCAAAGCTACCGAAGAACAGGTGGTAACTGACGACGTGAGTTCGGTTAGTAGCCATATCCACAGGCACGGTGAACCGAGAGAACTCACTTCCGCCAGTGGGCGGGTGGCAGCCCATGAAACATGCATCTGCCCATCTCCAGAATCTGGAGGCTCGCCTTGAGTGCCTCGTGTCTGCTCTTCTTGCGGTGAAAGATGTACGGCCGGTGCAGGACCATGAGGTTGAAAGCGTGCAGCCCGGCAAAGTGATACCGCAAGTGCTGCACCCACGCCGTCTCCGGCTCGTGATCCCACCGCGTGTCCGGGTTGACAACGCGAAGGATGGCCGGTTTCCGTTCCTCGGTAGCCACCATGCGCTCGTGAATCGCGTCGACCTTGGAGTAGTCCTTGGGGCGAGGCCCGTCTTGTTCTAGATCGGCGACATCAAAGAGATGGTGCTGCAGCTCGCGAAGCCACAGCACACTGATGATGGCCGTCGGTGGATCGTTCCACTCGTCTCTGGGCACGACAGACTGCCGCGAACGATGGACTGGCGCTTTTGTGTCGACGGGAGGGGTTGGTAGCCCGTGAGCTCGGTTGATGGTCCCAGGCCGGCCCAGGAACATGGACATGGCAATGTCCCTGTCATCATCCATCAGCCCAAACCTTCTTCACGGCGTCTTTCTGTCTGTCTGTCTGTCTGTCCACTTACCAGTTGATCAGGATGAGGTAGATCTTCCTCCTCCGCTCAATGAGCCACGCATTCTCCAGCGCCGCCTCCGCGCTCCCGTCTGTCGGTTTCGGGTCAAGACTATCCCTGTGCATGCCCAGCTCCTGGGCGTCTTTGATCGCAACGGAGATCAGGTGCCACTGTTGCCACGGTCAGCCTCGGATGCCACTGAAAGCCTCGCGCTGGTACCTACCGATTCCGTCACGTTGGCCGTGTATTTCAGGAAGCCCGCCCTCAAAAACTCGGCTAGAACGGTCGTGAGCGCCAGCTCTGTTTTGCCAAAGAGGCTCACAATCGCCATGCCATTCTCACTATAGTCCATGGCGAGGTCCTCAAAAGTCATACCGGCGGCGTATTTGAGCCCCTCCATCTCTTCATCTCCCTCTGGCACGACGAGCAAGGCCGTGGCCACCATTTGGAAGAGAACGGCCGGAAACACCCTCAAGTCCGGTGTCAGACCGTGCGGACCAGAGGTCGAGAGAAGCTTGAAGGGCAAGGACTGCCACTCCTGAAGCTGCGCATGGAAGACGTCTGGGTCCACCGCGTAGTACTGGTAGTTGAACGTGGACAGGAAGATGGTGACCAGCCGGTCCAGGTACCTCTTGGCCGGGAGCTGCCGGATCAGGCCCTTGAACTTTTCGCTGGTCAAGGCTTCCGTGTCGCGCCCTCCCGGCCGACGGGCCACCTGGAAGCGGCCTGCTGTCGACGACGAGGCTGGGTCCTGCGTTTCAATGTGGCGTAGGAAGCCCATGGTGGAAGAGCCGGCGTGCGAGTATCCCAGCTGAGCCGCGACCGAGGATAGGGTCGCGCCGCCGCCGCCGCCGTCATGGTACACTGGCAGGGCTGGAGGCGACGACATGGACTGGGACGAGGTGGACTCCTTGGTCCCCAGCGACGGGAGCGACTTGGCGGGCGCATCGTAGAGACACCCAGACGCCTTGTTCCTCGACGTGCAGTTGGCACAAGGCTGGTTGCGGTCACACTGGGTGAGCAGTCAGCAGCTGTTCCCCGTCAATCGACGTCTGTCTCATGGCCTCGGGGAGCCCAAAAACCTTTTGCTTCCTGCGGTGACATTCTGTGCAGGACACCACGAGTCGCCGCCTCTTGCGCGCCGGTCGTCTCTCCGGGGCAGCAGCAGCAGCAGCAGCGTGCGCTGGGTCTGAGGTGGGAGGAGGAGGAGGAGGTGGTGGTGGTGATGGTAGTGGTGCCATGGCGGCGCGCGTCGCAGTAATACGTACGGCGCGTTTTTGCCCACCCACCAGACGCTGGATAGGCCAGGCGTCCGTCTGTCTGTCCGTCAAGGAAGGGCCAGTCCAGTCGCTCGCGGATTCAACGGCGACAGTTGCGTGCGTGTTGCACCTTGGAAGCCTTCATTGCGTGGGCCGGGCAATGAATAGGGTGTGTTGAGAACGGACAGGTGAGCTCGGACAGTTTCACTCGGAGCTCGAGGCTCCAATTCCATGGCCTCCGTCGGAGAGGAGAGTGAGAGGCAGGGATTTGATGGATGGATCAAATGGCTCCATGTCGCGCCTTGCCTCGGGTTTTACAGCGGACGTAACGACGGGACGGCCTTGAAGTGTCGTCAAAGACTAAGGTATTATTATTATCCTTATTATTATTTAACTTAGTCTGGTGGATATATATATATATATATATATATAGTGACTACTTAGGTACGTAGCTATGACGATTTCCGCAGAACACTACATACCCGTACGTACGCCTCAGCAGCCACTCTCGTATCTTGTCATCGTCCATACATGATACAACTCAATGTCGAATATCGTCCGCAATGACACCCACAGAGCGCGCGCGACCATGTCAGCCCCAACATCGCCAGTAAGCTTACCGCATGGTCGATGGTAAGCATTTGGTTCTGGGGTGCCTCTCGCTAATATTAGATACACCTGGCCAGCCTTGGTTCCCGAAACAGGCACGTTTGATGCATGAATAGGCACGAAGCACTGACATAGATGTGTAGGATCTGGTGGGACAATTGCCTAGACACGCGCCGAATCCCAAACCACGACATGGCCGCGCAATGCAAACAAGCAGAAAGAGAGGCCGCTGCGATTGCAGACGATCCCAGATATCACGACACCAGCAATATGTCAATGCCCGTCCCGCCACATGCCCTCTCTTTTCGTCGGATGCCCACATGCTCCCCGGGATCGCTCAGCGCACGCGCTCCGTGTACGCCTTCCACGCGGCCGAACGATACCGCTCAGCTTCGTGCTCCGGATCCCCCGCTTTGATGATGCCTCGGCCCACAATCACGATATCCGCCCCGGCGATGCCGATGATCTTCTGCGGCGTGTTGTACTGTTGCCCCTTGCCGTCGCCCTTGACCTCGGCCATGTCGTCGTCCTCCGGGGGCAGCTGGCACCCGGGCGTCATGTGTATGAAATCGTCCTCGTCCTCACTGTTGAGGGATTCCTGCGAGATGAACCCCATGACAAACTCCTTGTGCTCCCTCGCTGCCTCGACGCAGGCCTTGGTGTACTCGGCGTTCATAAAATTGCCGTGGCTCGACATCTGGGCCAGGATGAGCAGGCCCCTCTCGAGGGGTGGTTCCTCCACGCCGGCGAACAGCTGCTCGCCCTCCTCCGCGATCCCCCGGCCGAAGCGCGGCGAGTGCGCCGACTCGAACTGTTGCGTCACGGTGGTGACAGATACGATGCTGCCTTTGCGGCCCTCGCTGGCCTTGTCGTTGCTGCCACCCTCAATGTCCTTGGCCTTCTGATTTGTCTGGTTTGGTGAAAGACCACTGGCCCCCTCGTCGTCCGTATCCTCGTCTCGCAGTGGTGTGCCCACCGTGACCGACGTCCTCACCTCATACGGGTACCGCTCAAGCCACCTTGCTGCAGCATTGGCTAGTGATGTGACTGAAGCCTTTCCGGGGACCATGTTCACGTTGGCAATGTGAGCCCAGTCGATGATGCGCGCAGAGCCGCTGGTGTACTGCAGTTCAACCGTGTTGCCAATATCGCCAAACTTGCGATCCTCAAAGATCAGGAAGCCGTGCTTGCGCGCCAGGGCGGCCAATCGCGCCCCAGTGCCAT